ACATCCTGGAGGCCAATATTCATCCGATCAAACAAAATTTGGCATCAAAAAGTGTTACCGCTATAGGGCGCTCTATCTGCTTACTTTGGGAGCAAAATCATATTTTTTTCATGATTTTGTCCCCAAACCGGCACAATTTAAGAACTTATGGTACCGTTATAAATGTTTTGCATTTTGTTTATACACAAACTGTTAGAAAAGCACGACAAGACAAAGAACTTATACCAAAAATAAAAAAGGTGACAATTGAAAACACTCTATTTTCTATTTTTGGGTGTGCGCCACATGGTCAAATACGATACAACCATGCACGATAATTGGTCAAGAGACCATGAATTTGAGCCAAAAGTGAATTCTTGCAAGGTCATGGCAAAGGCGTTCTGGGCTATCACAAGAAATTCCATAAAGACGTTCCCCATAGATCACAAAGCACCTATAGCAACGGTTGGCACGTGACCATAGATTGAGGACTGTCAGCCAATCACGACTTTACATGTAGGACATATGCGTAAATTCCTGCACTGCATGTTATTTCAGAGCATGTGATGCGGCGAGTGAGAAAGCCAGAATTTTCTTCGGTGTCTGCAGAAATCGCCAGTTTATGAAGCCCGGAAGTGACAGGGTGCGAACGAATTACTAATTCGTGGGAACGAATTACTAATTCGTGGGAACGAATTACTAGAGTTATTCGTGCGAACGAATTGGTAATTCGTGCGAACGAATTACTGGAGTTTGCTAATTCGTTCCCACGAATTAGTAATTCGTTCGCACGAATTAGTAATTCGTTCCCACGAATTACTAATTCGTGCGAACGAATTACTAATTCGTTCCCACGAATTAGTATTTCGTGCGAACGAATTAGTAATTCGTGCGAACGAATTAGTAATTCGTGCTAACGAATTAGCAAACTCCAAAAAAAAATTTAACCCTGTCCCTTCCCGGGCTTCATAATACCAACTTTTAAGACTCGACAACGTGCTGGTTATATGCAATGCGAATGAGAATCAACGTGTATTTTCGCGTGTAAAACACTACATTGTTACGATCACATTATTCTATTATTGCACAGTTTCTCATGATATTCAATACCCCTCTGTTACACATCGTGGAAAATAATTGTACGAAATTTCAGTTTAATACATCTTGTATTTCTTGAGTTGTTGTTATTCGGAAAATGAGTTATTTTTGTTCAATGGTGCAGCATCCGCACCAATATTCTTTCAATAGAGGGCGCGCCACATAAATAGTGGTCTCGATAATTATCCACCACCAAACTCGTTTGGGGGGCAACAACTCCAGAAATACAAAATGTTTTGAATTGAATTTTCGTCTAATGATTTGTCAATAAAAATTATGTTTAACATAACGAGATTTAATTTCATAAGAAACTGTCAAACAATGAAGCAATATTGACCGTAACAATACAGTGTTTTATGCGCGACAAATGCAATCCGAATGAAAGTCTATGTGTATTTTTTGCATGTAAAAGACTACATTGTTACGATCATATTATTCTTATAGTTGGACTGTTTCTCATGATATTCAATACACCTCTGTTACACATCGTGGAAATTAATTGCACAAAATTTAAGTTTAATACATACTGTATTTCTTGAGTTATTGATCGGAAACTGAGTTGTTATTTTTGTTCAATAGTGCAGCATCCGCACCAATATTCTTTCAATAGAGGACGCGCCACATAAACAGTGGTCTCGATAATTATCCACCACCAAACTCGTTTGGGGGGGGGGGGGCAACAACTCCAGAAATACGAGATGTTTCGTCTAGTGATTTGTCATTATGTTTAACATTACGAGATTAAATTTCAAAAGAAACTGTCAAAAAAATGAAGCAATATTGACCGTAACAATACAGTGTTTTAAGCGCGACAAATGCAATCCGAATGAAAATCAATGTGTGTTTTTCGCGTGTAAAACACTACATTGTTACGATCATGTAAATTGTATTGTTGGACTGTTTCTCATGATATTCAATACCCCTCTGTTACACATCGTGGAATATAATTGCACGAAATTTCAGTTTAATACATCTTGTATTTCTTGAGTTGTTGTTCGGAAAACGAGTTGTTATTTTTGTTCAATAGTGCAGCATCCGCACCAATATTCTTTTATTTAATAGAGGGCGCGCCACATAAATAGTGGTCTCGATAATTATCCACCACCAAACTCGTTTGGGGGCAACAACTCCAGAAATACAAGATGTTTTAAATTGAATTTTCGTCTAGTGATTTTTCATTATGTTTAACATTACGAGATTTAATTTCATAAGAAACCGTCAAACAATGAAGCAATATTGACCGTAACAATACAGTGCTTTAAGCGCGCCAAATGCAATCCGAATGAAAATCAATGTGTATTTTTCGCGTGTAAATCACTACATTGTTACGATCATATTATTTTTATCGTTGGACTGTTTCTCATGATATTCAATACCCCTCTGTTACACATCGTGGATAATAATTGCACGAAATTTCAGTTTAATACATCTTGTATTTCTTGAGTTGTTGTACGGAAAACGAGTTGTTTTTTTGTTCAATAGTGCAGCATCCGCACCAATATTTTTTAATTTAATAGAGGGCGCGCCACATAAATAGTGGTCTCGATAATTATCCACGACCAAACTCGTTTGGGGGCAACAACTCCAGAAATACAAGATGTTTTAAATTGAATTTTCGTCTAGTGATTTTTCATTATGTTTAACATTACGAGATTTAATTTCATAAGAAACCGTCAAACAATGAAGCAATATTGACCGTAACAATACAGTGTTTTAAGCGCGACAAATGCAATCCGAATGAAAATCAATGTGTATTTTTCGCTTGTAAATCACTACATTGTTACGATCATATTATTTTTATTGTTGGACTGTTTCTCATGATATTCAATACACCTCTGTTACACATCGTGGAAATTAATTGCCCGAAATTTCAGTTTAATACATCTTGTATTTCTTGAGTTATTGATCGGAAACTGAGTTGTTATTTTTGTTCAATAGTGCAGCATCCAAGGGCGGATCCAGGACACAATTTTAGGGGGGGCCAAAAAAGTGTTTGGTCCCCCAAAAAGTGGGTCCAAAAAATTACGGCGTGGGGTTCGGGGCCCGCTTAAGGGCCCCGAAAAAATTTTGGATTCTAGATGCCTTGTGGTGCGATCTGAGGCAATTTCTGACCACTTTAACCAATGTTTTTTGAGGAAAAGATGGTGGTGTACTCATTGCCTGCCTTTATTGCGATGTCACATAAAAAAAAAAATTGGTTTCGTTTTTGGGGGGGGGGGGGCCATGGCCCCCTTTGCCCCCCCCCCCCCCCCCCTCCTGGATCCGCCCTTGGCAGCATCCGCACCAATATTCTTTCTATAGAGGGCGCGCCACATAGATAGTGGTCTCGATAATAACATCCACCACCAAACTCGTTTGGGGGGCAACAACTTGAGAAATACAAGATGTTTTAAATTGAATTTTCGTCTACTGATTTGTCATCAGTGTTTGTGTCCCATATCCCAGTTGCCTACCGTTTCTATGGCATCCTTGCGATTGATGGTTTAATTGATGGATTGAATTTATATTAGAAGGAATGTTCATCGCTGCAGGAAGACAAGTTGAGACAAATTACGACACAAGGAATTAGAGTATATTGGAGACAGCTTTTCTTATAGTCAATTTGTTTTCATTATTATGCATTATAAATGTACGGAGTCACTTTTAGTTTATTTATATTCAACTGTCAGTCATAATTGTATCACAATTTGTCTAATTAATAATCTTCTGTATTTTTGACCGCCTGCACAATCTTTCACAGACTTGTGCAGGTCCAGGTCCATGTGCAGCTCCACAATAAAACCAGCCCCGGCTGGAGAGAGATCGCAGAAAGAATCTGCAGTGCCTACCTTTAACCCAGTTCATCTCTTGTCCCCGCTCGGCCCCCTCCTTACACCAAGAAAGCAGTTTTTCAGTTAATTAAAAACACATATACTTAGTGAGGAAAAAAATACGTAGACTTATTTCATGTTATCTCAAATACCGTCAAAAAAAATTACATTATAGTGCACCTTAGTAACATAATAAATAAACATGAAAAAAAACATGAAAAAAGTAAGTAATAAATATACGTAACATTTCACGACAATACTACGATTTACGACTATACCCAGACCACTCGTTAAAATCAAAATTTAGGATGAACTTGATTAAGACTGAATTTATCTGCTTTGATTTAATCAAATAGACAAAAATTATAATCCTAACAATTGGGAATACGGTTTAATCAGGAAGCTCGCTGCGTGACCTTTGACTTTCTTGTCAGGCTCTTTGATGACGTCCGCATTTTTGATGACGTCCGTAATCCCAAACAATAAGGCCTTTAATGTTGCCATCTAGTGTCATAAAGTATGTCAGGGGCGTCGCTAGAACATTTCCAATGGTGGGTGTAGGACCAAATTTGCCTGACGACAGGTTTGCGTACCGGCAAAATCCGACAATCCACAAAACAAAACAAAAACGGGGTCCTCAGATTTCAAAATTTGCCGACAACTGTCAAATAATATAAAAAAGGCCCCTCAATGTTACAAACTTTGCAACAACAATTATGGATTTGCCGACAGAAATTTGAATGAGGTGTCGACCCCCCTCCCCCCCCCCCCCCCCTCCCCCTCTCTCTCTCTCTCTAGCTCTCTCTAGCGACGGCCCTGTAGAGTGTTAATGCAAAGCGCTTCGCTCGTACTTGCGTGCTCTGGCCTTAGCTGTTTGCGCAGGGCGTACGGTGGGTACTAGTCTGGTTCAATGACCCCATTGTCCTTTGCGCTTTTTTTGGGAGGGGGGGGGGGGAACAGTGGTACGAGCGAAATGCGCGTCGTCTTACTTGATATAGAGGGCGCTATTTTTAAGTTGTATAATGTATGAATATATTTAACTAGTGTAGTTCATGTTCCATTCGACTTGATTTGACCTACCATTGACGCCATCTACACGTTCATTAACTGGGCGACATTGTGAAGTTGACACAGTGCACGTACACACAGCATATCCTTGGAGAAGATGTTGCGTAAATAAGCTGATATCAGTGATAAGCTGGATTTGTGACATTATCTAAGTTTTTAAGATTGAAAATGGCGTCTCTGAGTGTTGTGAAAGGTTTCCAGCTTGCTTCAAGGCAGGCAGCGTTGCTATCCTTTCAGGTAAATTGGGCAAAAGTCAATTAAAGTTGTAGGAAATTAATAATACTTATAGTTTGACGGTTTTGACTGTTGTTTATTTTGTGTGTGTGATGGAGCTAGGAACATGGTTGAACGAGTTTCTTTTAATTTTGACCATCATGTTGACTGTGTTTTGGGTGCACTATGTCTATGGACTGTTTATGAATGATGGGTTTGTTAAAGAGTAAAAAATGTTGCAACCTGACGCCACTTTTTTTCTTCATATATCATCTCAATGAAGGTCATCAGTCATGTTGTCAGTCATTGCAAAAATGGTGATAAGATTTATGAAAGAGAGGGGAATTATATTTTTCTAAGCCTGATATACCGTAGTCCATTATTTGTAATTTGTGCATTGTGTTCGTTTGAAGCAACAAAAGTGTTCAAAATCTAATGAAGGATACTGAACAACTAACCTGATGAAGTTTCAGCTCAGCTTCAGCTGTATATTCCGAGAAAAATAGCATTCTATGATCTCAATTTCATATCAAAAGTTGCTGAATCATGTTCTGAATTCGTTTTGAATTGTAGCTATACGCGATGTTCCGCACTGATCCAATGAATTATAGCAACCGCGTGCGCCTGTGCGTCGTGCTAATGCTTGCGCGCACTGCGCCGAATAACAAAACAAACTATGTAAATTTTCCTACGGTGCGTCTAAAGACGCACCGTTGGAAAGGCCTTCTTTCGTTGATTACTTCAAAGTGACAGCTTGCCAGAATGAATAATTTCACAGGGAGTTTAGTTCCCTGACTATCTTTTAACCAAGTATGTTTTTCAACAATAATTACGCCAGTTACTTTTCGGAAAGCTGCAAATGATGGACTATAGCTTTAAGACATGAATCTGGGACTGAGAAATATTTCCAATTTTGTTTGAAAATACTTGCAAAATGTTCTTGACTCTCCATGGACTTTGTACACAATCGCATAAGTGGCGTCAAGTTGCAACATTTCATTGGCAAACATTATTTTGGCAAACAAAAAATACTTGCCTTTTCTGCCTAGTCTGTCGCTATTTCCAGAATGCTAGGTTTCGGGTTCAATATTTTTTTATAGAATCTAGAAACCTTTTTTTAGTAGCGTAACCCAATAATATTAAAGTTCCTCCTTATTAAATTGGATGATGCCATCTTTCTCTAGCTTGGAACATTGAGCTAAATGTTTGCTGTTGTGTTTTCATATTCACAGTCTGTGCGCTCGGCACAAGTTGCCGCGGCAACCCAGGCACAAGAAAGACTGAAGAAGTTCTCCGTCTACAGATGGGTGAGTGCAGTCTGAGTATCACCCGTTATTCACGTTAGCCATGTCTCCTGTATAACGTCTGATATGTCTAGACATGCAGATATTTGCAAGCCGAGCGCCAGCCAATCGAAGTCAACTTTACTAAATCGTGACGTCATTTCATTCCCGAATCAGGACTGAATGGTTTGATTGGTCAATTCAAATGCAATGTTTTGTAATTCAAGCCAGGCGCATATCGTGTAACATGATACAGAGCGCGGGACACAGGTTTTTTTTATCCATTGTGTATGACGCGCAACGGGTGAATGACCGAAGACCCGATATAGAAAGTGCCCGCTGATTGGTCAAAATCTAGAGGTCAAGAGGCAGTTGTCTTGCCTAATTATTCAGCGAATCTGCCCACAAATCATAGACTAGGGTGAGTGTGGAACATCCACAAATTCTTACAAATGTTCCCTGCTTATAATGAAATGCAGTATGCTCAGTAATTTTACCACATATTTCTAATGATTGGCAATTATTGCAATTTTATTTAGAGAAAACAGGAGCATTTCGGAAATAACTGACGCATTTGTTTCCTTCACAGGACCCTGATAAGCCGGGAGACAAGCCCCGTATGCAAGAATACGATGTAGACCTCAACACGTAGGTCAACAGTTTTGTACATTGAAAACAAAATGTTTTTACTGTTTCACGAAATCAGGAATTCTCTGACTTTTTTTAACCCTAACGTACCTGAATCCATCAAAATCCACACCCCTGTTTTGGAGAATTTCGGCGGATTCGGGATACCTCCATATTGAAAAAGTTGGGGGATTTTGATGGATTCAGGACAGTAAGCCTGGCATGTAGGATTTGGATGGATTTGGGATACCTCCATATTGAGCAGTTGGGGGACTCTGATGGATTCAGGATCTCAACAGTTTTACTCCTTGGCTATATGTTTGGTGTGTACGAGGTATGTGTACTACACTGGTGGATTCTGATGGACTCAGGACACCAACATCTTTTTGCATTGGTGGATTTTGGTGGATTAAGGACTAGTGCTTAAGGGGTTATAGTTAATGCACACTTTGTAATCATTGGGTCGGTGTTGCCAATGTAGCCCCTATCAACATTACAAGTCCATTCCATCTGTAATCCCAGAAAACAAGGATTTCTTCCGCGATTCAAATTCCAAATAAAATCTCTCCTTTTCCTAAAGTCACTATTGAGTTCTGAAAAAAGGTACACATAGATCCATGACGTATTTATTTGTTTTAGCAACAGATATTCAAACTCCTGCTTTACCAAAACTGGATTCAAAGTTAAAAAAAAAAAGTTCGGAATTTTTAAAAAGATTAACGAATTTACAAAATAGGGATCGATCCAAGTTTTCATTTTGTTTTTCCTTCAACAACCCTATCTTTTTTTTTTTTTAGGTGTGGACCAATGGTGTTGGATGCCCTGATCAAGATCAAGAATGAGATTGACCCCACTTTGACCTTTCGGAGGTCGTGTCGCGAGGGGATCTGCGGCTCCTGCTCCATGAACATCAACGGCTCCAACACGCTGGCTTGTCTGTGGTGAGACACTTGTATTACATTGTACAACAATGTATTTATTCCCTGGTCCATTCATAAAAACAATACAGTACAGGGGTGCAGCGAGTAACAAGTAGAGCGGTTAGCAGGTTAGTGGCTAAAATATGCCATAAGAGTTACAGTAGTGTAAACCCTTACACTCGTGAAACCAGCAAACTGTAACGCTGAGTACTTCTTGTTTTTTGTTGGATTTCATGGTCTTGGTAGTACACACAGTAAAGTAAAGGTAAGGGGGACGAACCTGTGTTCACAGGAACGGAGTGCCCATCTCTCTTTCGAAAAGGTTGGGCCAGACTCAAGTCCATGAAATGCTGCTGTGGGGGGATCGCCACACCACCACAGCGAGTCTGTTACCTTCCCAGCATTGAATAATGCTGGTACCCATTTAACACCTGGGTTGAGAGGAGTAATTGAGGTAAAGCGCCTTGCTCAAGGGCACAACACGCATGGCCACGGCGGGGTTCGAACCCACAATCTCACGATCATGAATCCTGTACCCTTTTTACTTGGCCTAATGAGTACTCTAATAGAATAATAAAGATTTACAGTGATTGTTCACTCAATGTTTGTTTGGGTTTGTTTATTTTCTAGTCGGATTGATGGAGCTAGCCTGACCAAGCCAGCGAAGATCTACCCTCTACCCCACATGTACATCATCAAAGATTTGGTTCCGGTGAGTACACAAAATTTTCCTACAAATAGTAACTATTTGACTTGATGATTTACTGCAGGAAGTAGAACGATACAAATAGTAAATGTTAATGGATATTTTTCTGTTTTTTTTTTATAGGACATGAATAACTTCTATGCCCAGTATCGCTCCGTGGAGCCGTATCTGAAGCGCAAGGAAAAAGTGGAGTATGGCAAAGAGCAGTACATCCAATCCATCGAGGATCGTGCTAAGCTGGTAGGTTGACTATTTTACTTTGAAAAAAATCCAGTAACCCTAACCTTTTACTCAGTATCTTACTTTTTGGGGATGCCAATAAATGCGACTTTTAAGCAGCCACAACTTGTCAACAAAAGGTCCAATTGAAGTGCAACAAGCAGTATTGTAAGGAGAATTTTATTGTCCCTCCCAATACCCGCAGATCCTCCTTTAGACCTCTTTCCAGTTCCTCTTTTGCCAGAACGTCTCACGTGGTGTGTCCCTCCAGCTAGGGTTCTCGAAATTGATCACAAAGGGATCACCTTCTGTTAATTAACCCTAACCGCCCTAAATCCTTCAAAATCCTCTTTGCCAAAGTGGAGGAATTGGAGGATTGAGGTTACATGGCAAAAGCGTGTTACTGATTTCGTAGAATGCACTTTGTCAAGGTCTTGGGCTGGACCTTGTGTTGGTTTTGCTCAGCCATGCATAAATATAGGCCTGGATTATGCTTGAAATCCTCCGTACTGCTCCACGATGTCACTGGCCAAGCCTCAACATATTGACAGTCACCGCGCAGGATTCAGGCAGTGGTCATCCCTCCACGAACCACATTCAGGAAACAATGTCCAATTCAGGCTATAAGCTATTTTTCCATGAGGCCAGTAAGAGGATTTTGCAGGATTGAGGCTACATCCTAGCAAAAAGGCCTAGGGAGTTAGGGTTTGAGTTGAGCTATGATTAACCACACTTCTTGATTGCACATCTTCCCCTGTTCTCTCTTAACCCTAGGATGGTCTGTATGAGTGCATCCTGTGCGCCTGTTGCAGCACCTCCTGCCCCAGCTACTGGTGGCACGGGGACAAGTACCTGGGCCCCGCAGTCCTGATGCAGGCCTACCGCTGGATGGTAGACAGCCGAGACCACTACCAGACGGAACGCATCGCCAGGATGCAGGACAAATTCTCCGTCTACAAGTGTCACACCATCATGAACTGCACTGTGACGTGCCCCAAGGTACCTTTACCATGCTGCCACCATTTCAGTCATGTTCCCTGTATCCAATAGCAGTACTGAATGATAATGTTGTTTGTACAAAAAGGAACCAGACTATTTTTCCTTTCAGCCTCGCTTTGGTTACACTGATTCGAATGGGGAAAAATCAAGATGGCCGCAACATGATAATGGTCTGTTAGCATTGCTCCTGACCGGTGGCATATGGAATTTGGACTCCTATGAAATCTGGTCTTTTGAACCCTGGATTCTTACCCCTGCACATGGCCTGTCTCTGTCCTAATTATCTTCACTTTAAGCATGCCCAATACAACCAAAGAGTCTGTGTTTTTCATAGTCCAAACTTAACACTACACCAGTTGAGGGCGCTGTTTATTTTGGGGGGTAAAATGGATGAGTAAACTAAGGAGGTCTTTTTTGAAATGACGGCTTTGAATGTGGCTCTGGATTAGGCTTTAGACTGTGGCTCAAGTGAAGCTGTGTATGACTTGCTGTTAGTCATGATTTGAAAAACACTACTTTTATTGCCAATCTGTGAAGGTATTGAGTCTTTTTTGACAGTTCACTATTTTTGAAATTGTGTGAAGATATGACACATGCACGTTTTATTTTGAGAATGGAAGTTTGGTTCTTATTTTAATCCCCAAACTGCAATGTTGTAGTCAAACATTGCATTGTTATATCCTACTAATTAAAAAGATGTCTTTTTCTCTTGTATTTATGGCCATTGCTCATTTTGCATAAATTGCCCTTGTGCCTTAACCCCAACTCCCTAAGAATTTATGCTAGAATGCAACCTAAATCCTGCAAAATCCTCCAACTGCCTCCATTTAAAAATGCATACAGCCTCAATCCTACAAATCCTCCATTATTTCTTGAATGTGGTCCTTGGAGGGGTGACCTCTGCGTCAATCCTGCAAAATCCTCCAGTAATCACTGTCAATTTGTTGAGGCAGAGCCAGTGCCACCCAGAGAAGTGCAGAGGATTTCAGTTATAAGCTAGACATAAATTTATGTACGGCTGAGTATAAACAACACAAGGTCCGGCCTATGACCGTGGCACAGTGCATCCTCCAAAATCAGCCAGACACTTTGGCTATATAACCTCAATCCTGAAAAATCCTCCATTTTGCAAAGAAGGTTAGGGTTAAATTAATACTGATTTTTTTTTTTTTTTTTTTTTTTAGAACTGCTTGTAACAGCTTTGAGTTTTTAAACTCTGGTGTTTTCATCAAAAGCAGAACCGTTGAAAAAAAATCTGAACATCATCTTCAAGTTGTTTCTTTTATATTTTTTCTGACAGGGTCTAAATCCAGCCAAAGCCATCGCAGAGATCAAGGTCCTGATGAAATCGTTTAAGAAGGAAGACCTAAAGTCAGAAGCCACAGCATAGAAACATGGCTAGCTTCATCGTTACCTAGTATGATTAGATCTCGCTTTCTAGAGAAGCACCATTTCGGGGACATTTTTTCTGCCGGGGGTTGGGTGGGATGATATCAACAAGCTATGATAGTCCAATCCAGAATTTTGGGTTTGACTATCTTCGCTCGAACTCATATCATGTGACATCTATTGTTGGGCTAGTCTACTATCTGCACCAGTCTACCGAGGCTTGTCACATAGCTGGTTACAACAGCCAAGCGCATCATTATGCATAGCGGGGAGCCGGGACCAAGGAGTTTCACATTGAAGTTTTGACTGTCGATTGACTTCACGCAGTTCAAACATTGCAATTATTGCATAAATGTATTATTTACTTTGGGAATCAACCACGAGTTGACCAGTCGTCCTCAGTCAAACTGCTCCATGATGAGATTTCAACAACGCTTTTGCTTTACCCACCCAAATTTCAATTCTGCTAGATCTACCCTCAAAAACAATGGGCCGTTTTAGGCTGTTGTAACAAAATCAGTATTTTAAATCCAGATATATCTCAATTTTTCAACTTGTGTTAAGGGGAACTGTTTGTAAATACATGTTATAACGTAAATGATAGAACTGCAGTGGAGAAATGCAAAATTTAATGAGGTTTTATTTGTGTGTGTTCAGTGACGTGAATGTTGGTCTGGTTCAGAGTCGCAGCTAGAGGGCGCTGTTGTCATTCAAGAGATTCATTTAGGGAAGTCCAGTAGATCGTGATAGATCTTGAATGACTTATCAAGATGCATGTACTTGATATGTTTCGGCCTATCTTAAGAGCGTGCATTACTGAGCAGGATTTCAATGTTTTTTTAGGGAGGGGGAAGGACAACCAAATTTTTTTGATTTCTCGGTTCTTGATATTTGTGTGTAAATGGAGAAAATGAGTTATTTTAGAAGAGAATTTACCAATGATTTTTATTCAAGTTTTTTTTTTAAAGGAATCCACATTTCAAATAGAAGATATTGCTTGAAGGCAGTACATATTTTTTTGTGCATGCATGTCATGTTGTGCAGGTATTTTAGTAAGCTGCAAGCTTCAAAAAAAGAAAATATGTTGTTTTACAAATATGCATCTGATACGACTGTCCTCTCTGATTTCAAACACGATATTAAATTATGCCTTCAATTGAACCACAAATCACTGGGCAGATGCTGGACATTTTTCACCAAGATTATTCAGAAATTTAAAAAGTTCAGACTCGCACTAGAAATGGATCCAGTTTTTGACTTTTTTCTTGTAGTTTTTAATGATTCTTGTATTTGGCAACATGTGCTTGTATCCTTCATTTATAAGAGGAGCAACTGTTAAAGTTAGATAGTGAATGAGGAAAATGTATACATTTGTAATATTTGCATTGAGTGCATTGGAAAGTTTATTTAACTTGACAAAGGATGTGTCTATTAATTTAATTAAACAGTGCCAGTGTGTAAAAAACTTCAACTGCTTACATCAAGAGTTCTGTTTTCCTGTGCTACTTATCCCCAATTTTTTTTAGGAATTAAAAGAGTTGTCAAGAGTGTTCTCTTCTAAAGCAAGTTTGTTTGTTTGTTTTTTCTAATCAGGAAAGAGGATTGCACGACAAACTGGCCCCTTGAAAATACAAACCAATATTGGTGGTTGTGAATCATTGTTTTGCTGTAGTTTAACTGGATGTTAAACATTTTTAAGCAGTTTGGGAAGAACTGAATATGTACTGCTATCAGTGTCGGAAGCATTACTATAAATGGCTGATTGATTCCATAATTTTTTTTGTTTTAAAAGACGGTTTTAAATGTAGAAAATTGTAGTTCCTTTTTATCAAAGGAATTGCAATGGACAATGTTAACACAATGAAATAAAGTTCTCCCAAAGCTAAACATTTACTAAAGTGGTTGAAAGTGGTGATTTTTGTGTGTTTTTCTTAATTAAGTCTGAACTCTAAAAGTTAATATGTAGTGTTACTGAGGAAAAAAAACCCTTAAATTTAAGTTGGTATTTTCCTGAAAGACAGATTTATTGTCATTGTTTTGACAACCTGGCTGTCTGCTTTTTTAAATGACATAAATTTTCTTGTATTTTGTTGCTTGGAGGATGGAGCATTCATACTCCTTGGAGTGCCCATGAAATGGCTTAACGGATAAAATTAAAAATTAAAAACACGGAGAAATTGTCAAATTTGACATATTTGAACAAGACGAAAACAATTGTCTGAAGTTAATCTTTAGTGAAATTTTTGAGCAACACTTAAAATCATTTTTTTCAAGAACCAGTTCATGGAAACGTGTGACTATAATGATTGGCTTAGCATAGAAAAGAAACGTAGCAAAAACACGGGGGAAAAAACCTTAATAATAGGATTCGTACAAAATTGTTGTAGGCATCTCTTAAACTTTTTTTATTTCATTCTTTTTTACACATATATATACTGACATTACTGTACATTATTGCATTGGCATCGTTGTTGAACGTGTAGTCAAATGGTCTAGAGTTCTTTTTATAGAACACTTCTAATTGGTTGCACCTTAATAGATAGATGTTCACAACACTATTCTTTTGTAAAATGACACACTTAAGAAATACACTCCGTTGGCGAAACCAACAGCAAAATAATATAATGATCCCCATTATTTTCCATCACAATTTCAATGATTTTCCGACGTGACACATTGGTACTAATGTAAACTACAACACACCTCGAACATTCCGTAAAGTTTTGTCGTAAGAAACTGCCCATACAACCGAACTTTGCAAATCCTCAAGTTAAATTATTTTTTTAACATCTGCAAAAAACTTCCAACTATTTTTGGCAATTTTTAATTAGCACGCTTTATCAACCCCACATAAATAATAAAATTTATGATAAGTAATTATGCATATTTTTTTTCAGTAATAAAAGAACATAAAAAGTATATCTGACAGCTGTAATGTAAACAGTTAATCGTTTTAATTTTAAAGAAAAGAAAAGTGTTGGTAAAAAAATATTCAAAATAATATCACTTGTCTGTTGCATGTTATTTTAATTATTGTTTCATGGGCAAAGTTGAAGGCCGGTTTGCAAAGTTAAAGGCCGGCGCGAAAGCGAATGCCAATTTGTGACGTTTTCAAATTTTGAGAATTCGCAAAAGTTGAACATATTTCAGCTCCTACAAATTTCGCAGGTAATACTTTGTGATGTCAAATTCGCATTGCATTCGCAAGAAGTATGAACTGGCAATAAGACTTCAATTTCGGGTGAAGCAAATACTTAACAAAAAAATATCAAGCTTCTTTCGTCAATTTTTTTTTACAGTTCGCAAAATAATTAAAATTTAATACACTACCAGCTGGAGTCATGAGGTGATTTTCCCTTTTAAAAGCCTGGGCCCTTTTCATACCAGGATTTTCGATGTTTATCTTTGACTGAGCCCATTTCAGTTTAATCCCTTAAGGCAATTAGTTACTCCTCAGGAGGCCTGTCCATGCTCTTTGGGTAGGCTCTTTGGGTAGGCTCTTTGGGTAGGCTCTTTGGGCTTAGTGATGTTTCCTGCTCATCAGCAGCCTCCATGAAATGGGTGCGCTCACTCGTAAAACAAATTTTCAGTTTTCTTTTAATTGCGAAATTAAATAACATCACGTCACTGTAGCCTTAAAAAAACGGAATGGTGTAGCTTAATATTTACAGTTTATGTTTGCATCAGGTTGTGGCTTTTTTTTTATCAATGGCCGTTTCATGTATCATCCGTCACAAGTTATAAACTTGACAGATTGATAATCTGCTTTGGATGAAATAGTAACTCCTTATTTATCAGCAACTATTTCATGTAGCATCAGCATGTATTGTATAAGTTCAAAACATAACTGACATCTGCTCTCCATGAACCTGATTTACATGGTTGCCTACAACTATTTCATGTACATATCCTTCAAACCCAAACGGGACAGACGCTCCTATTTTTCATGAACCTGTGTTACCCTTTTACCAACGACCGTTTCATGTATCATCTTCTTTCACCAGTTCCAGTTTCAGGTTGTTGTCGGTGGTATCCATCATGACTTGCTGCTTCAGTTCCTCATAGCATCCCTTGGCATAGTTGATTTGCTGTGATACCTAACAAAGGCAGGAAATTCTTATCAACAATATACTATGGCAAAGTTTGTAAAGTTCTTTTTTTAAAGTTTTGGCAGATGACAATGTTGGAAAAGAATTTGTCACCAGATTCACGGTAAAGTGAGTACATTTGTACTGCTCTAGGGAAAAAATCTGGACATCCACCATTTTCAGTTTGTTTTCAGCCTAGGTATACATGAAATTCTCAGCGAATATCACTCATCAGGCCAACATTTATCTCCAATTAACTTGATATGAAAAAAAACCCAGTATATTTCAATCCCCCTCCCTGGTTTGGATGCTAGTCCATCGCAGGTTACTGCCCAGCTAATGCCGGTACCCATTTATACTCCTGGGTGGAGAGAGGCAAGTGAGGATGATGTGGCTTGCCCAAGGACACAACATATGGCCAGCAGCTGGATTGGAACCTCTGACCCTCTGATCATAAGTCACGAACCCTAAGCACAAGGCCACACTCCCCCAGATTCATGGGAAATTCAATACTGGGTTTTGCCCTGTCCCAGGGAAATTTTGTAAACACTGTATACTCAGTGCCGTCCAAAGGCTCGCATATTCACACGGTTACTCAGGTGGGACTTGAACCCAGTACCCCCTGCGTACGATTGCAGGTGTCTTACCACTTGACCACCAAGCTTACTGGGGTCCACTGACTGAAATTATTTGAAGGATACATGTACGGCTAAAATGGCGGATGGCAGTTAGAATGTGGGCTAGTAGATGACTTTTACCTTTTTGGCTATCTTCTCATTGTCACAGCCTACTTTGGGTCGTTCTTTGGAGTCGTACCGCGACGTCAGTACCCCAGCTTCTGTGTTCGCCATCTTGGTCAGCTCAATGTAGTGCTTTCCACCTGTAACGCACAAAGAATCAACAAAGATTTTCTCAATATGGAAAGGAATAGGGGCCAAAACGGCAGTTAAATTGTTCTTCGAGCTTTAAAATGTCCTGTCACAAGAAACGCTGTGTCCAATTTTTTGATTTTGATCAGTGGGCAAAGATTTTTGTGCCAATATTTCAAGTACAATTTTGTTCACCTTGGGAAATTGTGAACACGAAAATTTGAGTTGTTGCATACTAAACAAGTAATCACAATTTTTAATCATACTTTGGTGCTTTCTTTTTATCACAAAACTGAAATCTTGACAGCCGACCAATTTGTGGCTACAGTATTGGCACTAACACAGCCTGCATCAATTGGTTAAAAATCATGAGACTATTTTTGATGTAATCTACCCTATAACTGTATGGAATGGTCCAGTACTCACCATGCTGTATGTGTCTTGCATGGAAAAGCTCGGAATGCATGACTTGTAGGACGGGGGAGAGAGGGTCATTGATGGGCAAGAAGTACGTCCACTCACTGGTGATCAATGCCTGCATGCCTTCAGTTGGACTCGATCGTAAGGTCTCCATGGAGAAAAATCTGCCAACAAAAACAAAAGATTGTAAATTCTCACCTCACGTTTCCCAGTGCTGTGTAGGTAGGGCATTAGTCCCTATATCCCCCATAGCTCTCTGTCTGTTACTCCTTATGCCCACCAACTTTGTAAACAGGTGTGACGTGGTCTATGGGCTCCGTGCGCCAACAAAAGAGGGCGCATTTTACCTAGCAACGACATCCCATGGGCAGGACATTTAGCTGGTTGATGCGCGCCGTTCCTTGTGTGTGACTCACGTACACCAGGGGATTCGTAAATGTACTATGTACACGCAGTGGTACATGGTACTAGGTCTGCTTGAAAAAAATGGAACGGCTGCTTGAAAAAAACGGAACTTTTTGTGTGCGCAAAAGACACTCCGAGTCCGACACAAAGTCCCCGTTGTCATCTTTATCTTGTAGCCAAGCCAAGTTTCGTTGATTTAATTTAATGGCCTTTAAGCTGTCGGTTCGTTCGATCTCTTTGACTTTTTTCATATTCCTAATATTTATTCTGCCTACCCGAATGTCCAACGTAATATTTGACACGAAACATGCACGATTCCATCCACAGCGCTGCTGTTTGCATTACGCGATGCGTTCGAGGAAAACATGGTTGGTACCCGGCGTTTTTTGTGTTCACATATATCACTGCGATCAGAAACCAATGATACTGAAATGATAGACTTGATTTCCAAGCTGAATGTTCTGTATACTTGGCGCACAACACGCCCGCACGCGGTGAAGCACGCGCGAGGCGCCGTTGTATACTGCGTGCAAGTACGTTGGCCGCCTGTATCGCATGCAGGCTCGGCAACCAACAAACAACGTTGTGCCATGCGTGCGTCTAAATCGAGAGCGCTAACGAGGTAAAAATCAACGCATTTCCACAGTTTTTCTTCTCTTTTTCCAGTTATTTTGACGACCGGAAAAAACGGAATTTTGTGAGATTTAAAAAAAAACCCGGAATTCCAGTTAAAACCGGAAAAGTGGTATCTCTGTCTATACGGTCACATGATCTTTTTTTCAGCACTGGCTGAGAGCACTGGCTGATATTTAGACCTGGAGCGAATTTTGGAGTGTTCAAGTAAAGACAGAACTTTATAAATATGGCAAGAGAAAAATAATGTGTTAACATGATGGTAACTTACTGTCCCGTTTTGTGCATTATACTCTTAAGTCACTTTACTGAGCATTTTGTCTAATTGCTCAAATTTTCAGACAGTTTCAAATTGTAAAGCGAGTCACAGCCAGTGCTATTTGGTACAGTGACCAGAGTTGAAGACAAGTGAGCATATGTCAATCACAAATCATTTACAAGTCAATCACAAGTTAATTATCACCAGTCCATCACAATTCCTTCCGTCTCAAGTCAAGTCACGAGCAATTCAAACAACTTTCACAATGTCATTCCTTGGTCACTATCCCCTGTTACGTTTGACCTTATTTGTGATGGACTTGTGATGGATTTGTGATTTGCCTTGTGGTGGACTTGTGATTTGCCTTATGATGGACTTGTGATTTGCCTTGTGATGGACTTGTGATTTGCCTTGTGATGAAACTATGATTTGCCTTGTGATTTGCCTTGTGATTTGCCTTGTGATTTGCCTTGTGATGAAATTATTATTTGAATTGTGATTTGACTTGTGATGGACTTGTGATTTGAATTGTGATCGACTTGTGACTTGACTTGTGATGGACTTCTGATATGCCTTGTGATGAAATAGAGATTCGACTTGAGATGGAATCATACCACAGACTCAAGATCCAACTTCCACCATCTCTCATCGGTCCCCACCTACCCACCTTTCCTTGCCGTTGGACGACTCACACAGCTTCTGCATGTACTCCTGCCCCCGAGCGTTGTAAGCAGAGTACCGGGGAAGCATACCGGCTGGGTTGACACAGCAGCGCATCAGCCTCACCCTGTTGGGAACCAGGTGGCTCTCGCTGCTGGTGGAGCTACGCAAGGCTGCCATGGTGCCTGAGGCTAGGTCCATCACGCCAGCCACGGGCTTGGCTACAGTACCGATGACTCCCTTGCCTAAACCTTTCATGAGACCCTGAATTAAACACCAGGAAAAACAGACAGGGTTAAGGCATGAGAGTGGCCTACCATTACTTTTAAAGCAGAATGTTCAGATTGGAAGATTGTTCAGATTGTTCAGTGGCAATTTGTAAAAAGAATTGCAGGGTGGTTTTTCGGAAACTTAAATCTGTTTATTTTAGTCCCTCCCCCAAGTCATCTTTGGTTGTGCAACTGAACGACAAAATGTTGGTGCAAGGTTCATGTCACTCTGAATACAGTGCATAGAACAATACCTACCTCCACACCATCTTCCGTCATGCCCTGGTAGGTCTGCGTGAAGATGCTGGTCAGCCCGCCCACTACGCCGAAGGTGAACCCCCGGACACCGGCTTTGAGGTGACCAGAGCTACTCCCGTCGTGGGAGCCGCGGATGTCGCTGCGAATCTCTTCGTGATGGTTGTCCATGATGACGGTACCCAGAGTGTTGGCTATGGAGCCGGTCACCTGGAAATCAAAGTAGATTTCTCCGTAAGAATTGACAAAAGCGGGAATCGAACCAGCGACCTCTGGAATACGGCACAGGTGCCATACCATCTCTGACTGTGTTGTAGTCGATTCAATCACAGGTAACTGAATGAAACAGGATTTGAATGTGGGACCACTGGAATACCGTTCAGGTGCTCTACCATCTGACAAGTTTATTCAAGTCAATTACACTTTATTGACCAAAGCAGGACTCGAACCTACAACAGAATGTGTCAAGTCAATCACAGGTCAATCACAAGCCAGATCACAAGGAAAGGAACTGGGAAGGAATGATGACAACAGAATGCCTAGTCACAGATCACTTGACTTGTGCCTTAATGACTTGTGATTGACTTGTGATGACTTTTGAGGACGAGAGGGGAGGGGTAAGGAATTGATTAAGTCCTCCCTCCTTAATCTACACATATTTGTGATGCAATGGGCGATGTCCCAAGCCACAATACCCATACATGCCCCATAGCCTGAAACACTGTTTGAAAAATCCACACCTCTTACACTTTTTATAGCAATGTTTTAAATATTTCCAAACTGCAGTTGCGGATTACTACAGCTTCTGTATAAAATTCATGAAATAAAATCACAAGGAGAAATAGCAAAAAAAAAACCAAAACAGGAAAACTCCAAGTTTTTGATACCTTAGCAGCTGTGTTGGACATTCCGTGGGTGACGTTCTTGACCATACCAGTCACGTTGCCTTCGAGGAGTAGCTCCTTCAAACCGTCTCGGAGGTCTTGGATCAAACCGATCGGATTGCCCAAGAAATCCACCGAACCCAAGATCTTGACTGCTTGACTCTTCAACTCCTGAGGACAAGAAAGTCACAGTCAGTTGCGAACCAGTCACTGGCAATATGCATCATATGACATTTTGTCGACCCTGGATTAATTTCTTTTTTTTTCAGATCTGAAAAGAGCACGATTTTAGCATTACCACTGTGAAAACCGCATGCTGATACCATCTTTAGTTCACAAATTATGGAAGTCGGAACACCAAGAGATGTGATGAAGTGATGTGAAGAAGTGGCCCTATTTTGGCCTGAATCTCCAAATGAAAGTTCTCGACAAACAACTCATTTAGCTTATTCGCATCACAAATATTGTTAACACTTTAGCGAACTTCTAAACTTAGAAGTTCCACAAAATTGACCCCTTGGGTTGACTATGTGGCCTGCTTGCATATTTTTTCTCTACACCGTAGCGACAGGTAATCAATTTTTCAGCAACTTGACTTGAAAAAAGGCGAGAGGATTGTGTGACGCTCTGCAATCCTTTCAGTCACGTACATACACACATGTACATGCGCGCTCTGGGTATATTACACAAAAATTTGCTGATCCAGCCAAGCAATCCGATGGCACAGTGGAAAAGCGCACGGCTCATAGTCTAGAGGTTGCTTGATCGATTGCCGCCCTGAATTTCCCCTTTCCCTCTTTTTTTCAACAGTTTTTCGATGTTTTCCCTATAACTATTAATTTGAAGCCAATTTCAAATTTTATGGCAGAAATTTTCTTTTCCTTTTCTGATTCGTGGCTCTGGAGGATTTTTTGTTAAGGGAAGTAAAGTCCCAAATTTCATTAGGTGCGCACAAGATAATAATTGTCTCCACTCAAGAACGGCGATAAAACCCTGCTCCCGTAGGAAAGTTCGCTGTGTGTCCCCTCCCTGCAGTGTCAAGAAAAAATACGCAGCCTGCATCCCTGTCAGATACTAAGTAAGTTACAATTTGAGGTCAAAGATGACAGTTAAAAGGTCAATGCTAATTTACATACCTCTGTGTAGTGTTTGACTGCAGCGTCTATGAGGAATTCCTGCGTCTCAAAGGGGTGGAGCCTAGTGAAGGGGTCCAAGGAAACGGGGGCGTCCTCAAACTGGATCATGAAGAGTCTCTGCTGAGTCTTGAGGGCTTGGAGGTCGGGCGTTAGCTTGGACGATGTCAGCACGCTCAGTTTGAACTCGGTGGCGCTGAGTTTCAGCGTCTCAAAGAAGTAGCGTTTGGCCTTCTGTTCTACGGACACAGGTCTAGGTAAAGAGGCGAGAATTAAGTTTTTGGTTTAAATAGTTGGCTAGGGCGTCTGGTTCATATTCTTCTGGATGCAGGTTTGAATCCTGCCTTCGGAACAGCACTTTGTGTCCTTGAGCAATGGGCTTTACCACAATTGCTTCTCCCTACCCGGAAGTATCACAAAACCTTGTAAGGGCAGTCGAGAGAGTCTCGTGTTTCAAATTATGCTCGCCAGGTGGGTTTGAATCTCTTTTTGGACACAGTACTTGTGTCCTGTAGCAAAGCACTTTACAACAATTGCTTCCTGCAAACCTAGAGTATCATGGGAACTTATGAGGATTTGATTCCAATCAAGGCACACAGTGTTGTGTCCTTAGGCAAGACACTTAACCATAACTTGTGTTTTCCTAACCAGGAGGATCAATGGAACCTAGCAAGGCAGACTTTGTAGTTCTACGCCCAGTTGATAATGTAGTGGGGTGCTGTGGTCCAATGGTTACAGTGTTCGACTCGTGTGCCGTGGTACATGGGTTCGAATCCTGACCGTGGGAACATGGTGCTTGTGCTCTTGAGCAGGCACTTTACCATTATTGCTTCGTCCTTCGGATGGGACGTAAAGCCGTAGGTCCCATGTGTTGTGTAATGCACGTTAACCCTTTCCTTACCATGTGGTAATGGGGGACTTTTGTCGACAAGAAGAACCCCCCTGCTGGTTCCCATGGGCGACTTTAGTCGACCAGGAAACCACACACAGAACACCCTCAACACAGATATATTCACTACTTTTCAGAAAGGCGGCATGTTGATATGTTTGGTCGGCCATACATCAACCATATACCAGCTGAAAGAGTGTTTTCGGATCATTCTAATGGTGTAGTTTATTCATAGTGTTGCCATTACAAAAAAATGAGAAAAGTGCTTGAGAAGTATCCACTCACAAATTGAGGTATGGAGTGCCATTCGGTCATGTGGTGAAATGGCTTGCAGTTTCATAAATGGAACCAGATGAACAAACAGGCATAACTTTCTTATATTTACACATATGGACTTCATTTTTACATTACATAAAAGAGTAAGGTTCGAGGAACAAACTTTACACACAACACCTATGATTTAAATCACTCCTTGGTAGTGAAAATGTGGGTTGAAAAAAGTGAGTTTTGGACTTGTGGTCATTTTGTTCACGCTCTAGTGATTTCCGCATGACTGAGCAAACAATTTGGTCCTGGGGAGAGCCAAGTCAATAAACAATGTGGTAATGAGAGGGTTAAAGAACCCAGTAACACTTATCGCTAAGAGAAGGGGTTTGCCCTGGTGTTTCTGGCAGTGGCTGCAATATGTGCCGCAGCACCTTGTAAACCCTTATAAGGTGCTACATAATGGGTCTCATATTTCTCATAAACTTTATTTACCTTTCTTTAAAGGGAACATGAAATAAAATTTTGATTGCATTTTTTTTGCTTAAATCAATAAAGGATGATGTTCTTAACAATATTTTGTGTATGGCAGTGTTTGTCTTCTGGGATAAATGGGGGAAAATAATTTGTGAACATGTTTGGTCAAACTACTCTGCCCCACAAAGGGAAGCTTCATTAACATAAAACTTCGCGAGGGGTATGACGCAAATCAAGGCAGAGACTTGCCGCACTGCGGGGGGCACCGGCATTGCGGCGTGCAACATAATACATGTAAATACATTGCGGCACTGAAAGTTTTTCTGATGTTTCGTTCGGAATCGAGGAGAAATAACACCCGATTTTTGGCGATGCCGACAAGGTGTGTGGCTGCTGGGTGTAGCAAAACTACCAAGGATGGAGTAAGCCTTCATTTGTTTCCAGTAAATCCGAAATATCGGAGCATTTGGAGAGCCAAAGTGAAGGTAAATACCAGAGCAAAGTGGTCCGGGCCCAGTGAGTTCGCGGCCCTCTGCGCTGCACTGTCGTGCTTTGATGCTGGTCTGTACAGCAACTTTGGCATGCTCCTAAAAAACATCGAGTCAGTGTCTGAATCATTAGAACTCTGATTCGAATCGGACGAATCTGTACAATTTTTATCGGATTCGCTAAGGAAAGAAGAGTCTTCGGAACCTTCACGGTCATGACGGTCGTCCTTGTTTCATTTGCAACGGTGGCACCGTGGCACGTCCACGTGTGCATGTACATGTATATGTAGACACATTCCTACGTGTGCATAATGCCACGTACGAGTACGCGGCAGCTGCACATACACAGAGCACAGTGACTTCGCTAATCCGTCTCGTACCCAGACGTCATTTACGGGCCCTGGATTTCTCTGCCTTTGTTTACGTCATGAACAGCGCCCTCATTTGGAGTTGCCGCGAAAATCAAAAAGGGGGGGTTCAATTTTGGACGGCAAATTACCACACTAAACGTACACCAGAACCAGTTCTGCTTTTAATTCACATTTAATACACATAAATGAATGTATATATAAAATAAAATACGTTATGAAAATTTTGGACTGCATGTTTCCTTTAATAATAGACATATCTCCAGCGCCTTGAGTACATGCGCTATATAAGACTCCGATATTATTATTATTATTATTATAACAGCTGGTGTACTTAAAGCTGCCATGTATATGGCACAGACGGAGGGAGTTTGAGATGGATCCACGAATCTCTAACAATCTTGACAATTAGGGGTTAATAATATCGGACCAACCTGAGTGAGTTGTAATAGCTCTCGTCCATCTTTTCAATCTCGCTGTCCGACTGAGCGAATCCGGCAAACTGCATCAGCTTGAGCAAGAGCAGCTCCTCAAGGTTCAGGGTCATCTTACGAAGATTGACAAACAACAACTGCCACAGAGAAAAAGGGGCGGTGTCTGAATTGATTATGGCTACGGCTTTGGTTTTACCATTGGCATGCTGTTATCAATAGACGTAGCCATAGACGATGCCTGTTTCAAACATGGTCCAAGGCTTCCTTTGCAAAGATATTGGTGTTTCTGTCTGTGACGGAGTATTGAAAACTAAGGGCAGAATGTGGTTACTGAAGAGACACATATTTACAACAAATATCTGTATGATAATGTACTAGAGTCAAAAGGAGCCATAATGGAATTATTAAAGCTATAGTCCATCATTTGCAGCTATTCGAAAAGTAACTGGTGTAATTATTGTTGAAAAACATACTTGGTTGAAAGATAGTAAGTGGACTAAACTCCCTGTGAAATTATTCTTTCTGGCAAACTGTCATTTTGAAGTAATCAACGAAAGAAGGCCTTTCCAACGGTGCTTCTTAAGACGCACCGTAGGAAATTTAAATAAGTGGTTCGTTTTGTTATTCGTCAGATCAGTGCGCGACATCGCGTAGCTGCAATCGGCTAGTGAGAACGTGTCTCAGACGCTGAATTCAGGCCCAATTCAAAACATGATTCAGCAACTTTTGATTTGAAATTTAGGTCCTAGAATGCTGTTTTTCTCGGAATATACAGCTGAAGCTGAGCTGAAACTTCATCAGGTTAGTTGTTCAGTACCCTTCTTTAGATTTTGAGCACTTTTGTTGCTTCAAACGAACAAAATGCACAAATTACAAATGATGGACTATATCTTTAACAATAAATTTAATACAGGCATGCAACCAGGAAGTCAGAACATGAGGATATTGCAAGCTTCAGAAGACTCTTTGCAGTATTTTGTAATTTTTACAGGCATACACGATAAGTACATCAAGAAGAATGAAGCCGGTCTGAGGAAAACTTGCATGCCTGTTATCAGACATGCAACAGGGGAACCACAAAAAAAATGACAAAAGTTTGTTACTGGACTTGTGATTGATTTCTGATGACTACAAGTTTTGTCGTAAGGTAGAAGGTCGAGTGTTTGGACTGTCGAGAGGGGTTGTTGGGCATTGTGACTGCCATACCTTGTAAATATCCACCATTTCATGAGATGATGGTAGCTTCGTTGCCGATATACTCAATGCCGGTGTACTGGACATGCTCGGTTTGTCATCTTGGGATGGAGTGACGAACAATACAACTGGCTTCTGTGCTCCGGTCAGCTGATTGTCCACCTGTTTCAAACAAAGATAAGTAAAAATTACACAAAAATAAAGACTATTTTAATTTCAAACTTTTCCAGTAAGCAAAACAATTTTGAAGAAAAGGGTCACTGTTCTTGCAAAACAAAATCAGACAAGAAAATCAAAATATTCCTTCATTTAAAGGTTCACTCTTCCTTTTTTTAAATTGAATTTATATTTGTCCAACTTTACTTCTCTTTTTTATGTTTTTTTTTAAATTTTATCAAGTAACTTAAAACTACCCACTCATTTCAGTTATTATTATTTTTATTTTTTTGCAAAATCCTTTGAACATTTTTTAACTTAGTCTTTATTCATATTTCTCTCTTTTATTTATACAGGTCCGACAAGAAGTCTACTCAAGTTAAATTCTTTAATAAAGTTTGTCTCGCCTCACCTGTATGTTTTTGATCTGGACTTTGAGGGTGATTTCTTGCCGTGTGCTGACGTGTTGTACCTCCAGACCAGACAGTAAGATATACAAAACCTCTTCCGGTGTTCTGTTGACTAGCGACACGCCCAGGCCATCCCTCAAGAAGAACACAACCTGCAAGGCGAACAATCATAAGTGATCACAAGTCTAGTCACAAGAGAATAACAAGTAACAAGTAGCAGGTGGATTAATAATAACAAAAGGAATGCCTTTGTCCCAGTTCACTGGAAGAGCTTGTGACTTGACTTGGGACTGAGTGACTTGTGGTTGACTTGTGAGGACTTTTAATGGGCTCCGCTACAACACTTCTAATAAAATTATTCGATCTTAATTATCCTTCATTTCTTTTAAAGATGTTGTCACATTTTGATAATTACATTTTTTTTTAATTCAAATTTACTTCTTTGAAAGGGCGGTAAAATCTGTTTGTGTTGTAACACAGGTATGATTACCAGCCGGCCCATGAAACTGCAGTACTGTGTTAAAAAAAAAAAAAAAATTAATAAAAATGTCACAATAAATGTTAAAGCGTGCACAAACTTACATCTAATTCCTTGACCTTTGGCCTATCACCCTGTGTGTCGTGGGTTCTGACCACGGGTCTGGTCTCTCCGCTAGCCTTGTTCTCCTTGGCTGCCTTGACGTACATCCACTCATCTTTCTGGGCTTGTCCAGCTCCTGAAACTGTGACCTGTGTTGGTGACTAGAGATATAAAAAAAATATGCAAATAATATTAATATTCATAATCACCTACTTTGCATAATTCTACCTAATTTGCATAATTCATTTCTTCACAGATACAGATATTAATAAGATGAAGCATTACCATACAAGGTTTGTAAAAATGCATTTTAAAGCTTTAAAAACAATGTTCAAATCTTTTTTTTTTCTATAAGCCATGATGCTACAAAATGGAATCTGCACTATTTGCATACAATTTGCATATAATCTGCATGTTGTGAATGCCATTTGTAAAAAAAAACTGTAGGATAAACATTTGACAAAGGAAAACAAAACTCTCATTTTAGAAAAGCGAATTGGTTAAAACTGATTTAAAGGAGCCAATTTTAGTGTGTATATCAGAATGATAATTTTGTGCATAATTACCCACAATGCAATGCAGCCTAATTATGTATGCAAAAAGATCAATTTTGGTCATAACAAGAGATCCAAACAAAATTTCTTGATGGGACTTTCACGGCTGAACATAATATTACTGTAATCTCCGAAATCCAAGATTAACCTGGGGCAACAAAATTGTAGTAAAATTGTCAAATTTGCAAAACCGCTACTGTGATAAGAAAATGTACAAATAGATGAGATATATAAGTCAACACTATCACTTGCATAGACTGTGTGGTGTGATGCTCGCATGTATGGGTAACACACGGGTATGCAATTACCCCCACAGAACCCATGGGAAGGTCTGAGACAAAGGCGTGAAACCCTCGAAAGGGGGGCCCCTGTAACCATTAGGGGGTGGAGGAATGGAAACATGGCCCTTGTGAGGTGCACTTGTGGCACAAGAGGCGCTCCTATCGCCCCCCCTTGGGGGTGATGGGTGGGCTGATGCCAAGCATCTGCACATCGGTTGGGAGCCTGTCACTGCCAGCAACTTTGAGTTCAATGTGCAAGGTGGCATACTGTGCCATAACCCAATTCAGACTACACTCACACCACTCTTTTTTGGAAAAAAAAGTGGGAAAATTGTTTCAAAACACTAAAAACACGTAGGGCCAAAACACGATGATCCTTGCATGATCTTTCAAATTGACAAAGCTAGTTTTCCCACACTTCTGAATTACCACTTTTCTTTAAATAAAAGTTTAGGTCTCCTAATATGGAAAATTGTTTCAAGTTTGCTACAATTTTTTTAGAAGGGCCAAACACGTTGATCCTTGCAAAATCTTTCAAAATGACCAAGCTAATTTTCCCAAATTCCTGAATTACTACTATTCTTTATATAAAAATATTTTGGTCTCCAAATATCAGGGGTGTGATTGGACAAAAATGAAAAATCCACGAACTTCGGTTGACATGTAATATACATGTACATGTACATGTACATGTATTACATGTACATGTACATGTATTATTGTACATGTACTTGTATAGATGTACATGTATACATATGCATGCACGTATGTCCATATATAGGCCTAGAGCATGTACATTTTATGTACTGTAATTTCTGTATTTTTTTTTGTTAGCAAATTTTGTCGCTATAGTAAAGAAAACAAATGGGGGAAAAATTAAGAAAAAACGTCTGGTCATTAAAATTAAATAATATAATCCATATGTGATTGATTCATAAAGGCTTTTTCTGTGTGTGATGTTATTACTTTTGCATGTTGCAGAGAGAAACGATTCACACAAAACAATATGAACGGTGCTGAAAAAGTTTAATCTTACTTTAAACTCCAGTCCCAGGCTTCCAAAACATTTTTGAAATTTTGTGTTGGTGGTGGCTATTTTTCAAAGCACTACTGCAGCTCAAACTGATTTCCATCCACAGTGACACTTTATTACCAGTTCTTCCAGCCATACTCTTGAATTCCTTGACAAAATCGCGGCAATATTGACACCAATGTGTTTGCGAATTGCTAGCACACGATCGTCACTGCACAATACATGCACAATACACACACACATCCACACGCGATATACAAACACGAGGTGCTGCAAACCCATTGAAAATTATTTTTAGTCTGGTCCTCAAGTACTCCACTGCGCATACTGCATTAATGTCTATTAGGTTCTTGACCGCACTGCATTAGACTTGTCACCAGTCCATCCATTATCGTAAATTAGAGCCTATATTTCGCCAGAAGTTTTTGGGCGATATTATTACGGAAACAAAAAACGTTAAAAATCCGGAATCCGCACAAAAATTCCGCAGACGTTAGATTAAAAATCCGGAAATCCGGAAAAATCCGGAAAAATCACACCCCTGAAATATGGAACAATCTTTCCTAAATAACGAAATATACAAAATTTCCAAATTTACGACTGATTTTAAAATGCAAATTTGAAGACTCCAAACACAAAACAATATTTCACTTTTCCCAAATAACAGCATATCTCAATTTAAAACTGATTGAAAAAAAACAAAATTGAAGTCTCCACAGATAGAACAATATTTCTGTTTTCATAAAAGTAAAAAGAGGCATTTTGGCAGAATCTGAACACAACCTTTTTTTCTTTTGTTTGTAATCAGAGTGCTATATAAGATGTCTTGCTCCCTGACTCTTACCTGTAACCAGCTATCGGTTATCTGTAGTACCCTGGTTGGTCCATCGGCAAGCACCTTGCAGTTTAGGCACCCACTACCCGGTAGGTGTTTCTGGGTGTGGATTGCCTGCTCGACGGGAACGCGATCCTTGAGCTTGATGTCTGCCGGACCCAGGACGACTTCACAACCTACGGGAGAGAAATATATGGGATCATTTCTAATTGTTTGCAATAATTTTATATCAATTCGGGCGATTCACAATGCAGTGCGCCATCAAACGTTTGCCATGGAGAGTCTATTTGTTTAAGTTTAGGGTCGACAAAACATGAACAAATTGAATGAGTGTCAGTAAACTACTTGAGCTAATTTGTTATAGATTTGGGCATAGCGTTCTGCCGCCTTACAAAAAAACACCATATTGATAAAAAGAAAACAAAAGGGCAAACAGATACTCGAATCACACACTTACGAAACTATATACTGACCGGAAAAACTAACAATTTCAAATGTCCCGCGCTGCGAATTTGTCGACCATCTCCCACAATGCACTGGGAAAAATGAACTCAACATGGCAAACTCTTGGTGGCGCACTGCATTTTGAATCGCCTGAATAGCAATTAGATCATGAAATCTTTGATATTTATAAGACGAAATTTTGCATCGGGGTGATGTAAATCAAATTAGGTTTTGATCCTCCTGATTTCTAAATAGAAAGCAGGAAGTCGTGGGTTTGAGTCCCACCCGAGTGATTTTATCCAACTTTCACTCGGGAGGTAACACACTGAGTATACAGTGTTTATACGTCAGTGAAGGGCAAAACCTGGTTTGATCTTTGGTATTATGTCTTTGATAACCGTAAGCACACTTGAGGATTTACAGCTAAAACAAATACATCAGTGTAAGGCAAAACCCAGTATTGAGTTAAAACAAATCACGGCGCTATAAATGTGATAAATTCAAATGTTTCAATCATATGAAGGAGAAATTGATGCAACAAAAAATTCAAGTGTGGTTTTATCATAATGCCATACTTTCCAAGGAAAAGCATCGTAGCTGTACTCCAAGCAAGGGTGTTGAGCAAAAGTTAGATTACACTTAAGCAGAACTTGATCAAGTCATGTCACATAATTCTTAATCAACATTTTGGCCATTTTGCAAACCCCGGCCTTGTTTCCAGCTTCAGCTACTGGTTCTTTCTCTATGAAAGTAAGTCACAGTATTTGGGATCCTGCATTTCTGTTCGGTTAAGATCAGTTCATGCCAAAGGAACATTAAACCCTAGATCTGGGTGGCTTTTAATTAAATATGTTCATCTAAGACTTCTTACTGATTGTAGACTCAGAAATGAATCCACAGCTGAATCTGAAGCCTTGGTTGAATAACATTTCCTAGATTCCAGATTTTGGGGGTGGTAACTCACCTTCTCGTAGCCCCATGACGCCCCCCTTGGCTTGTACCGCTAGACCGCCGAGATGACAGATCATACGCCCATCCTGATGAGAGAACAACACAAACCATTCTCAACCTTTGCAAGATACTCAATCAGACTATTCAAGTGCTTAGATTCTTAGTCTGATTTTCTCAACTGAACATTCCTACGGTCGGTTTATAAATTTAAGCTTAGCCAATGGGATGGTACGCATGTCCCTTAGCAGGGCATTTTATCATTAGTAGATTCCCAATTAGCAATTGGGTATTAGTAGATTCCCAATAAGCAATTGGGTATTAGTAGATTCCAAAATTAGTAATTGGGTATTAGTAGATTCCAAAATTAGTTGGGTATTAGTAGATTCCAAAATTAGCAATTGGGTATTAGTAGATTCCCAATTAGAAATTGGGTATTAGTAGATTCCCAATTAGTAGTTGGGTATTAGTAGATTCCAAAATTAGTAATTGGGTATTAGTAGATTCCAAAATTAGTGATTGGGTATAAGTAGATTCCCAATTAGCAATTGGGTATTAGTAGATTCCCAATTAGCAATTGGGTATTAGTAGATTCCAAAATTAGCAATTGAGTATTAGTAGATTCCAAAATTAGTGATTGGGTATTAGTAGATTCCCAATTAGTAATTGGGTATTAGTAGATTACCATTTAGTAATTGGGTATTAGTAGATTCCCAATTAGTAATTTGGTACATGCAAGGCAGAGTTGGCTCCAATTACGAGAACGTTGTCACTAATTGTTTAAGTCCATTTGGGAGCCATCAGGTATTTGCGAAGGCAAAAGTGATTCATTTATAAGCTCTCTGGTGGCCAAAAGGCAGCAACTGAGTTGTATGTGACTCCCACGAAGTTCAGACAGACACAAAAATGACTTATAGGCCCGATGAGCAGGGGTCATAATCAGCACTAATGATAGTACAACTCATATTAATACGAGTTCACACTTAAAGACAAATAATTCCTGCAATCTGAAAAAAAAATCCATCACCATGCAATTAACAAATGGCACTTTTGCTAAACTCAAGCCCGGTTCATACTTCACGCGAAAGCGAAAGCGAAGCGAAATTCGTGATGTAAACAATACATTCAAAGCGCGTCCACCATTGTTGACGACATGAATTTCGCTTCGCACATGCTTTCGCGTGAAGTATGAACCGGGCTTTAAACAAAACTGGAACATGAAGCCCATGCAAACTATTAGTGGCTTGGCTATGAAGTTCTAAATCAATTGAAACCCTACGAAAACAGGCTTAGGATTTTGGAGGATTTGGGTAGGATGGGTCGAATGCAACGTTTTCTTGACCTCTTTGAAGAACCACGTCTGCGTGCCTTTCCTCCTCTCGTCGGGCTTGCGCATGACCAGCGGCATGAAGGAGTTGGGATTGGCAGCCAGGTCGGCGATGTCCAACACCAAGGGATCGTGGGTGCTGGAGGGCGCTTTGTTGGGATCGCGCGGCGGCGTGAAGACCTGGTTCTGCAGCATGCCCGATGGCGTCATACGCCAGAGCTGGCTGCGCTTTCCAGGTTCCTGGAGATTAATCAAACAAAAACGGGAATTGAAGCAGGCCTATGTATTGAGCTCAGGCCTGGGCCCAATTTCATAGAGCTGCTTAAGCAGAAAATTTGCTTAAGCACGAAAAAACATTGCTTAGTAAAATTAGGTTACCGGCCAAAACTCCATGTGATGTACATTGCTTGTGACTGGTATTTAGCTGTTGTTTACTTAGCATAACAATCGCATGGAGTTTTGGCCGGTAACCTGATTTTATTAAGCAAGATGTTTTTGTGCTTAAGCAAATTTTGTGCATAAGCAGCTCTATGAAATTGGCCCCTGGAGTTGCCATCTAAGATGTTCAGATCCTGAGATAATTTGTCACCGGAGGATGACATGTATGAAGAAAAAAGTGGCGTCAGGTTGCAACATTTTTCCTGGAAAAGTTTACAGTGAATACGCCATTTGAAGTGACTATATCTAAAAGAAAAGTGCACGGTTTCCAGCACTTCATTTTTTGGTATTTAAAAAAAAAAAACCTGAGTTTTTTTTCCCTGACTGGAAAAATGGAAAATCCTTTTCAAGTTTCTGTGATTTCCAGAGAGGTTGGGAACCGTGAAGTTGGTTCCATGAAGAACCAGAACTTCTCTGAATGAGTTGGTCATTCCACAGTGTGTATCCTAAAGCTTCTCCAAAGTTATACTCTACACGATGCAAACCTTCAAATCTCATGTTTTCACCCCTGCTTTATTTTACCTTTCGTCGGAGGATGACAGCTTTGCCGTTGGGCATGATGTCGAAGACAAGATTGGCGGAGGTGTAATCATCTTTCCTCTTCAGCGACCCACTAGAAAATGACGGCGACGAGGAACTGAAATTAAAGAATATTGAAGCGAAAAATACTTATAATTAATTGTTTATTGTCTTCTTCCGCTAATTGTGCAATACACTTTTCTTTCTTGCGAGTGGTAAAACTTCAGGAAGGGTTTTAAAAGAAAAAGTACTTGAATAAACCTCTACACAGATGAAAAAGATCACAAAGATGCCACATCAGACTTGAACCGGTAAGCCCGTCACAAAAGGCTGTGCGGTCGAGTGGTAAGACATCTGCACAAGAAAGCAGGCGGTCGTGGGTTTGAGTCCCATCCCAGTAAGCTTGTGCATATTTTTCTTGCAAGCCCTCTGACAACACGGTACACAGTGTTTACAAAATGCGTCAGTAAAGGGCAAAAACCCAACATTGAATTGTCATCTCCGAGAGGATAATTCAATCCTATAAATGGGACTCCATGCACGACCAGTTGATGGCACTTTGTGCCCATTTTCGTTAGGCCCATTGGGACGAACACGCTGCATAAGTGCACTGTCTCCAAAAGCCTGTCTCCAAAAAAATGGTACAATCGAAAACTTTTTTTTTTTTCAATATTAAATCTCAACATAAGTAAGTCGTTTTGAGCATCACATTAAAGAAAAAAGACCAGGCTTTCCAATACTTTTTGTTTCATCTCATTTGCTTTTGTCAATCCAGAGATAACTTCAGTTTACTGCGGAACACAAAAATCGAGTTAGTTTCTTTTGCCAAGTTGCAATCTTTTGTGAGCTTCAAGACAGCATGGCACAGTACTCGAAACAACTCTACCCATGCATAAAAGTGGCACAAAATCGATTTTGGTGTATCGCACTAAATTGATTATATCTCTGAATTGACAAAAGCAAATAAGATCAAACAAACACTATTGGAAAGCCCAGTCTTTGTTCTTTAATATTATGCCAAGTAAGAATGACTTATTTTGAAATTTCATATTTAACCAATTTTTATCTGATTGTACTATTTTTTTTTAGACAGGCTGTAGTTCACAGGATTATTGGGCGAATTACGCAAGACTTATTTGATTCTTAATGTGCCCAAACCCATGGCACCTTCGCGTAAATTATAAGCAATACGTGTGAATGTACCTCCAAGTGGGCTTCCCTACCCTCCCCTTTTGAACCGTTTGGGGGAGGACAACTTATTCACGGAGTCACGTAACCCTGTAACTCACCCGCTGCATGTATGCGTCAGGCACAGATAGATGAAGTTCTCATAGTACAGTGGTACCCCATCCCCTAGAGTGTCCAGCTTGTATGTTGCTCCAGAGCCACCCTTGACTTCACAGTACAGCTCCCTTGGTAAGACCAACTCATCCCAAGTATACGGAACTGCAGAAGATGGAAAATATGAAGATTTCGACAAAAGTAATAGGAGTAACTCTCATACAATGCAAGGAAGTCTATGATGGTGTTACGAGTTTTGACATGCATCACATAATTTTAAGATGGAATTTTGCGTCGGGGTGATATAAATCAAATTATCGGTTTTGCCCTTCACCGACGTTTAAACACTGTATACTCAGTGTGTAATTGACACATATCTAGTGCAGATGTAAGACATCTGCACTAGAAAGCAGGAGGTCGTGGGTTCGAGTCCCACGCGAGTGATTTTTTCCAACTTTCACTCGGGAGGTAACACACTGAGTATACAGTGTTTAAACGTCGGTGAAGGGCAAAACCGATAATTTCATCACATAATTGTAAATTTCTAAGTCACAAACCTGAGGCCTTTGCTCTGAGGACTGTTCGGAGGTTGGTGTCAGCAACTTTAGACTGGTAATAGATGATATTAACCTAAAGAAAAAGACAACAAAATCCAGTAAAATATTTGTGTTTTATGTGCTGTTTAAGTTGAATTCTGAGTTGTGTAGATGAATTAATTAAAGGGAATATACAACATTTGCAAACATCGAAAAATAAAACTACCCAAGTTTTTACAAAATACTTTACTAGGATGTTGGTAAATGACAGTCTAAAGCATCCTGTAAAATTATGGCACCTGGTGTGAAGTCATTTTCAAGAAAATAGTATTTTTGTATACATTTCCAACGGTGGTCAGCCGACCACCATTGGAAAACCTTACTATTTTTCAACTACTGATCCAAATTATATTTTTTTAGTCCAAATTTTGTTTGCTATTGGTTACATGTTCATGAACGGGTGCAGGCAGGCTAGACTGGTTCCCTTACCTTACAATTTGCCGGCAAATTGATCTATTTCATCTTTAGTGGAGTCAGGGAACCAGACTGCTTGAACGTTTTTGTTTTTCTTGGTTTTCCCAGCATTTTCGAACACAAAACTTCAAACATGTCAGTGTAACAATATTTGATCGATTATAGTAACCCCTCAAATAGTTCCTTTCTGAAAATTACAGCAAAAGCCAATGATGTACATTCCCTTTAAGGGATAAAGATGTCTGTAGTGTTCTTATTGATTGCTTTACTTGACGAGACCTAAGATCACTACAGCAAAGATTATTTGTTAGGTTGATTGTTTGTGTCATGCCTACCTCTGACATGTTGTCTATTCTATAAGGAGGAGGAACATGGATGGCATCGCTGAAGACAACGAAGAAGGTAGCACCGACGAGACTGACAGCAACATGCATGATGTTGGATTGGTTGTTGGCGCTCCTAGAAGAGGGGCAAAAGGTAAAAACTGACAGATAAACTCTGGGGAAAACCCACAATTTATAAATAAATTTTGAATAACTTCTAGTTTTATTATTTTGCTAGTTGAACCAAAAATGGGTTCTGAAATGGGATAAAAAGGAGCTATAATTTAAATAAAAACTTTGTGTCATAGTTGACTTGGGACTTGATGGCTTGTGATAGACTTGTGATTGAGTTGTGATTAACTTGTGATGGAATTGTGATGGACTTGTGATGGACTTGTGATGACTTGTGATGGACTTGTGATGGACTTGTGATGGGCTTGTGATGGACTTGTGATGGACTTGTGATGGACTTGTGATGGACTTGTGATGACTTGTGATGGACTTGTGATGGGCTTGTGATGGACTTGTAATGGGCTTGTGACGGACTTGTAATTGACTTGTGATGGACTTGTGATGGGCTTATGATGGACTTGTGATGGGCTTGTGATTGGCTTGTGATGGGCTTGTGATTGGCTTGCGATGGACTTGTGATGGTATCATGATGGACTTGTGATGGACTTATGATGGACTTGTGATGGACTTGTGATGGGCGTATGATGGACTTGTGATGGGCTTGTGATTGGCTTGTGATGGACTTGTGATGACTTGTGATGGGCTTATGATGGACTTGTGATGGACTTGTGTTGGACTTGTGACGACTTTTGATGGCTTGTGATCCATCACAAGCCCCTCGACCATAACACTGCTTTCCACCCACCTCATGTTGATATTGAATGAGCTTGGCAGATCAATCCTCATGCCCCCAGACCACCTACATGTCTGGTCGCTAGCGATGCGTGCACACAGGAGTTTATCCAGGTCATCCCTGGGCCAATGGAAGATGACACTGGAGCCTTCTATCACTGACAGGTACTGGTTAGGATTCTTAAACCCCTGTGAAAATCAAAGGCATATAGGATCATTTGCTTTTTGTGCATTTTGTTAATTTCCAATGACAACCCCATTCAAAATCCAGCGAATAATGTTCAAAACCTAACCTGTTGAAGTTTCACCACAGATTACCCTTCTTGAGAAATCAGTGAAAAACTATGCACAACCCTTTTATCATGAAACACGAGTTCGTCTATCATGTCTATAGCACTTTTTTTTCTTCAAATATTCCAACATTCTTACCATTCCCTGCACGAAGTGACGCTGTGCAAAGGCCAAATTGCAACTGGAGCGATTCTCCAACTGAAAACGAGGCACAAAGGTCACGATCTGGGTGTCATGGTAACGACCCCGGCCAGGTCGAATGTCAATACCGATGTGGTACACCCTGCAAGGGCATGTCGGGCAAAAAATGGATAACACAAGAAAAATCGGACAGAGTCTATTTCTTTCTTTAATTTAAAATTAACAAAAACTGAATTGATTCAAATTCTGTGATAAAATCTTTCAAGAATCCAATAAGAATTTTCGTTCATTTAATTCATCCGTTTACTAATTCATTAGTTTCGTTTGGTTTATTAAAATCAAAACAGGAAACTAGCTTGAATTTTAGCTGGAGAAAAAAAATTGTGCCCAAGTCCCCAAAATAATGCTTGGTGTTTTTTTTCTCTCGTTCAAAAAGCCACTCACATATGTGGCCGGCCCCCCTGTTGCGAAACACGCAATGATCGGACTCCTGAACCGCCCTCTAGTGATATGCGCTGGCAGTACTGCGGTACGTCCTTGAGACCGATGATTCCTCGTCCTAATCGCATCGTGCACCTGGAACAGACACAAAAAATTCAAGGTTAACATCAGTTCTCTTCTCATACTTCGTATCATGTACACTGGATCAGGCCTCTTCACACTATTAATAATAATAACAGGTTCTTATATAGTGCTTTTAACTTTTAACTAAAGATCAAAGCGCTTTACATTATTATTACCCCTAATCATTTGGCCAATTAAACATTCTAAATACAATCTCAGCTCCCTGGGGAGTATGCAGCTCGATGCTGCCTGTTAGGCTCAAAGTAGCTTAAATCAACCACAATAACCATCTCTGCCCTCACAGGTACCCATTTACTCCTCAGTGGGGAGAAGCAATGAGTGACAAAGTGCCTTGCCCAAGGGCACACGCACCGTAGCCACAGGCTGGACTCGAACCCAGACCCGTGCCCCAGACCACGAGGCCACAGCACTCCACTATTGTCTCACCTACATGTGTTGTTATCAACACAATTCCACCCTTAAGAAAACCTTGTCCAATCGCACTGGGGTAGGCAATGCATACTGTTCACACTTAACCAGGTTGTACACAGGTCGGCTGTAGATTTTGGATTTTCTACCTGGGTAGAGTCTCTCTACCCTGGACGTGACCAGGGTTGGATTTTACCCATGTAGAGCACCGGACCCATGTAAAAGCCGTGTTGGATTCTAACTAGTATAAAAGGTGTTCCCAAAATCTCTGAGCTCAACCCGGGTCTAACACAGTGTTGTAGTCGAGTACTTGTTCATGAGTACGAGTACGAGTATGGAAAAGAGTACTCGAGTATGAGTACGAGTACTACAACATTGGTCTAACACCAAGATTTTGGATAGTGTGTGAAAGGCCCTTAATACTCACATTTCGGCGTACTCCGAGTCGGCATACGAAAACACCAAGGGGGCTACACTCCTAGCTTGTTCGTGGATTTCAAACTGCCCGGCTGCCTCAAAGTCTGCTCCCTCCTGCTTGAATATGAGTGGCAACCCTGACTTGTTGAGGAGCCAGTAACGTGCAGAGATCAGAATCTAGGGAAACGGATGACAAATGGTGACAAGGGTAAGAAAAACTCGTAAACCCACATACGTTTACGTTACATACCTAGTGTGGACATTCCTTTGTTTTCCTGTAGTTAAGAAAAACCTGTGAAAAAAAAATCCTTTTTGTCACACTGTGTTAACTCTTTCAACCCAAAATTTTTACTATGATTCGCTTGAGAGTTCCTCTTCATTTTGCGACGGACAAACCTAACCCAAAAATGCCTCTAAACCTGTTTTCCAGAGAGGGGAAAACCTTGTGTGGACGTGGGCAAGTCCACACAACGTATCTGAAAACTGGTTTATGTGGACGTCTTTTGTTCGGAAGTCCACACAGTGAATGTAATGTTTGTACAAAGTGTGGCAACACACTTTGTTACAATGTGGTATTAGATTGTGACGTTTCATTGGTTCAGAGCTGTGACGTCCTTCAAACCTTCATATATGATAACCTGATGGCTCTGCGGAGAACATCACCTCATGTTCCCCGGGAATGTCCCTCAGCGTTCTGAAAGACTTTAAAACATTTTTGTACCCTGCTGCTTTGTACAACACAGCTAGAACAGACCCTGCGCACAAGGTTGGTGGTGTCTACGCGAATTCAAAAGCGTGTTGAGGCAGACAGGCATCTTCTCAAAGATTAATGATTTCACTGTTCAATTAAAATGTGTAGGGGTGTCAAAACAGAAAGAAAATTACTGCCTTTGTAAAATATGAGATTTTAAATATCATATTGTGACTTCTAAAAGACTCAAAAAAAGTTTTTGAAAATAAAACTATGTAATGGTATTACAAAGCAATTGTTGTCTGTTGTAAAAATAGTCCATGGGTTTTGTACACCCTGGGAGGCAAGTGGCACCCTCAGCATGGATGACATGGGAGCTGACAACAATAAGCCATTTTCGGTATTCCAAAAGAGTCTGGTGCACAAGATTCGACTTTTTTTCAGGATACCCGCGGCAGATAAATGCACACAAGGCTATGGGGGACGTGGCAACCAAATCTGCATTCTGTGTATTTTTATTGCAATCGAGAAGAGATGGGAAATTTCGTTCGCACAAAAGTTTGGACACACACTTCGTTGTTCAAACGTTTTTTGTTTGCAAACTGTTACTTCAGAACACGACAATCTCTTCAATTTTGCTGGTACCCCGCTATGCTTTTGCACGCGTACGATGAAATATCTATCCCGAAAAAAGAATTGTCAAATCTTGACGAGCACGTGCGCAGATGGAATACCGAACTGGATTATTGTAAAATATATCACAAGGTTGGAAAAAACAATGTGAACTATAGGGTAAATAAAAAACGTGAGCCACATCAGAATGGTTAATAGTTGAATGGTCCACGGTAGGGTTGCCATCCTACCTTGAGACATCTGCCTGCACGACACTCCACCCTCGCCTTCAGAAGCAGGCGGCGTTTCTTAGCGTGACTGTCCCTCAGCATGATATAACCGTAAGCGTCCTTGGTCAGACGTTGGGGTAGGGAGAGCGGGGTGTAGCAGTTGGGGAAGTTGTCCATGGTGAAGCTGATGTCGTTGGCTTGGTTCAGATCAGTCTGCAGGGATGGAAACAAAGAAGATCAACGTATTAACCGTTTAGTCATTGTACCGCTCAAAACAACCTACCTATTACTCCCTGTAACGCCAGAAACCACCCAAGCACTCTATGGTTTGATGGATTCATCAGTGAATAAGCACAATGTAATACAATGTAATACAATGTAACACAATGTAATACAATGTAACACAATGTAATACAATGTAATACAATGTAATACAATGTAATACAATGTAGTACGGGTTAATATTTGGACAATTTAGGATAACTTATCCATTTATGTTATTGATTATTTGTAATAAAAGAGCTGTATCCTCTCAGTGTGATCCCGTTTGCTATTTCCCAGGTTTGCGGCATTGCTAATGTTGCTAGCATAGTAAATTCGGGCGTGATACCTAGCTACATAGCATGTACAAGTTTAAGGCTTCTAACTAAAGCCCCTTGAACAAAGACACTGGTAAAAATACAGGAACCGCCAATATAGGGCTGGATAGCTCAGTTGTTAGTAGGGGTGTGTATTTACCGGTAGTACGATGACCGGGTCCCCGGTTGAAAAAAATACGGGTACCTAGGTACCAGTTAAAGAAACCTGGGTACTCGTTAAAGAAACCCAACACCAAAATTCAAATCTCGGAAGTTGCTGTACAGATTATTCATAAAGGTCCACATGATAATACTACCAACTTGGTCAATACAGCAAGCTACAAGTGTGTACAGTGAGCTTTATAGCTCAGAGTGTAAACTGCAACTTTCACAAGCGTCATAAATGTGAAATATGTTTTTTGTTTTCCCAAGTACCCTCGTTTCATTTTGAAAATTCCCCACAAATGACATTCAAAACCTTTCATTTTTATTGTCTGAGAAGTTACTGAGTAATTTGTAAAGTTAGTTACGGGTACCCGATCCCATCATCCGGAACCGGTTCCTGACATCAGCAGTCGGGTACTCGGGTACCCCGTTCCAATGCACAGCCCTAGTTATCAGAGCACTGGAACGGCAATCCGGAGGTCCAAGTTCCAACCCTGCTTCAGTCAGTTTCTTTGTTCAACTTTAGAATATGTACAAATCATTCAGTCTAACGTCAAGTCACAAGCGATTCAAATGAAGAGTGACAACTTAACGGCATTCCTTTGCCATTGTTCATCCCCTGTTAATTGCAAGAAGACTTTTGATTGACCCCAAATTATCTTATGATTGGCTTGATTAATTTCTTTGAATAACTCACATCGTATATGGGTTCATCCTTCCCGGGGCGAATGTTGCCGACGGCGCCGGTCCGATGCATCTTGTATTTCAGATCAAACGGCAAGAGGTTGGTCAGCACCATTGGCGGGAGCAAGGTTACGGTGTGGCCCGGCTGCAGCTCCTGGGAGACGCTGTCTTGTTTCCGTGAGAGCTCTGAGAAGGAGGCCGAGCGTTTGGCCGCTGGTTCGTGGGGGAAGGCCTCGTGACGAACGTAGGCCCAAAACCTGTAACCAAAAGGACAAAGTTTGGGGGTAAAATGTGAAGTGCAGATGAATTATAGCCAGAAAAATCACACATTGAGCCAGTTTAACATCCAAAATGTAAGATTTGGTGATTTTCAAGTTGGAATATACAAATGGGTCATTGTATACATTTGGTGTCCACTTTCATCCTGTCCATTTTACATCTGATATCTATCATTTCATATTTCTGGATGTGAAGTAAACAACCTAACCAACAGATAAAAATTAGTCAGAAGCCACTTTTAATGACACTCAAATGACAAAGTTCAGAGGTAAAAGGGGACAGAAAAAATGTCACACTTTGGACCCTACATATATAGAATGAAACAGGTAAATGGTGCATGCAGAGTCAGAGGTAACCGACAAAAATTACAAACATACTTTTCGTTCTGATATACAAAATCTGGGTATTTTTTATGCTCCAAAAATAACAGCATACTGTATTTCCATGTTGTTTTGTACTTCATTTACAATTGAAGACTGCAGCTTCAAGCTCCCATTATACCTCCACAGATTTGTGTACATTGATCTTCTTTGTTTATCCTAATTGTAACGTTTGGCCTGTGGCCAGAGCACCAGAGTGGAAAAAAGATTCAGAGACAATTATCATTGAAAATCTTCTATTAACCCTCCTAGTCTTCAGCACTTCACAACCCTTCAAGTTTAGCAAAACCACTTTTGCCCACTTCAAATTCCTTTGAGGTTATCTTCTGTGGAGTATGGATAACACTTCCAACCCTGCACAATTCTTGTGTGTGGTGAAGCCCAGGGCAAGCAGGCAGATTCGGTCACGCTGCACAGCTCTCCACAGTGCTGTTTGGTTTTTTTTGCAGTGACTCTCTGTGTGACAGTTACTTAAACACTTCATATCCCTTCACCTGAAACTGACCTGCAGGGTTTTAAAGGGTTTTACTAATTGCTCTGAATATTGTCTTCCCACAAGTATAGGAGGGTAAAAGTACCGCAAAATTTCAAGGAAAAAAGTGACAAAACCTAAACTATTTTACCTAAATATGCCGTCTTCATCCCTACTGCCTAGCCTGCATTTCATGGGCTGGGTGTCGGTGGCCTTGGGCGTGTAGACCGACTGCCACTTGACGGGCGACTCGCAGAACCCCATACCCCAGCCGTGGGGGCGCATGTACATCAGCCAGTCGGTGTGGGAGAGGGGGACGGGGAGGGTGGCGTTGGGGGACAGGAGGGGGAGGGTGATGGGTACTGGGGGAACAACAAAATGGGTAATAGGTGTTAAGGCTACAACAAGAAAAAGGTATGTTATAGGGGCTAGATAACTTGGATAATAATGGAGAGGATAAAATGGTAAGTACAATAGGCAATTGCAGATTGTGACAAAAAAATCGCTAAGCTTTGCAACAATTTTGTTGATTCCGAAACATACCAAATGACTCTATTGCCATGGTAACACAAGTTTTACAAAGTAATGGAAAAAAGAACAACCTGAATTAAAGGGACACTAGGTCCTGGAACAGCCCAATTTGGCTACAAAACGCGCTTTGAACGAGATGATGATAATCGGAAATATCTTTTAAAAGTAGGATATAAACATCCACACAACTATCCTTTCAAAACTGGGCGTTTTTGTGTTATTCCTGTATTATGCGTGCGAGAACAAATTTCGAAGTCCACTTTTGCGACCCCATTAATTTGAGCTGTTTGGATGCGAGTTGTGATTTCATTCGTACGCGTAAAGTGTTTGCTTTTTGCGGACGTTGAAGAAACCACAATTTTTTGCATTGGTGATTGGTCACCGCGCGCTGTTCCCGAGACACACAACGTGTATAGCGTACATGAGAACGACACGAAAAACGTATTTGTACTCCGTCATGTCCGATGTAAACAAGCGGGTTTTTTCCGTCTTTTCTCAGGAACGGTAAGACATTAGGTTGGTTTCCTTTCAACCAGATGTTTGAAATAGGCTAAGTAAACAATCCAAAACATAACATTTTCGGGGATTTCAGGACCTAGTGCCCCTTTAATGTCACTCACACAAACGCATTCTTATCATTCTTATAAATGAAAGACATAATATAATTTCTCCCTACTTCACCATTACATATGTACAACACTTTACTGCGTTAAGAATCTCAATAAACTAAGTTCTCCCTACCGTCTGTGGGCGAGTCCGGGTTGATAAGCTTGACGTTCATCGGGACGTTCAGACGACTGACAACCGTCAGTGCTGATTGGACAGTCACCAGCTTGCGTGCACTGCCCTCTAGTGTCACATGGAAGAGAACTCGCGCCACTCGCTGACTGGTAAACTAAAAAACAATGAATACAAATAAGTTTGACTTTTTTTTTTTACTTTCTTGTTTTGTTTCAGTGGGGAATTAAGAAAAGGGTCTCTTTCAAAAACCTTTAAAATCGTACTGCAGTTTTATTTAATAAACCAATCACTTACAATAGATTGTCCCAAATGTAGAAACAATTGCATTTTAGGTAAAACAAAAAGTGAAGTCTGTCACGAGCCAATATGGCCCATCAGGTCGGCGTATATCTCCGGTGTCAGTAGCATGAAACGACGGAGAATATTTCTACTCCCCCTGGATGGGATGCTAGTCCATCACAGGTTACTCCCCAGCTAATGCCGGTACCCATTTATACTCCTGGGTGGAGAGAGGCAAGTGGGGTGAAGTAGCTTGCCCATGGACACAACATATGGCCAGCAGCTGGATTCAAAACCCTGACCCTCTAATCATGCATCATGAGCCACAAAAGCTACATTCCCTAATGCAGGTTAGCTGAGACATTTACTTACTATGCTAGTCATGTGCGTGTGTTCCGGCTTAGCGAGTCTGAAGAACATTCCCACTTTGTCGACGGAGACCGGGGCCATGCGTTCCCAGCCTTCCACTCTGACCAGCAGCTGGTGTACCCGCAACTCGTGAGTATTCTGAAAGAAAAACATTGACAATAAGCCATTTGCGAGTTAAATTTGAATAAATCTGGAACACTTACTGAATCCAATGCTTTGCACGTTTTAACTTGCATTGTCCTGACCAAAGAGACTTTTACTATATCAAGTGATTCGGGGCAAGCCTTATGCTAGCAACCCCATCTCCGGCATGGTCTGGTGTCTTTGTGCCATTCTCACCCACTGTAAGCAATGTATTGATGCTGAGCTTCTCTTACATAACTATGCAAGAGCTTGCCCTGAATCATGTGATATAGCAACAGTGTCTTTGGTCTGGAGAATTCAAAGTTAAAACGTGCCAATCATTCTGAGCCAGTCAGTGTACCACATGTTTTTCAAATGTAAATCCCACAGGATATGTTACTCGCAAATGGCTTATTGAAATAGATTTTTTATCAAGAAACTTTAGAACCTGCATTCAAGTCTGTGACCCAGACATTAATCTAGACCAAATACTGGTAGTGCTAAACTTTATCTTTGCAAGGCAACTAAGCTTACAAATTTGCGAATTTGTTTTTGTAAAACATTATCACTCTATCCACTTATTTCTGAAATTATTGATGGATCTTTACAAACTTGTAGCAACAAAGCCAAATTACATGAGGCTTACACAATGTTTTTAAAAATGTGTAAAGATTCAAACAAATTGCAAGAAAGTAAGTGTAATGAATTAAAAAAAAGTTAAAACACTATGTTGGTTTCTGGCAGATTTGAAACCTTTTCCGGACTAAGTCTTTTTCAGCCTTACATTGACAGGAGTCATCTCCTTAATAATTATCCAAAAAAGTTAAAACCTTCAATCTGTCTGATAAAAACTTGGCATCAAACGAGTGAAGCACTTCAATTTCCCTTTGACATTTCTTTGTTCTACTTACTCTATGTCTCTGTTTGCCTTTCTCTTCAAAGACAAACGGGACCTCCTGTCCTGGTAACACCTCCGTCCAAGAGCTAGCCCCGCCCACAGATACCAAAGGAGACGCCAGTTTCTCTGTTGGACTAGTGGCAACCCTGCAAATGAGGGATAAGAAAAATCAATGTGTTCTCAAAGTAAGAACTCTATAAATAACAATCATCCAACACTATCAACTTCCAAATCCAGCTCTATCAAAAATTTACCAAGAGTTGTCTAAAAGTTGCACCCTCATCCAAAAACAACTAACTTAGCTTTAATATCAGCACCGTATTGACGAATCCGTACATCTGATTACTGTACACTCACAAGGCCCCCTTCAATGGAGACACCATTGGGCATGCTATGGTACAAAGCAACTGCCCCGTGACGAATTATGTGAGCAATAGCTAGCACAATGCTTTCGCCATTGAAGGGGGCATCCGTGATAGAATTGACAACGTGCCCGGATTGGTTTATACTCAGTACTGTCAGAGCATTTGCGAAGAATGAAGGGCAAAAACACCAACATTACATGATATGAAGTGGTATCTACAGAGTATCACCTCAAGGTTTGAAGTGTGGGTGCGAGCTATATGGGCAAAACTTGCAGGGTTTTGAAGTGTAAAAGACTAGGAGGGTTAAGCCTACCTGTTGGGATTTGTAGTGAGAGTCGAGAACCAGAGATTGCAACCAGTCAGGTTCCGGAGGGCAAAGGGGACAAACGGAGACCTGTGGCGAGCTGGTAGACTGAAAAAATGAAAAGGAAACACAGACAACTTGAAATCATGTAGTGTCTTGTCTTGTCTTGTCTTGATAAATACTGCACCAACACCCTTTCTCAGGGGTCACACAGGCAGGGTTGGTTGTGCGCATGGATATGTTGTTTTGCTGTTTACTTGGTTAACTAGGTTTCTTCTTTCTCAAAGATGATATTGAAGTGAGTGTTGATGGCAGATTTGAAGCTTCCTTTATCCTGAATTGATGTAATCTCTTTAGGCAGTGAGTTCCAGTCCACTAATGTGCGTGAGAGAAATGATTGCTTGTAGCAGTTTTTGTTTGCATGGATTGGTATGAAATTGTTGGTGGTAGGTGAAGTTTGTCTTGTGGACTGTTGGACCGGACGCAGGATGGTTCTTGCGGGAATGGCAAGGCAACCCCCTAGTGACAGGTATGGCATAAGTTAAAAGTAAAGTCTGTCACAAGCCAATATGGCCCATCAGGCCGGCGTTTATCTCCGGTTTCAGTGGCCTGGAACGACTGAGAATATTTCTATTCCCACTGGACGAGATGCTAGTTCATCACAGGCTACTCCCCAGCTAATGCAGACACCCATTTATACTCCTGGGCGGGGAGAGGCAAGTGGGGGTGAAGTGGCTTGCCCAAGAACACACACATGGCATAGGCATACATAATCTTTGGGGGTACCAGCTAGCCCATAGGGCTGTGCTGAATCTTCTAAATAATTGAATATTTGATCAGAAATCCCCGCTCATTCTGTATGACGCATGGGATCCTTAGTTACTGGATAAACGCATTAACGCTAAAAAAATAGCTGCTGACAAGTGTGTAATGTTAACTGTTATCACAGAACTTTCTGATAAACTTGCTGAAGATTCTCAGCTTTTTTAAGGCAGAGCCATGACATCTGCCTCTGGTCTCCACCAAACTGCAAGCATCTTACCCTTCCTTTGTTCCCGTCTTGTAGTAATCCTCAGTCCAGTTCTTCTTGGTGTTGCTGTACAGGTCCATCAGGGCGCTAGTCAGGTTCAGATCTAGGCGATCGTTAACTACAAGTACAGAGTCAACAGGAAAAGTGTGACGAGGATAGGTGCTAGACCGTATTATTGGGGGGAAAAGTCTTGAAATGCACCTGAGCGAAGCCATGATGTAAAATAAAACATAGTTAATTGAGACACTCTAAAGGGCCAATGCAATGTAATTTTTTTTAAAGCAATCCTTGAAATTTTACCTTTGTGTCCCATTTAACCTTATTTTCAATTTTGTTTGCCATTTTCAATGGCATTTTGGTGCTTTTTTTTGGATTTTAAGCTAATGCCAATTTCCATATTTATGAGCAAACGTGTGACGTCACCTCCGGCAGAAACCCCAATGTTACAGCTATTTCAGTACCAAAAGTTGCTAGAATTTTGGATATTTTGCTATCCCAACTTTGCTTTTCTTTGGTGATTCGTTGTGCCAGGAGATGGCAGTAAGCCAATGAGCAATTTTTTCTCACAAATGTTTCAATGAGTAAATTCTTGGGTTCATAATTTGAACAGAAATCCCATAAACTGAACAGTGTCTTCCTGCAATGACATCACAGCAACAGCGCCCTCACTTGTACAGAAAAGCATGGACAGTTTTAAATACTTAAAGAAGTGCACTTTTCAATAAAATTAACCAAAAAGGGATGTCAAATAGTTTTCATAGTTAAGAGGAGAAGAAAGTTGCACAAAATGTGTTCCTAAAAAAAATATTCTCATGGACCCTTTAATTTAGCTTCACATATTTATGAAAGTTTATCTTTTTTTGAAACAATTGCAACTTTTTTGAGGGGATACAGCCAATATCCTTATGACATGTACGTAATGGCATAATTATAACCAAATGTTAAAAACAACTATGTGGTACAATTTTCTTGCATTAAGACCCGTCTTTAAAATGCCTCATTTAAAATTCAAAGACGGTGGTACCTTTGCACTGGACGAAGACTTTCTCTGGATATTCTGCAGTTTCGTCCTGCTGAAGCCACTCAACATTAAGTCTGTCAAAGAGAGGAGATCACATCGTTAAAGGGAAAATACAACATTTGCAAACATCAAAAAATAAAACTACCAAATCATTTGAATTACCTTGCTGGACTGTTAGTGAATGACAGTGTAAAGCATCCTGAAAAATCATGGCACCTGGTATACTGTCATTTTCAAGAAAAGTGGTATTTTTGTATCAATTTCCAACGCTGATCGGCCGATCAGCGTTGGAAACAACTGGCTTTTTTTCAAATACTGGCCCCAATTGACCATTGCACTTGTTTGCAATCGATTACACACCTATGAACGGGTACAAGCCAGCTACACTGGTTCTCTGACCTTACAATTCCCCAATGTATGTAAACTGCTCTGTTTCTTATTATATGGAGTCAGGGAACCAGACTACAGGAAAATGATTGTTTTTCTTGGTTTTTATAGCATTTTCGAACCCAAATCCTCAAAAAAGTCAGTGTAACTATATTTGCTATGTATTTCCAACCCCCCAATTCCATCCATTTCTGAAAATTACAGCAAAAGCAAATGATGTATATTCCCTTTAAATCTCAACTTTAATAAAATATCATGAAATCAGTTCAAACACGTTATGTACTGACTGACAAAATTGGCAATATCTAGCAGAATTAGCCAAAAACTTTCGGATAATTGAAGTGAATTTAATCACTACATTATCTTCAATTCACTCAATGTTTGGTACAGAAATATCCTGGGGTATAAAATACCCATGCCCGTTAGGCCAGACTCGAGTCCAAGAAATGCTGCTGTGGGGGGATCACCACACCTCCTCCACAGCGAGTCTGTTACCTTCCCAGCATTGAATAATGCCAGTACTCATTTAACACCTGGGTTGAGAGGAGTAATTGAGGTAAAGCGCCTTACTCAAGGGCACAACACGCATGGCCACGGCAGGGCTCGAACCCACAACCTCACGATCATGAATCCTGTGCTCTACCGCTAGACCACACGTGCCCTGATGAGACACCTTGCAAAATGGAGTGGAAGTGACGTCTTGAGCAATGCATCTCAAAGATCTGTGACTTACTTCCAGGGTTCAATGAAGGGTTCCCAGCCAGACATGCTCCTGTTGTAGTAATCTCCCAGCAGGGTGCCCGAGGCAGTGCCCTGCCTGTTGGGTAACATCTTCTGGAAGACGTGAAGGTTCTGCAGCATGACCTCAATCAGAGGGACGTCAGAATCCTTGCAGTCATCGATCAGACAGATGCTGACTGACCCCGCACGGACCTAAGGAGGAAGGCAATCAAATGCTTTTCTGTTTTGCCTATTTTATAACTTTTGAAAGACCAGCTCCGTTTCCGACTTAGGCTTCAGGGTTATGCGGTACGCATATGCTGACAAACCAAAATATTTAGTATTATTATTTATATCAGGCCTCCAGCGGTACAAATAAATCAGCGTATTGTATGCTTTCATAAGAAGTTCCCAGATGACTTCAATAATAAAGTATCCGGTTGACTACAATAACATTATTATTGCAGTCATCCGGGCATTTTCGCTGGTTCCCGCTTGATCAAGAGCATAGAAAGTCACAGTTGTCAACCACTCACACAGAGCATATCGCGTGCGTACCGTCGAACACGGAACACGCCGTGCGCATGCAGCGCGCATGCAGCACACATGCAGCGCGCATGCAGCACACATGCAGCGCGCATGCAGCGCGCAGAAGGCCAGGTATACCAGCACTGTTGTCAACAATTACAGTGGCAGCTTCAAAACGTTTGATGTAAACGAAAAAGATGTAATGAAGACAGTGTCTTGAATTGTATTTCTTGCGGATCAAGTCAGCCCGATATAAATAATAATAATATTGGATGGCTTGTTTTCGGTGGATACAAGAAAATATAGCACTCGTGCAAAATATTCTTGTATCCACCTCAAAGCCATCCAATACAATATATTACAGACTCTTTGCACAAGTACCCCTTCAACGGTCACAAAGGGAGAGTTGGGGGAGACCTCTGGGAGAACATTCAAACGCATTGTCGACGGTGCCTTATGCTCACACAAGGACGCTACAGGTTTGTACACATTCAAAATAAACTAGAGGTTGTATGAACAACCACACGGTGTTGGGCCATGGATTACCGCAGACTTTGCCACACACATCAACTCAAAATATGCATGTTTAAATCCATGTTTGACTTTTCAACATGCCGCCAGAGGGCGCTCTAACATTTGATGACGTCACCTGTAAAATTTTTGTACAGTACTGCCTAGGCAGACTAGGCAGACACTCACATCTTTGAAAGCAAGTTCGCATCTTCTGCCAATTTCAAATAATAAGGCACTTCCGGTTTCGACCGGAAGGAAGGGTCAAGTGATTTTGCACTTAATACCAAAAATGAAGACCCTGCAATATTGTATCGATTGCTATAAAAAACAAAATCAAATCTGTAGCAGTTGATTTTATATTGATTTTCAAAGATTAAATCTAGAAATCTTTGATTGCTTGTAATATGATACTTGATGACGTCATTGTGACGTCATTACCAGAAAGTTCAAGAGCTATTTTAACTGTGCTATAGTTAGCCAAATCTTGATTATATCTATCACGGTTGATTTTTTAGCAATTTTTGAAGGTTTAAAGGTCTTTTTATTGTAACTTCCGGTCTGATGACGTAATCAATTTTTTTTCGCGCACAGGTGTTGTCTGCATTATGGTCATCATGTACATTAATTTTGAAGCGATTATCGCAAACTTCGCCACAGACATCAAGCGAAAATGCGTTTTTCGCGTTTTTTAACCTGCCGCTAGAGGGCGCTCCAACTCTTCATGACGTCACCAATTATTTTTTTTGAAAGGTCAATCCAGGCAGACATCAACACCGTTGAAAGCAAGTTCATATCTTTTTCCACTTTCAAATTATTAGGCATTTCCGGTTTCGACCGGAAGGAAGGGTCACGTGATTTTACGCGCGCAAGATAAAATGAAGATCACATATTATCATGTCGATTCCCGCAAAATTCAAGTTGCGGTCTCTGACGGTTGATTTTATATTGAATTTCAAAGATTAAATTGATTATTTTTTGAAGTGACGTCACGTGACCCTTGATGACGTCATGATGACGTAATTGCAAAAAAGCACATCTTCAGTTGGTTGTGCATTCATGTATTGACAATTGAAGTTCATATATGTTTTCATTTTGACAAACAGTGCCGGAGAAGAATGTGTCTAGAAGAATAATAAAAAAAATAGTAAATTCTTACAATAACAATAGGTGTTGGGCTGAGGCCCAACACCTAAATATAAGTTGTGTGTACTTTGCACCATATGCGCGTAAACTAGTATGCCCAAGAGGTGTGTCCTCCATTTGGGGCTTTTGAAAGTTGTTGTAAAGCATGATTTACTGTTCGTAAACCATGGATGTTATCAGTCCATCACAAGTCCAGTCACAAAGTCCAGTCACAAGAAAAAGTGGCTGAACAGTAACAAAGGAAGGCCTTTGTCAAAGCTCGTTTGAATGGCTTGTGAGTTGAATTGGGACTGGAGGTCTTGTGATGGACTCTACTACATCCCTGTCATAAACGGAGTCCATTTGGTACCACAACGTCATCCAGACTAGTCCAACCATCATTTTAAAGTGAAACTTGGACGAAACATTGTCCTTCCTCTGAACTGCTCAAGCATTTGTGCCTCATTGCATAATTTTCAAAACTTGCAGCTTCATCTTTGCATTAAACCTCAGCTGTTTTTTTTAGCCGATGACTTGGTGTTTAGACTAACCTCTACTCCCGCAATCTCTAGCGCCCCTTCCTCCTCCTCGCCAGGCTTCTGTCTGGGAACCAGACTCTTCTGCACTGGTTTGGCATTCTCAAGCAGCCAGGAGGCGGCCTGGTCTAGTTCCCCGTCGCTCTTCGTCAAGGCCACTTTGCAGTCCTCGCGACTGAAGCCAAGCTCCTGCAGTTTAGAGACTACCAAAAAAAACCCAGATGAACAGAAATGTAAATAGAGATTATGGCTTCTGCTTACAGCAAATATTTGCTTAGCAACAACAGGTATACCATCCAAACTGTCATTCTCTGTTTCCTACTTGTGACTGGTCTTAGCTGGTTTTCGCTTAGCATATAAATTTGTTAATCAACTGTTTCTGCTTATAAATTGATTGGGCCCTCTTGGTAAGATGTCAACACTCGTAAGCAGAGAGTAGTGCGTTTTTGAGTTTCTACTGAAAGCATATGTAAATTTTTTCCCACGTTCTCAGAATATGTTGAGCATACAGTTCTCGCGACATTTCATCTATGAAGGCATAATTTTTTAGTAAGTCGCCAGGGCTTATATACTTTTGAGTAACAGCCCCTGGAACAAAAATTCCACAGTGAAAATCAATAGGAACTGTAAACTTGTTTCACCTCCATGGGCTCGGCGGAGTGTCCCATCTCAAAGTGGCAAGAAAGCGCTCTGTCTTGTATGCACACGGAGCCCTTTATGCCCATATTCAACAAAATGTCAAACCGTGATATATCAAAATAGGGGCGAGTAAGCTATTTGAAAAATGACTTCAAGAAAAGTGTCCAGCACCCAATTTCACGAAGCGCTGCGACGCGTCGCAACTCGAGTTACGACGTTTAACACGTCGCAACTCGCGACGCGTCATATCATCCATTTCACGAAAGTTGCGATGTGTTGAACGCGTCGTAAGTTCCTTGACAACAGCTTAAAACACGTCGCAAATTACAACGTGTCTAGTGGTCATCGCAAAATAAGAAGAGTCCCTTTCATAGCCAGTTTAATGCCATAAACATTACATAAACGAGATTATAATACCGAGGCAATGTGTGTAAAGTTGTAAATAGAAAATTCATTGAATAATTATGAATTAGACTGGAATATTACAGTTGAAATTTCAAAGTAGCTATACAGTCCACTGAGAGCTTGTTTTCCTTCAAAATTGCATCGCACGACCGCCATTTTGTTTCACATTTTAACAAATTTCAAGCTGAGATCCGACGACTCTTTGTTGAATATCAGACGACTATTTACTGTAAGCTGACTAAATACATAAAACAGTCACCGAGTTGTGCTATAAATACATACACATATGACGCGTCGCACTTACGACGTGTCTTGTGAAATGGATCGCAGGACGCGTCGCAGCTGCGACGCATCGTAGCTGCGACGCATCGTAGGGATACGACGCGTCACAGTGCTGCGATGCATCACAAGTTACGAAGAGTTTGATGAAATCGGGTGCTGAAGACTCTTTTCTTGAAAACCAGTCACACACTGGATTGTGGCTACATCCAAATTATTTGGCTGCGGCTTGAAATTACACATGCACTTATGGAAGCAGCCGAAGCCACTTCCCATAGCCATGTGTGTTACTGCTAGCCATAGCCACATGTGTTACTGCTAGCCATAGCCACATGTGTAACTGCTGGCCATAACCACATGTGTAACTGCTAGCCATAACCACATGTGTAACTACTAGCCATAGCCACATGTGTAACTGCTGGCCATAACCACATGTGTAACTGCTAGCCATAACCACATGTGCAACTGCTAGCCATAACCACATGTGTAACTACTGGCCATAACCACATGTGTAACTACTGGCCATAACCACATGTGTAACTACTGGCCATAACCACATGTGCAACTACTAGCCATAGCCACATGTGTAACTGCTGGCCATAGCCACATGTGTAACTACTAGCCATAGCCACATGTGCAACTGCTAGCCATAGCCACATGTGCAACTGCTAGCCATAGCCACTCATGTAACTGCTACCATAGCCACGTGTATAACTGATATCCGTAGCCAAGTGCTTCAGATGCAGCCATCTTTCTCCTTACCTTGTTTGGATTTGGAGATGTTGCTGCTGGCTTTCTTGGGTGTGTCTCCTTTCTCCTCGTTCTCAGCTTGAAGCAATTGCGCCGGTAAGGAGTTCATGATGGCTAGGAAGAGTCTAGCATCGTGGTACGACACTCGGATGTTCAATGCTTGGATGTGAACCTTGAGGAGAAAAAGCTATGGTTAGCTTTTAAATCACTTTTTAAATGAAAGAATTTTGCTTCAGTGAGCTGCACCTATAACTGTATGTTTTGCCCTTCACTAAACCCTGGCCGTGATGATTACGTAAACGACGCTGACCGGCTATTCAGACCGTGCTGCGTGCGTATTTTAAAGACTGCACGCCCTATATCCTATACACCATATCTCCTACATGCACGTCACGTACAAATGTTGTTGTTTTTTTCAAACTGTGCAATGCCATTACGATATGGATGATGGTAGCCTCGTTTTTCGGCCAAAACAAACCTGTATCTTGTGTTGTAAAGATTGAAATTACACAATTCCAGGGGAGAAGATAACGCAAGGCACGATGGGAATCAACATGGCGCATCAAGATCTTCCCATGGAAACGAGATTGTTCCATGCATGCCTCACATGTGCTGTATTCAAGCTAATGCGCACATGTGAGGTAAGCTCGGAATTTCCTGGATCCCACTGCCAACATTCCCGAGACTGGATTTGATTCATCATGTTGATAACGGCCTCTACGCCATGGCGTGTTTGACCGCATTAGCCAGGGGCAGGCAACAATATAGGGGAAGAAACTCAAGGTCCAAGACTTCAAAACAGGTAATACCAGAACCAACCTCCAATGTCCTGTGTACATCCATGACGTCCAGTAAGCCGCTCATCCGACCCTGGGATGCCAAGCTGGTAGGGTTGGCCTTCAGCTCCATGTTGATGGTGACAGGCTCTACGATGGATAGCGCCGTCTCACCCTCGTTGCTTAGGCAGCAGGAGAAGACTTCCAGACCTTCCAGGCTGCAAGATAGAGGGTTTTCTTTGTTCTCCATCTTGGAAGTCATCACAGCACATGTTGCCTGAAAGATTACAATTTGAAGGAAAAAAAATAATTTGTAATAAGTACCTTCTCAGTTTTCAAATTTCATGTTAGTTTGTAAGGTGTCCTGTAGTTTTCAATTTAAAAAAAATTGAAACAATCCTGAAAAAAGTGTGTTTCAGATTTTTGTTTAAACTGTTACTTTATTCCTCTAAGTTTCATCATCTTATTTAACTTTGCAAGGTATCCTGTGGTTTTAAATTACAGACTGACTAGTTGAAATATGATCCGTTTTCATCAACAATAACACTCTTCAATTATTTGGCAATTTATACGAAAAGGAAAGTTTGTATTGGTAAATGTGGTGAATATGGACCAGGAGTTGTAACCTATATAGACCAAAGGGTTAGAATATTAGAAATATTGAAGGTATGGTGCAAGTATAACCATAACAGCATAGCTAAGAATACTTAAAATGTATTAAGGATATTACAAAAAAAATTACCAGTAAATTGCAATCAGTCAAAAATATAAACCAAATACAGTGGAATGCCGCTATAATGAACATTGAGGGATCCACAGAAATTGTTTGTAATAGCGATCATTCGGTAAAACGATTTTTAGCTGCTGGTGCTCCGGTACTCACTTTTCAATAAATAGCGCCTTTCAAAACTTCACTCTGCACGCCCTGGTACATGTACATGTACACATGCAGTTACTGAAAGACGACTTTGAAGACGTGCCGACTATTGAGCTATGCAATTACACAGTTGTTGAGTTTACTACCTACAGCAATGGGTGGCTTTCCTTCTCTATTCCTTGAGGAAATAAAAGCCACTCGTCCGTCTTCTTTTGACATTTTTCAATAACAATGTCCAGTCTGTTTTGTACACAAAAATTGGGAGCCAAGGACGATGTTCGGTATAGCCGAATGTTCGGTATAGTGGTATTTGATATAGCAACGTTCCACTGTGAATAGAAGGAAAGTATACTTGTACCTTGAGAATGACCGCACTGGAATCACTACAAGCCGTGTCCTCCATGACGACAAACTCAGTCTCGGTGATGTTCAGACAAATCTCCAATGGGTTGTCACTCTTCGGGAACACAGAGAAAATCAAGGGTGATAGTTCAATACGTTAAGCCCCACCTCATTATGCTCTGACCAAGCACAGCTGTGAGCCATGTCCAACATGTGTGCACATGCGGCTGGAACAATGTTGAATTGGAGAGGCGCACATGTTGTTGCATATGTGTGCAGTGGGCGGGGCTGAACAGATCGGTCAACTGAGGTATTCCGTGTTCACAGCAAGTTTCATACTAGAACAAGTTCAAAATTCAGCACAACAATTTTTCATTCACAGGCAAACTTTTCAACAGGTTGTTGCCAGTTCCCACTAGAAAAGTGGTCGACCAATTGGAAATATTCCCATTTTACAAGTTTTCAAATGATTCTTACCTTTTCTGTTGCCTGAGCTCGTTTGGTGAAGATCCCGGACGCCACGTTGACTGGCGTCCCTGATCGCTTGTCTCGTGTCGTCGTCGTTGAGGATGGAGCTGACGATTGATTGGAGGAACCATCGGATGAGGCCCCATGTGCTTTACCTGAAGTATTTGCCACTGAAATTTGAAAGACAGATTGCATCTGTTTTCATGAGCCTTTTTCTGGAAGTTATAAATCTACCTGGAAAACCTAAACACATTTTTTTTTAATGTTTTTTTTTTGTGAATAGCAGACCTTGTGGGGAAAAATGTAAAAGCATACTGAGATGGGATTCGAACCCAGGACCTGAGGCTCACAAGAGCACATGTGGTACAGCTTGCTGGGTTTTATATTACATTTCTTTACCCAGGGTATGCCCAAACAGTTTAAAACAGGATTTTTCCAAGACTATGGGAAACCTGCTGCCTTTACCCATGACCTACCGGACTGGACTGCCTTGGAGTCGTAGTCCAGCAGGAAATCCTTCGCGGCTAGTAACAAGTCCATGACGCACATGACCCTCATGTTGTTGAGCAGCACCGTGGCCCGGGTGTGGTCCAGCTGGGAGGCGTAGTGTAGCTCCAGCTGTAAGGGGTTAGGGTTGCGGCTGTGGTGCCGGGTGGGGGTTAGAACCTCCCAGAAGACGTTGGTGGGAGGCTTGTCACTGGCGCCTGAAGATTTACAAGAACTTTAAAAGTTACTTGAAAGTAAGGCTGCATCCAAAAAACATCGCTGTGACTATAACTTGCAATAACACATGTGTTTACAGAAGTAGCTGAAAGCCACTTCTCATAGATGCGTGTTCACGACAGCCATAGCTAACTAATTTGGATGCGACTAAAGTTTCTGTAAAATTTACGGGGAAACAAAACAATTACAGTACAGGCAAAATAAAAAAAACCTTAAAAGTATTTTAACGTATCAAATACATTTTATGAGAAGGATGTTTCAAAACAGTACTGTTGAAGTTTCATCTGACAAGGATGATAACAGGTTTGGCTTAAGAAAGAGAACTGACTGTAGCAGGATTTGATCCGGCATCCTCCAAAAGCACCACATCATTCGGACTCACTGACCATATTGCATACATCTTGGAAACCATGAGAAGTCAAAGACTTGTGTGAAGGCCAAGATTCTTTGTAAGGTAAAAGGGACCAGATTTCTTACCCCTAATCACTGTAGCGCCCGAAGCCGGCCTGCCTGTTACTCCCTGTAGCGCCCAAAACCGACTGAGCACTCTATGGTTTTATTGATTTTCAGTGAATAAACACAATGTACATGTAATACAATAAAGTCTAGGTGCGAATGGGTTAAAGGGAAGACACAACATTTGCAAACTTCAAAAAACGAAATGATCAAATTATCACGAAATACCTTACTGGATTGTCGGGGAATGGCAGTCTAAAGCATCCTGTAAAATCATGGCTCCTGGTATGCTGATATTTTCAAGAAAAATTGTATTTTCCAACACTGGTCGGCCGACCAGCGTTAGAGAAAACTGGCTTTTAAAAAAAAAAAACTGCTCCTTTAGATAGATTTAGATATTCCGCATTTTCTTTGCAATTGATTACACACTAGTAACTCAAAGTGCCCTTCACATCCCTCTTGTGAGTAGTCAATAGCACCCTCAACAGTCCATGCTCTGCCAACTCCAGCTACCCAGATCTAGACTGTTAGTCTCCAAGTTTGTCATATTTTCAAAACCAGGGGAGCAGTGATCATAATGCAAGTTAAGATGCTAGTTACATCAAGGTGTTCTCACGCCACTGTTGCTAGGAGGCAATAGCGCCCTCAATATTCACGCACAAAGCCAATAAAGGTTTACCATTCGCTTGCCATCTGGTGTCCGATGCTCGGATGGCGTGCGACACCAGGTCAATCGCCTTGGTGGTGTCGGAGAAGCTCTCGAAGGAGAAGCAGGACTCGATGAAGTCAAACTTGCCCAGAGACCTCTCGGGGGCGTGGCCTCGCTGGTGGGCGTGGAGGAGCTCCAGGGTCACATTGACCAGTTGGACACTGAGGGAGATGGACGTCCAGACTTGGCCACTCAGGATGGTCTGATGGTCAAGAAGAGATGGGTTTAATGCATTGATCACTTTTGTTGATGTACCCTATCATGGAGCGGCCCCTAGCGTGGCGCACTTTGATGTTTTTGTCTCTGGAACCTTGCTAGAGCAAAAGTTTTACCTTAAATATTACAGTAAGTGAAATTTATTCAAGCTCTAAACATTCCGGTTCAAAAGTCTCCAGTTTACATACCCGCTACAAAATTAAAGAGAAATTCTATTTTGGCGTAATGTTCCGATTTTATTATAAAGTGCACAATGAACCCTTTAAAATGCGCCCAAAAATATGACAATTTTCTGACAAACTGTGAGCAGAGATAATAATGATTAATCAGAATTTATCAACTTGAAAGAAATTCTTAAATGTTAACTTGGGATTTTTCAAAGATCTGTTCAAGTGCTGCACATTAGGGAACACTCGAATTAGTACCAGATTTCTGGACTCCTCTGTTTCTGAATTTGGGACTTAATTTCATGACACTGAAATTGTTCACAAATGTTCAAAAGTAAGCATGATTAAGGTGATAGTACCAGTATTTAATTGAATGAATTTGAAGTTTTTTAACCAAGAGGTTGGGCAACACTGCATGAGGAAAGTTTAGCCAGCCACGTTAGGGAACACCACTATATATAACCCCAAACTGCCATGCCTGGTTTTAGAATTTTGTTTTAGCTTTGTTGCTTACCTGGTTAACAGGGTTTTGCAGCCTCGGCATGGCTTCAAACTCTTCCAGTTTCTCTCCTAGGTTGTGATCCAGCATGCCTCGTATCAGCTGGTACTGAGCCACGTCCAGTGAACAGTGGACGGAAGACAGGGTACCAGACACGCTGAAATCGGGCACTATGGAGGCCAGATGGGAAAAGGGCTATTCGGTTAATGCAATGGAAGTCAGGGCGCCAGACATAATACTGAAATAAGGCACTGTGTAGGCAAGATAAGAAAACGGCACTGGTTGATGCAATGAAATCCCGCATTTTGCATGAAACACAAATAAAAAGGGCATTGGTCAAATCTGATAACCTGAGAACTTTGCCATCTAAGTGTTCAGAAGGGACACTGGTTTGGTGTATCAATATTTTTTTTCAAGTTAATTAGGAAATTGATTCAATTGTTCTCTCAATCAATAGATTCAAGTGACTGCTTTTGACAAAAGCTTATCATTTCTAATTCATCTTCACTTTTCTGGTTGCACACTGTCATTGTTCATCACTCCACATACCTGTTTAATATACAGGTTTTACAATTTCATAGTTTTCATCCGTGGGAGAGTGTGGCCTAACGGTTAGGGTTTGTGACTTGTGATCAGAGGATCAGGGGTTCAAATCCAGCTGCTGTCCATATGCTTGTCCTTGGGTAACCCACTTCACCCCCACTTGCCTCTCTACACCCAGGAGTATCAAAGGGGTACCGGCATTAGCCGGAGAGTAACCTGCGATGGACTAGCATCCCATCCTGGGGGAGTAGAAATATTCTCAGTCGTTTCATGACTAGGAAACTGGAGGTAAATGCTGGCAAGATGAGCTGTATTAGCTTGTGTTAGACTTTACTGGAAAACCATTTACCATAATCCAGAGGTCACAGCTTTGAATCCTGCTCAAGTAATGTTTTTGGAGGGGGGGGGGCATTTATGATTCTGAGAAAATAAAGATAACTGACCTGCTCTGCTGATATCAGCATCCAGGTTCCGATCCACCTGTAGTCGGAGTCGACAGGTGTTCTTCAGAAGACGGCCTCCCTGCAACAGGTGAAACAATAATCAATCAGAAAATAATCTTCCACAGGACTTACTTAAATATTTGAAATTTCTTGGATGCTGAAGAAATTCATTAGAATGAGCCATTCACTAGAAAAATACTCAACAAACTTGAATATCTTGGGATAAGTCTGCTGATACAGGATGTAGATAAAGCTAAGACCTAATGACGTAATGGCTTTGCTTACATATGCGCTTTCCTATGGGAGCAAAGTCGGGACGCCACACGAAGTAGGGACTGTCTACCACATAGGAAAGCGCACATGTAAACAAAGCGTGACGTCATTAGGTCTCAGGCCTATAGACTATCGCTGAAAAGAGAAGCACTACCGATTCTTGTCATGCTTCGGATTATTTGCAGTTTGTTCGCTGTTTTTCTGTTTGAAGCAACAAAATTGCTCAAAATCTTAAGTAGTGTGCGAAACAGCTCACTTGTGAAAGTTTCAGCTCAGTGGATACTCTGCATTTTGTGAAAACAGAGACAACGTGTGCCCGCAGGGACACCTTTAATGATTGTTTTTCTTCCAGATGATACCACTTCAGACGAAACAATTTCACAGGGTGTTTGGTACCATCACTATCTTCAATTTAGATCAGGGTTTTCTCACAAAAGTCAGAGGGTCTGTTTGCAGGTAATTACTCATGTTCCTAGGGCCTTCCAAAAGAAGAATTCTCTTTTCAGTATTTAGAGACTTCCTTTCAAGAAACTATGACCAAGATTTGATATTTGAGCCCACCTTACGACTGATGACAAATGAAGGGAAGATCATGGCCGTGTCGTCCCTGGCATCGAAGTCAACGTGCTCAACCCTCTCAGCTGAGAAGAGATCCATGTCGACTAGGTCTAGGTGCATGCAGTCCAGGAAGCAGGTGGTATCCCTACTGAATTGGACATCGACAGAAGACTAGGGAATGGGGGAGGTGAGAAAAATGCAGTGGGTTTTTTAAGTCGTCACAAGTCCTTACAAGTTACAGTCATGATCACAGGTCTTCACAAGTTAAGGCAAGTTATCACAAATCAATCACAAGTCATCACAAGTCATCATAAGTCAGAGTCACAGCAATTCATTACAACTCAATCGTAAGCCATCGCAAGTCAAAGCAAGTCATCACAAATCAATCTCGGGTCATCACAAGTCATCATAAGTCAAAATCAGTAAAGTCACAGCAATTCATTACAACTCACTTGCAGGCCATCACAAGTCAAAGCAAGTCATCACAAATCAATCACAAATCATCATTAGTCATCGTGTCATCAAAAGTCATCGCGAGTCATCATAAGGCATAAGTCAATCAAGTCTCAACAATTCATTACAACTCAATCGCAAGCCATAACAAGTGAGAGCAAGTCATCGCAAGTCCATCGCAAGTCCATTGCAAGTCGATCACAAGTCGATCACAAGTCATCACAAGTCCAGCACAAGTAAATCTGAAGTCTTCACAAGTCCTTACAAGCCCTCACAAGTCAATCACAAGTCGTCACAAGTTATCACAAGTAATCACAAGTCATCACAAGTCATCACAAGTCAATCACAAGTCATTACAAGTCAATCACATGCAGTCAATCAACTATTCTCAAGTCAACTACCAAGCAATTCAAATGAACTGTCATAAATGTCATTCTTTGTCAATGTTTATTCTCATTGTATTGTTTCCTTTCACTTCAAATAGCTTTTTTAAGTTCTTAGAAAAAGTTGATCATAAAAGCATCTCAATTATCAGGAAAGCTCTAAATCTGTCATACTCACCACTTTAGAAGGAAGCCTGGCGATTGTTCCCCGTGACCCAGCAAACAGGAATTCATTCTTCAGGGTCAGGTTCCCCAGGTTCATGACCAGAACGTCCTTGGATTTGGAGCTGATGGGTGCGATACAGACTGGGGAACCAGCCTCAATATCCAGGGAGATGCGAGAGGCACGCTTGGGGTCCTCCTTGACCTAGGCAGTTGGAAAAAAAATGAACAAGTTGGCAAAGATAAAACATAAGTAGGACAAACTGTTTTTTGCAAAATACAAAATATCCGATAGGTAAAAACGAGTGATCAGCCATCTGCCACTGCTTTTGACTAATCCACGGCAACATCGTCGTAAATAGCAATATTCTTTAATGGATACCTTGTGCTAATTCCTAAGCAACTCATTGGCAACACTCAGCCTGTGCCTTATTAATCAGATATTGGCCTAGAGATGCCAGTTATACTCAAAGATTATCCTCATTTGCCAAGAACATAATGGAATAGATGGAACATTTAGAAGAGTTTGAAATGGTTTATGCAGCGCGATGGTGGCCAGAATGGCCTGTGGTGGTCAGAGTGGCCTGTGGTGGCCAGAACGGCCTGTGGTGGCCAGGACGGCCTGTGGTGGGCAAAACGGCCTGTGGTGGCCAGAGTGGCCTGTGGTAGCCAGTGGTGGCCATGTTGGCCTGTGGTGGCCATGTTGGCCTGTGATGGCTATACTGGCCTGTGGTGGCCACATTGGCCACTGAGTCTCACCTGGATTCCATCACTGGCGGCCCTCATGTTCCCCAGTACCTCCTGGAGCTGGTTGAAGTGCTGCCCAAAGGCCACCGTCTCCATCTGGAAGCGATTGGTGTGAATGTAGCGGACTGAGGACATCCTCAGCTTGATGCTCAGATCAAAGTCACGGTCTAGGTTAGGATCCGGCTGCCCGTATCTGGCAAAAAAAACCCCAAAACACAGATCAAATACCAGGGAATCAAATTACTAGTCAAATACATATTGCCCATGATGAACAGGCCAGTTAAACATTTTGTGATCTTCTTTTAAGTCTTCCGGAACATTCCGGATTGGAAACATTTGTTATGATCACTTTAAGCCCGGATTGAACTTATGATAATGAACAATGTCCTTGAGTACCCCATTTGCTTCTGTCTGGTAGGAAACGATGGTAAACCATCCTGCCTGTGGACACCAATAACTATTTCTGTGACATGACTCTACAGGAGTATGCACGGTCAGTTGGCACTGTTTCCCCTTACTGTCATTTTCAACCACAATCAACAAATGTGAATCAAGTGAATCGTCTTTGATGCACCAATTGCTCCTGTTCAGTAAGAAACGACAGTAAAATATCTTGCCCATGGACACAAGTACTATATACAAGACTCACTTGAAAATGCTGAAGCTGAGAGCCTCCTGCCCCTTGGTGCTGAACCTCTCCCTGTAGAGCTTCCCATGTGGGGTCAGATCCAGGAGAGACATGCTGCCGAGGCGCCCGCTGACATCCATGTTCCCATCCATCAGAAGGAGGTGGGCGGAGACGTCGGAGACGTTGGCTTTGGCCAGCTCGTAGTCTGGCTTGTTGAGGAGGAGGGACAGGGAACCCACTTGGATGACCATCTCGGTGTTGATGTCATCTTTGAGATCTGGCAAAAATGGAACAAGTCGAGGAGGATATTGAATATAAAAGTTACTTTGGAATTGATGTGCTCCAAGAAAGGAGCTCTTCCCCAAGGAAGTTCACTACACTGACCAATGCTCATATTACCTTAGTCTCCTAAACTGTGCCTTGATAAATTTGAGGAGTTGTCTACTTAACAAACCATATCTTCACAAAATATCTTGTCCGGAGAGCTTTCATCAGCCTGCACACTTGAGGTTAAGCAGCAGACATCTTCCCATCTGGCATGACATGCTCTGTAATATTTCTGTCTGAGAAGCACCTTTTCAATGCCTTAAGGGATACTTAGACCACATCGCAGCCTTATTGGCCAAACAAGAACAACCTCTTACAACTAGATCTTAAAGACTTCCTAGGAAATTGAGTAGGTTTCAGGAGGAGGCTGCTTGTGAATCTCTCAATTTGTGGCTTCAATAAGGGCAGCCCACTTCTCATGAGTTCTTACCTATTGTGGAGGTTGCAACTTCAGCCTCTGTTCTGGAAGCCGCTGCCTTGGCAGCTGCCTTCCGCTTAATCCTGAGCAGGGCCTTCTCCTCCGGGCTGGCTCTACTCTTGGGAGCAGGTCCTCCGATGCCCAGGAAGTCCAGCAAGACAACCCAGGTCTGCAGGTTGATGGTGGTGTCCAAGGCGTTGAAGGCTACATCTACGAACCTGTTCACCTGAAAAAAATAGTAATGCTCACAATAAGAGCTTCATCATGCTTTTGATCAAATAGGTCCGTGTGACATTTTTTTTTTTACACCATTCAAAAGAAATTACAATTGTCCTACGCGGTTTATGGTTGGTGCCGTGCGATTCAGCGCGCCTTGCGCGTTCAAGATGCATCGCGCAGTGATCAGCATCTTTATTTTTCGTGTTGCGTTTTGTCGTCATTTTACCCCAAATATCCCTCAAAAACTCAAAACCCTGCCCTTTATCTATGACATACCCGCATGTTCTTAATCATGTCGCCAACTAGTTTGGTAGGTCAAATAATTTAAAAGTGGATTTCGTTCCCTTATAGGAACTGGGCCTGTAGATACACAATCATCATTGGTATGGTGCACAGCCAAATATGAGGCAGGCAGAGGCTTATGAGATTGGTAATTTTATAACACATTTTTTGCTCAAGGTAATGGTCTATGTCCTACCTTCTTGTATTTTGTTGCAAATTCTGGGCAATCTCTGTCCACCAGCATCACCTTGATTCTCATCAGGGCATTCTTGTCGACAAACGAATCCCCCGTCTCCTTGCTCTCTGGAATATTCTCCAGCGATTCGCTCAACGATGGCGGAGGGGTGGATGGGATCAGAGGCACACCCTTGGCGCCTGGGTGACCGTAATGATGGTCGTGGTATCTGTAGCGAGGCAGAAGGGGGCTGTCTAGGGCACTGGGAAGGGAACCCGGGCGGGCTGAGAGCGGAGACACCATGGTGCTGATGGAAGGACAAGAGCTAGAGTGGTACATCTTAGGGGTGGGTTTGGCAAGAGGGGGACCTCCCGTCGACACCATCAAGTACCGGTGTTTCGAGAACGGGGGCTGGATCAAATCTTCCATGACCAGCGAGTGAAGGGTGACGTTGATCGAGGAGGTGTATCGGGTGGTGTTTTCAAACTCTACGCTGAAGTTTTGGAAGGTGAGATTGACCAATCCCTGGCCACCGTCGCAGGTATCGCCGCACATCTCCACAGAGAATTCCGGAAGGTGGAAGTCGACTTTGATCTTGGTGTGGGACTCTTTGGTTTCATTTTCAGTATTCTCCATGGTGGATTGGTCGGGAGTTTCTACATCTACATCAGGGTTGGGCTGATTGTCAGGTGGGTCGACTGACCACATCAACAGGCCCCCTTGAGTTTGGGTGTCCGCTGTGCTGGAGGTCCGTTTAGGTTCCGTTTCTTTGACTTCCTTGTAGGTGAGGTTGTCCATCGTTTGGAGGATCTGCTCGTAGACGTGCTTGGACAGGATCACCTTTAAGGGGGACACTATTCTTCCAGAGACTAGAGTTGTCGGCGACGGTTCCTCTAGGAGGAGACTATCGTCCGAGCCCATAGTGTCCAAGCTGTAGTTGCTTGGCATCATGGCTGGGTCCACGGGAAGCTGGTTTATTGTCAGCTCTAAGGATGTGTCGTGCAGAATCGTAGTTCCCTTGTACGCACTTGACTTGCTGGTCCCTGAATCACGACTGTCAGTGCTGACAAAACTGCTTGCCCGGGATTTGGAGTCCAAGTGGTTAAAAGAGGAGACCTTGATGTCCCGCATTCCTAAGAAGAGTCTTGTAGTCGGTACAACAGGGCTGGTCTCTGATAAGGATCCCTGATTTGGACTACTTAGAGTGTTGTCAGCATCCATGGACGTGTTCGTGATTGATATCTTGCCCAAGTGAGCGACAAGGACTTCTGAGCTGATGGCAGAGCGTGGGATGATGATGATCGGTGTCTCCATGGTCATCTTGAATTTGAAGTCTGTTGGGGTTTTCATCTCTACCACACCGCCGTCCGTGGCGTCTGGAGTTGACCTGCTCATTCCACCGACGGGAGTCTCTATCCTGGTGCTGTAGAGCATCGGGGAAGCCACCGAAGCGATCATGTCAGATTTCTGGCGGACAAAGTCCATGGCAACCCCAGCTGCGGCTTTCTGGATGGAATCGGCAAGAGTTGCGGCAGAGCTCTGGAACTCATCCACACAGAGCGTGATATCGTGGAGGAATCGTGGGACGTGGGTGTACACAAGCGAAGCCGAGTGGAGTGTCAACTCAAAGCCTTCCTTTGCTTGAGAATCCCCGTCGCTGAAACTAAACCCAGGAATCCGGGATCTTTCAACCAGGGGTGTCAGCACACCCCCGCCTTCCGTTTTCTTTAAAGTAAACGAAAATGCCTTGAAATCTTCGATGTCTATATCTTCCCCTACGCTACTCTGCTCAATGGCGGTGCGATACAGATCATTTTCAACGGGCCTAGGGGGCACTAGGGTGCTGCTTGATGATTCACCGGCAGTTTGGGGGTCTCGTCCGACGCTGAAGACTGTCTTGTGTTTGCTGCCCTCTGGAGTCACATCCAGGAGTTGTAAACCTCCGAGGGAGCCCTCCAAGTGAAAATCACCACCTGCAGGAAGAGAAAAATATTGTTTATTTCATATTCAATTGTATTAAACTACGTAAAAATCAGAAACAATCAAGCATTCAAAACTGTGAATTTCAGTGGTTTCCAAATCTTCATATTCTCTTATATGATTCTTTTACAACTTTTGATCACATTAAAACCATAACATTTTTTTATCCCAATCAAGTTATTTGATATGTACTGACAGTTTTTTGTGATTACCTAAGGTAGTCCAGACATGAGCAGCTGTCACTGTTGCCGTGGCTACCTTCCGACCAATCACGTGCTTTTGTTGGTCCGTCTCACCACGCACCAGTACGACGTTCAGGCGATGAAAATCGGCAGTGACCTCCGTCTTAGTACCGGAGATTCTTTCCAGCTGAGGATGATGAACGAGAAAAATTCAGACATTTCCATTAAATAAAACACAAATAAAAATCAAATCTGAACTTCAAGCAAAGTCTGCAGTTTCCACGAGTTGAAAGCAACAGCGATTAGAACCAACGGTAATCCAATATCAAGAATAGTACATCTGACCAGTGTAACTTCTCAGATTGTGTTCAGATTGAAACTGGAACTTGGGTTGAAATGACAAGTGCAGGATAACCTGCTGGTTCTTAAATGTAATATCCAACATTTGCAAACATCAAAAAACAGAACTGCCAAATAATTATGAAATACCTTACTTGACTGTAAGTGAATAATAGTCTCCATCATCCTGTGAAATTTTGGCACCTGGTGTGCTGTCATTTTCAAGAAAAGAGGAGTTTTTGTATCAATTTCCACCGATTGGTAGACTGACCATCGTTGGAAAAAAACTGACTGTTTTCAAATATTGCCCCCAATTAACCAAATTTAGTTAGATCCGCATTTTCTTTGCAATTGGTTACGCATCTGTGGACGGGTGTAAGCAAGCTAGTCTGGTTTCCTGACATGACAATTCCCATTTTTTTGCTTGGTTTTTCCAACAACTATGGACACAAAACTTCAAACAGGTCAGCGTAACAATATTTGCTATAAAATACTAACCCGTAAATCTATCCATTTCTGAAAATTACAGCAAAAGCCTATGTTGTATATTACCTTGCACTGTTGCTTTTGTTTTGTGAGTACTTACTTCAAACGTGGACGTGTCTCCGTGCAGTGATTTCTGGGCTGGTTGTTCAGTGCTCTCCTCAGGAAAGGCTCGGTGGAAGAAAGACAGTAGCTCTACTATCGTCTCTTGGTTAGCTATCAGAAAAATTTGAAAAAAATAATTAGACATATTAGTTGAAGTGGACAAAACTATTTTGGCATACTAAGACTAACAGTCATTACACAAATCTTGACAAGTCACACCTCAAGGGAACAGGTTCAAATACGTAGAGTTTTGAGTTAAGCAGGGATGTATATCATTGTTATACTACTGAAAGCAATGAATTCTTTGACTAAACAGTTGTTTTGAGTTATCTGAGTTTGACTTATCAAGATTTAACTGTATGTCCAAAACAGTTTGGTACCTAGTCTCTGTTTCGGTACAACTCTGTACATTTCATCTACAGTCCTGCCATCCGACTACTCAATGGTCCAAATTTTTCAAAAGAAAGTTGGACATGACCATAGAGCTATATTAAATTACTAGAGCGCTAACTCGATGTACAAAGTAATGCCTGATGTACGCATCCATGTTTGTGCACAAACCTATGGAAAACTCGACATTTTGTATGGCTTTTGTACGGCTATTTGCATATCTGTGTTTGTATTCCATACCGGTGCGTTATCGAAGCCGATACGCCCAAAACCGAAACACGTGATCAGCAAATGAGCGTTTCATTTTGCTCTACGCAAACAGCGCAACCCGTGAGCGTCCCTCCGCTGCAGATGCTTTTCGCCGTGACGTTTTTTGAACCATCATGACGCGCTTAAGTTGTTTGCGTATCTTTTACTTGCGCGTTGCATTTAGAGTACTCTTTTAAAATTCAATCCATCTATTTTGATTGTGTTCTACAAACACGCACATGAATTCAAAATGTCTGCGCCCAGAGCGGCTTCAAAGCGTCTCCGCGTGCAAGAATGAGAAGTTAGCCCTCTAGTAATTTAATATAGCTCTATGGATGGACCCCACTACATCCCTGGCCTCAAATATAAATCCTTTGGCTTCTCTCTCTGCTGTAAAATATTGAAGAAATCTCCGATTTAACATCTCTAGGTCTGCTGGATGACAGTGTAGAGCATCTTACCAATAACGTCCAAGTTGTTGAACTGCACCGAAGCAATCTGCAGAGCTTCCCGGCTATTGTTGGTGTTGGACGGACAGTCGGCGCTGATGAGCTCTATCTCCACGGTTATCAGGGCTTCTGCTGCCTCTTCCCCCTCCGTGTCTGTCACCGTGTGTCTCACACTGTCTGCATACAGCTGCTCCTGGAGCTGGGAACTGCTCGACTTGCCCGTCAGCAACGTCCCTGATGATGAACAAAAATAACGACAAATGTAAAACTAAAATTGATGTATCTGCGAAAAGGTTTTCTTCAAACCCGTTCAAACTTGATTAATGACACTTGCAAAAAATATTTTACATCTAAAACTCACATGAAGGCCCCCTATTTGTTATAAAGTTCAAAATTTGTTGAAGTGAGAGCAAGACTTGGTGAGATATTCTTTTACTGTAATACAGGGTAAGGCAAAAAAAACCGCATCACAAATGGCAGGACCAATTTTTGAATGAAATTTTGCCTGTTTTCGTTTAGCTGCAAGAACACAACCTTTTTTGTGGTCCGTGGAATGAACTTTCAAACGGTGTTTGTGTTCAAAATGCAGTAACTTGAAAAGTACATGGGTGAGCTGAATGATTCTTGTACTAAAATAAAGCTTAATGACTTGGTTTTGATATCCTAGATTTTGAAAGTGCTACAGGCAAAACTTCATTCAAAAATTGGTCCTGCCAATTGGGATGCATTTATTTTTACTGACCCTGTAGATACCGGAAGTACACATCATTGCGTCACGTATAAACGGCCAGAGTATTGGATTTAAGTCGCAGCTAAGTCAAATTTACGTCAATAATTAAGCATTTTCAAATTTTGACCCCTATTACCTGAAATGGACTTGCCCATGGCTGACAGGGCAGACGCAAGTACTGACTGACTGGACGTGTCCATCATCTTCTCAGTAGGGGAGGCAGGACTCTGAGGGGATGTGGGTGACTGGACAGATCTCGGGGTGGAGTGCTCACTGTCGACGATGCTACCACTGGCGGCATGCATACTACGGAAAAAGAAAACAGCAACACTCTTCTTTAAAAAAAAAAAAAAGCAAAAACATTCTGCATTCTTCATGTAAATGTGCTTCATTCGATAAGTTTGGCTGACAATAACTTATGCAGAAACAATCAAGTAAACCTCAAATTACAACTGAGTAGCTTTGCTTTAAATCAATTTTCAATTTAACGGAGAAAAGATATCTATATTTTGGAAGATTTGGCAGAATAGCTCAGATGGTAACATTTTGGTACTTCTGCCTAGAGAATGCAGATTTACATTTTGCGCCATATATATTGCACAATACAACAATGTCTGGTAGTTAAAGTAAGTGTTCAATGCTCTTATTTTGAAGATCAATGAATAGTTATTTTTTTGTTTTAAATTTATAAAGTTTGGACAAAAAAATAGACTAATTGTGGAGTTTGAACCTTTGGACTGCCGTTCCGGTGCTCTGACTACTGAGCTATCCTGCCCTATGTTGACGGCTCCCTCTTTTGTCAATGTCTTTGCTCAAGGGGCCCACAAGCATGTCAGACATTAGTAACGGCGATTTATATTGAGAGAGAAATGTTCATGTGGTACTTAGAAAGGTGATTAAAGATTTCACTCTTGAAAATCTAAAATCTTTATCTGCGGATGAGATTTGAAGGTTTGCATGGTGGAAAGATACTAAGACAAGATAAAATTTGCTGTAGCACCAAAATGAATAAATCTCTTTTGTGAGTATGTGTGGTTCTGAAAAGAACCGGAGGGACTCAACGTTTCGAACAGTATGCTCTGCCCGTCGTCAGGAGAATGAGGGATTTTAACAATGTTGCAAAGTTATGAGGATGGGTGCGGTGAGGCGTGAGAAGGATGCAAACTGGTGAAGCTCGAAACCAGTGAAGCTGAGAAGGATGCAAGTTGACTGAGGGATGCTGGATGATCACTGGAGAGGGTCAGTACACAGTGAGGGGGCAAAGGGGAAGGAGTTCAGGGTATAGGTAACCCATAGCCGAGAACTGAACCTAAGTTGTCCTCACAAAAGAGATTTATTCACATGGTGCTACCGCAAACTTATCTTGTCTTTTTATCAGCGAAATTTTGTCATCTGCTCACCTCAGGTGTCGATGCGATGCCAGCAGCAGTTCAAACTCAGGTCCGAATTGTTGCAAGGCATCGATGAGTAACAGGCCATGTACAGTCAGGGAGACCGAGGTGTTGTATGGCTGCTTGCCCAGGTTGGCCTTAACGCCGTACACTTGGCACTCCGCGATACAACGACCTAAAAACATGTCACACAGGTATATTTCTTGGCTTACAACGAACCAATAAGTTGGCTCAAAATTCCACTTGCTTGAGACCTTGGCCAATTACCGGCTTGAACGTCAGAGCACATTGCTTTGATGGCAAGTAGATCATTTGCAGTTATCCAAAAGGTAACTGACAAAATTGTTGTGGAAAAGCTTACTTGGTTTTGAAATTAGTAATGGCCATAAACTCCCTGTGAAATAATTATTCCTGGCCTGCCATCATTTTGAGGAAAACAATAAAAGAAGGCCATTAGCAAAGATGCAAATATTTTGAAAATAGCTCTAAACGCCAATTGGCGGGAATCAGCTTTGATATTTTAAGAGAAAGTTGTACCTGTTAGTTTAGCATACCGCACTGGCGAATGGACTTCTGATAGTAATTTGACATTAAATAATGTGCTTAATTTATTTTTTTGGAAAAATTATTTTTTTTTATTTTACACGTTTTTTATTTACCTCTGCTCTCGACGCTGAGCGACAGCTGGTCAACAGAGAACTGCATCTCCAGAAGCTTGGACTCCTCAAGCAGAGCTTGGGTCCTCTGAGTAAAGGTGGCTTCCATCTCAGACAAACTGAAACAATCACAGACAATCAAAGACTTTAGCCTGAGTAAATTTGGCTTCTATCTCAGACAAACTGAAACAATCACAGACAGTCAAAGACTTCAGCCTGAATGAATTAAGTTTCCATCTCAAACAAACTGAAACAATCACAGACAATCAAAGACTTTACACTGAATGAATTAAGTTTCCATCTCAGACAAACTGAAAAAATCACAGACAATCAAAGACTTTACACTGAATGAATTAAGTTTCCATCTCAAACAAACTGAAATAATCACAGACAATCAATGACTTTACACTGAATGAATTAAGTTTCCATCTCAGACAAACTGAAACAATCACAGACAATCAATGACTTTACACTGAATGAATTAAGTTTCCATCTCAGACAAACAAACAATCAAAGACTTCATAGTAAGTAAATAGGGCTTCCATCTCAGACAAACTGAAACAATCACAGACAATCAAAGACTTCAAATTGAGCATATGTGATTTTCATCTCAGAAAAGCTGAAACAATCACAGACAATCAAAGATTTCACACTTTATAAATTAGGTTCCATCTCAGACAACCTGACACAATCACAGACAATCAAAAACTTGTCAAGACACAGCACTCAGGTCACGTAATTCTCAAAACATGATTACAACATTATTAGCAACATCATTTGTTTTTGGTTTGTCCGACTGAATGTGATATACGTCTCAGACAATCTGAAGCAATCACAGACAGTAAACAACTGATCCAAATGAGTATATTATCACATAATTATATACTCATTAGCTGCATTGATCATGGTTGCAATGGAATCAACCGGAAAGTAAACCCATACAATCACAGTGATTGAGTAGTTACGATGTCTAGACTGATAATAAAAATGTTCTGGGTTCGAGTCCATCCCAACCACTTTTTCTTTTCTTTCAGAATGCACTGACCATACAGCTCTAAAAACAATAGCTCAGGAAGTGAAATTATTGATCTATAAGGTTGCATCTGAAGCCCTTGTCTAGAGCAACGGTTTACCTTGTGGTGTGAGTGCGGTTCACTGTGGAGAGGTCGTCGGTCAGTGTGACCCCGGTCGACCCCGGGGGTGCAGCGCCCTCGCTTGGTCCAGTCAGAAGCTTCATGCAGATACTTAAGGCATGAATCTGTGGGGAAATGAACAGTAACTCGTACTCTGTTTTCACCCATTGAAAGCTCTTTGGGAGGGGCAAACGGCATGCCTGCACACTTACTGCGGCATAATCACTTCGTATTCACATTCCTGGGAAGTTTGACCCGGCCTCAAAATCTTTCTTTGTAAAGGACGGTTCATACACAGCGTGAGAGCAAATGCAACCGCAAATTTATTACATTACGTCAAGTTTTCGTGATGCAAATTTGTAAAACTCGAACACATTTCGGTTGCATAAAATTTGCATAAAATACTTCACATTCGCATCAGCATGAACTGTGAACAGGCCTTGGGCCTTTCTCGAGTCTTTGTAACTTACAAAGTCCATAAAGAAATTATAATTATTCACTCCAAACTTTATTGAAAAGCCAAGATGTTCTCGAGTCTTATGTTCACCTTTTGCTCGTTGATGTGTATGGCCAAACTTGGCAGGTTGCCAGACACCACGGCACTCGGCCACTGGGGGTCCGTAGTGAACATCAATCGACGTTCCACCTTGACCGATATCGTAAACTTCTCAATGACTTGCATGTGACCCGACCCCTTCGTGTGCGCGATGCGCCAGTTGTCTGTTGCCTTGCCAACAAGCACCTGCAGATCCGACATGTTCAAGTTGTACCTATTGTGAAGAAAGAACCAAGATATTGTTTCACAATTTATTTTTGAAAACTGAGCACATATATCCCTTTCATCACACTCTACCCTTTGAAACGTTAGGCCATCTCATTTTGTTGATTTGTATATTTCCGGTCATTCCAGTCAGCAGGCAGTTTGGTTATATTCATTTTCTCCCCCCCCCCCCCACCCCCAAGAAAGTGTTACATTCTCTACTAACACCAAATGTCTGGAAATGCAGTATTCAACAAGAATTCACAGGGAAAAAACAAGCAGACGTTCTGCAAAATTTGTCCAGATTTTCTAATACACCTGTTTCTGACTGGTATTTCAGACTCGCTCAAAACCATAACATATTTGGAGCAAATATCCTAGACCAAATCCTAGGCCAAATTTCACGGAGCTGCTAAGTAGATAAATTTGCTTATCAAATTTTCATGCTTATCGAAAATCAACCAAGAACCAATCAATGACAATGATGAAAAAATCGCATTACATTTTGGCTAGTAACCTATTGTTTGCTAAGCAATTTTTGTGTGTGTGCTAAGCAAATTTCTGTGCTTAGTAGATTGCTGAAGTTGGCCAACGGGATGATGCCATGGATGTAATTAAGTTCATCACAAGTCTTCCAGTCCCAATTCAACTCATAAGCTATTCAACTGAGCTTGGACCTTTCCTTTGTTATTGTTCAATCCACTGTTTCTTGCGACTGGACTTGTGACTGGACTTGTGACTGGACTTGTGACTGGACTTGTGACTGGACTTGCGACTGGACTTGTGACTGGACTTGCGACTGGACTTGTAACTGGACTTGTGACTGGACTTGTGACGGTCTCGTGACTGGACTTGTGATGGTCTTGTGACTGGACTTGCGACTGGACTTGCTGTTGGGCTTGCGACTGGACTTGCGACTGGACTTGCTGTTGGACTTGCGACTGGACTTGTGATGGTCTTGTGACTGGACTTGTGACTGGACTTGTGATGGTCTTGTGACTGGACTTGCGACTGGACTTGTGATGGTCTTGTGACTGGACTTGTGATGGTCTTGTGACTGGACTTGCGACTGGACTTGCTGTTGGGCTTGTGACTGGACTTGTGATGGTCTTGTGACTGGACTTGTGATGGTCTTGTAACTGGACTTGCGACTGGACTTGCTGTTGGGCTTGCGACTGGACTTGTGATGGTCTTGTGGCTGGACTTGTGACTGGACTTGTGACGGTCTTGTTACTAGACTTGTGACTGGACTTGCTGCTGGACTTGCGACTGGACTTGTGACGGTCTTGTGACTGGACTTGTGACTGGACTTGCTGCTGGACTTGCGACTGGACTTGCGACTGGACTTGTGACTGGACTTGTGACTGGACTTGTGATGGTCTTGTGACTGGACTTGCGACTGGACTTGTGACGGTCTTGCGACTGGATTTGTGACTGGACTCAACTACATCACTGGATGGTGCATACCTATCATACATGCGTTCTCTCATTGTGGTCTCCGTGACACCGCTGTTGAAGTCGATGGTTTGTAGGTCAGTCTTTCCTTCATCAACTGCTCTGTCGGTGGTCACTGCAGCCGACGTCGAGGGACCGTCGACACTTGACTCATTGGGTGGAGTGGACGGAGGGGTCAAGAAATCATCATCAAGGTCAAGGTCACCTGAAAAGATATATGGAGATTGAATTTGATAAAACTATGTATAGGCACAGGGCTTCCAGATTTTTATGAAAACAAAATTCCCGGAGTTTCCCCGATATTCCCCTGAGAATTTGCCAAAATTCCATGAGAAATATTTTCCATTAATGAGGTCGCTGGAAAGTCAAGAGGTGGTGTAGCACAGCCAATTGTTATTGTCTGCAGAGGTGTGTAATATTCACACAGCATAAACACTCAAAAGCCACCACAGCCAGTCAGTCAATTAACTTAACTTGGACACATGGCACATGACGCACATACGCCAAACTGGCCAAAACCTTTCCCTTCTGGGTCACTGCCAAATTCCCTGAGTTTTCCCTGACTTTGTGCTTTCCCAATTTCCTTGATTTTTCCCCGACTGGAAAAATGGAAACTCATTTTCACGGTTTTCCCTGATTTCCAGAGTGGCTAGGAAACCTGCCTATTGCTATTGCCTGCCTAGCAAACCACCCGTGGTACATTTATATAATATTGCATGGCTCTGAGGTTGATACAAGAATATATTGTCATAGCGAGTGCAATATATTCTTGTATCCCCCAGAAAAAAAAACATCCAATATTATTATTATTATTTACATCAGGCTGACTTGATCCGCAAGAAATACAATTCAAGACACTGTCTTCATTTCTCCAATTTCGTCAAACTATTTGAAGCTGCCATTGTTATTATTGACTGCCTAGCCTGCTGCGCGCTGCGTGGGCTACGCTCTGATGAGTGGTTGACAACTGTGAGGTTCTACGCTCTTGATCGTGTGGGAACCAGCGAAAATGCCTGGATGAGGGCCCGCCGGGCAATATCAAAAGTAATATTGCCCGCAATCCGGGTACTTTTACTGACAATGTTGCTGTCATCCGGGTACGTTTTACAAAAGCATGCAATACGCTAATTTATTTTTTACCGCTGGAAGCCTGATATAAATAATGATGTATAATCTTGTATTTGGTCTATGTTGAATCCCATACAATTATACAGTGCCGGGGGGGGGGGGGGGGGGAATGGTACAAGGTGAGTGGACTGCCAAAGAGCGCCCTCTCTTGCTAATGTAGGAATCGGATACATACCATCATCTGTCAACGAGGTATCTGTAGCTGTCTGTGACTTGGCGTAGTTGCCTTTGGCCGTGGCACTAGCCAGCTGGAGGTGACCAAAATCTAGAACCACCTGAGAAAACAATCACCATCACGGTACAAATGTTTTAAGAAGTAACAGTCAATGGAACACGTCTTACAATGCTGAGGAAATTGGGGTGGTTATGTATGGGCAATAACAGCATTATGGAAGAGAATGTGCTGTGCGTAAAAGAGGCAATTAACCATGATATCTAATTATGATTCAGGGAAATGAGCCACAATGCCTAGTCTGTAATCTCCTTGACTATTAATAGATGACAAATGTATAAGATTTGAAGACAAAAAAAACCTGGTTGATTCACTGAGTTCTTAAAGCACAGAAAAATGTCTGATTTGTAATTTCCATGATGCTGGAATTACCCGCATGTTGTCTATTGAAAAATCTTCATTTTAGGGCCTTGTTGTTTGTGGATTTGAGCTCAATTAATTTGGGCAAACAGTTTCATGGCCTTTGACAGTGAAAAACATAAGTACTTTAATACTGCATAATGACAAATCTTTCAAAGGAAAGTCAGCGTTTTTCTATTTATAATGATTTCAAAAGATAACTTCTTTGCAAAGAAATAAAACTCAGGGCGAAACATACTTTTTGCAATTCAAATATAGAAATTCGTGGTTTTGGATAAGTTGTATTCATCTTAAAATTAATGTGGCCTGACGTTGCGAACTTAGCAAGTTCTGTTTTCTGTTTTAGCCTCTGAAGAAGAACTTGCTAAGTTCGCAACGTCAGGCCACATTAATTTTAAGATTTATATATTTCAGGTCCATCCAGTCAGTAAGCAGTTTGCAGCAGTTTTACTTTTTGTCAAGTTGTATTCATATTAAATTGCATCAAAACCATTCAGAAATAATAAATGTCTTCTCAAACAAGTGTACTGGTTTCTGATTCTTACCAGAGTGGCATCCTTGGAGTGGAAACTGTCTGGAATGATGATCTGAGGAGCGGAGATGTCTAGATGGACGTCCCATCGACTGACTTGACCCTAAAGATCAACGAGATATGAAGAGTTGATTTCCAAATCGCGATAAATCCATTTGAAGAAAAAGAAGTGGAAAACTTACATAGTTATGAAAACTTATAGAACATACACAGTGTAACGGTTGTTTCTTAAAGAGGTTGCGGAATGCTCGAAGACATTTCCGTCATTTTTGGGGTATATTTAGCCTAAGGTGTGATGAAATAAAAACGACTATTGTTTCTGTCATGAAATGAGTACAAAGGGTACTTTTGAGAGCTATTTTTCAGGTCCTGTTTCGACCCGAAAGTGCAATTTGTGTAAAAGTCGTTGTTGCGGGCAGCAAACAAAACACAGTAAATCGTGACGTAAAAAACAGGACTCGTTTATGCTACTCTGCATCGAGAGTCCTGTTTATTACGTCACGATTTACTGTGTTTTGTTTGCTGCCCGCAACGACGACTTTTACACAAATTGCACGTTCGGGTCGAAACAGGCATGACAGGACTTGAAAAACAGCCCTCAAAAGTACCTTTTGTACTCATTTTATGACAGAAACAATAGTCGTTTTTATTTCATCACACCTTAGGCTACATATACCCCAAAAATGACGGAAATGTCTTCGAGCATTCCACAACCTCTTTAATTATATATTTCAATGTGTTGTATTCTTGAACTAGAAAGCACTAAGAAAGCGCAAACCTCCACCCAGGCTAAAAAAATTCCCCATCATATTGCCATTACCCCCAACTTAATACTTGCATAAATGGTGAAAAAAATCCTGGATCCAGACCCAGATCTACAGCACTTCCAAAATGTAATCGATTTGTACTTGTACCAAGGACCACACCTTAAAAAAATTGTCATGCAAATTCGTCCGTAACTTTTGAGTTATCTTGCTAAACAGACAAACCAACCGACCAACCAACCAACCAACAAACTCTGATGAAACATAACCTCCTTGGCGGAGGTAATTTTGTTTAACTATGTAAGAGCTGATAAAACTGATTTTTGGAAGCCACGAGACGGTTGATTTTAAAAGGTAACGAAATGGCGTTTATCGCGTTTTGGAATAAGGCATATGATTTGGCGTACTCTAAAATTGGAGACTGTCTTGAAACAAAAAACCAGATAACCTGTGATACCTCTATTGGCTCGTCATCTTTACAAATATTCTGAAAGTTTTTGACAAGTTTCTTATGATTATATGGAAGGAAAGGAACAATTTGGTCCAAGTCACTGCATTTCTGAAACAGAATTTTTGACTTTAACATCAGGGCCCAACTTTATGGCCCTGCTAACCATAGAATTATGTGCTTATGATAACCATTTTGTGCTGACCGTGCTAGCAGAAAAATTCTGTGCTAAACCTGTAAGCACAGAATCCTTAGTTACGGGATGTACGGATGCACAGAAGCCAAAATTCCTCGCTAACCCGTGAAATATGCTTACTGTAAGCACAGAATTTTCTGCTAGAGCAAGCAGGGATTTTTCGCTAATGGTAAAGCAGAGCCATGCAATTGGGCCCCGATATCTGGAGCCAATTTTTTTCAATAAAGTTAGAGTTGATGTTATTATAATAACAGGTTCTTATATAGCGCTTTTAACTAAGATCAAAGCGCTTTACATTATTATTACCCCTGAGCATTAGGCCAATTAAACATTCCATATACCATCTCAGCTCCCTGGGGAGTATACAGCTTGATGCTGCCTGTTAGGCGCAAGGAAGCTAATTCAATCACAATAACCATCACTGCCCTCAAAGGTACCCATTTACTCCTGGGTGGAGAGAAGCAATGAGTGACAAAGTGCCTTGCTCAAGGGCACACGCACCATGACCCCACCAGGACTCGAACCCACGACCTGCAGCTTTACCCACAGACCACGAATCAGTGCCCTTAACCACGAGGCCACAGCACTCCACAAGTGTTCAGATGGATCCTGAAATATTTATGTTCCTTCCTCCCTCTGAAAGAATCTCAGTTTGGATTTACTCTGTGTACCTGCTGTTCTCCTTCCAGCAGGGTGTCCAGGGTCTGCCTCAACTCCTGCTTAGTCTGGTTCTTCAGTTCTTCGTACCGCAGCCTGGCCATGCGGGTGAGCTGGAGCTCCGAGGGTCTGGACGCCAGACCTTTGGTCCTGGCGGTGGAGGTGTCAAAGAAATCGGAGATTCGTTGCATGGCCGAGGGGTTGTAGACCATGTCCAGGGGGCGGGTGATGATCTCCAATCTTAACAGCATAAAACAAAGTGGATTGTAGGTCTCGTTCAAATGACGTCATTTCCTACAGACCATCCACATGTGTGGTGACTGCAAATTGATCTAGAGTCATATTTGACATTTTATTTTTTTTCTTCCGAAATTGTTTAAATAAGCCTGTGAATCAATTCAAATCTTTTGATTATAGGCCGTTAGTGATGAACCATTCTACACTCAACCAAAAAAGAAAGTCCCCCCTTAAGGCCCCCCAAAAAAGTCTCCGGTTTCTGGTATGGAGCTTGTCCAAAAAGTGGTGCGGCGACACGGCTTTTTTTTTTTTTTTTCCTGACTTTTTTGCTTCAAATGTCGGCTGATGACTGCAAATGGTGCCCGACTAAACTTCGTGCAAATATATGGGAGTCCAGAGAGGCCACATAAAGCTTATTCTCGATCATAAACCCATCTAAAAACACGTTAAAATTGTGCAGCAGCAGGATTCCAGTCAAACCAGTGAGTTTGGCGGTTTTGAGACATCAACTTTCATTGAAAAAAAAACTTTTTCATTTTGCCGACGCGCATGGCTACGGCGACGCGCGCGCATACCAGAAACCGGAGACTTTTTTTTTTTGGCCTAATACTTTTTTGTCTAACTCAAGAACTACTGGGCACATCTTGCTCAAACTACGACTGATCAGTACAGAAATTCCTTAGCAATCCAGCCATACTCTCTGCTTGGTCCAAAGCAGTGATAACGTGTACACAATTATGCAATTTATGACAAATGGTACACACACCAAAGCAGTGATAACGTGTACACAATTATGCAATTTATGACAAATGGTACACACACCAAAGCAGTGATAACGTGTACACAATTATGCAATTTATGACAAATGGTACACACACAAAAGTTGCACATTTGTATACGTGCAAGGTGAGTGTGAACCACAACTTGCACGTATACAAAAGTGCAACTGTTTTCGGTATCATTTGTCATAAACTGCATAAATGCGTACACATTATCACTGTTTTGGGCCAAATAAAGAGTATGGCTTGATTGCTATGGAATTTCTGTACTGATTAGTCGTTATTTGAGCGAGAGGTGCTCAGTAGTTTTTGAGTTAGACAAAAAAAAGCATTAAGGGGGGACTTCGTTTTTTGGTTGAGTGTATGAAGCTAATAGGTCTCATTCAAATGACGTCATTTCCTACAGACCATCCACATTCATCGGCATTTTGAGCATCAACTTGCATAACGAACATCAGCTGCATCATATTTGGAACACATTTCAAGCAACAAGCGCGCGTTTGGAACATTTTCAACACTGCGCAATGCGTGCTTCATTGCGTAAAATACGCAGTTGCACTTCTTCTACAGAAATGGCCGTCATTGAACGAGCCCTATTGCAACAGAGTGTCCAGCCTAAGGACACAGACAAATTGTTTGGGTTGATAGCGAGAAAATCTACCTGCAGTCAGCGTTGGAGTTCGGTGGGTTGGATTCGTAGCTCATTTCAAACAGCGTCTCCTCTGAAGACTGTCTCTTGTAGGCAGCGCTCTGGGCCATGTAGGAACCGCTGGTCTTGGCGAGTATGCCAAAGGTTTGACGAGATTGGGTACTAGACCCTTCGTCCTGCGTGGGGAAAATAATTACAAATATTGAGTGGATCAGCGTGGAATGGGAGGAATAATATCGCAAGGTAAAATCTGGACTTTTCCATTTCACGAGGCGAAGCCGAGTGAACTGGAAAAGTCCAGATTTTACCGAACGATATTATTCCTTTCATTTCACAATTTAAAGTCAACTCAATATTTGTTTTATATAACTGACATATAGATCCTTGTCATTTGATATATTTGAACTTATATTTCACTATGAAACAAAAAAGAGGCCATTCCACGCTGTACATGACTCTATACGGTGTTTCTCAAGTTTTAATGGCATAGGTTGGAAGTGAAAAAAAGTGTAAGCGAAAATCAGCTGATCCAAGGAAAAGTTGCATGCCTGATTGACCTGACTGTCAAAGACACTTTCGGAGGAAAATGCTCGGTGTTTATAGATTGTTTTTATGGCCCAGTGAGCAGGGGTAAAAATAATGTTGTACCACCCTGTGAGCATCATGGGCTTCATTTTTTAGTCGGCCATATTAAATTGAAAGCAAGGTAAAATCTTCATTTTTGAAACCTGCAAAGAGAAATGAAAGCAATGAAATGAAGTTAATTACAAATTAATACCAGTCTGCTCTGATGAATAATGTAAAATTTGTGATTAAACATACCCTAATGTTTTAAACCACATTTAAAAAAAAAAAACATGAAAGTGAGGCTAGAATGTATGAATAGTCTGGCACCATCTCATTCAACAGTTCACGATTTCTAAACTACATTCAGGGAACACGATCAAAATGGCTTCCTTCACGAGAAAGCCAAACTTGATTTTGATCGTGTTCCCTGGATGTATTATATAAATTGTAAATTGTTGAATTGTAAATGTGGCTTAAAACGTTGGGGTATGTTTAATCACAAATTTTAAATTATTCATCAGAGCCGACTGGTATTAAGTTGTAATTTTTAATTTATTTCATTGATTTCATTTCTCTTCGCAAGTTCCAGAAATGAAGATTTTACCTCGCTTTCAATTTAATATGGACGACTTGTGAATCAAGTTTATTATTATGATTATGAATAATTATAATGGGGATAAGGGGGAGGGGGGGGGGGCTATTAGGGGCACTGTTCAAAGCGCAAGATCTAGGACACTGCAAGGTGAGTAAAGAAAAGCGAAACCCAAATGTCGGGACCATTGTTTGAGTGAAGTTCTGCATGTAGCACTTTCAAAATCTAGGATATGAAAACCCAATTCATAAGCTTTCTTTTAGTACAAGAATCATTCAAATCACTCATGTAATTTTCAAGTTACGGAACTTTAAACACAACCACCATTTTATAGTTCTGTCCAACAAAAAAGGTAAGTGTTCATTCAGCAAAACGAAAACATATCACATAGGGATGTGTGTGAATTGTTTTCGTTTTGCTGAAAGAATGCATATCTTTTTTGTGATCCATGGACAGAACTTTAAAACGGTGGTTGTGTTTAAAATTCAGTAACTTGAAAAGTACTTCAGTGATTTGAATGATTCTTGTACTAAAGGAAAACTTATGAATTGAGCTTTCATATCCAAGATTTTGAAAACGCTACATGCAGAAATTCACTGAAACAATAGTCCCGACATTTGGGTTTCATTTTTTTTTACTCACCCTGTATGTGTTGAGAGACACACTATTTTGCTGTCAGGATATTGAGTTTGCCAACGAAATTATTAATGGGGGGTGTGACTCCCGACCCCCACCCCCTCTAGTAACACCGGCGTAAATTCTTACCCTTCTCTGCTGCGGCGACACCAACACAGGGAAGAGGGATCCCTTAGTCATGACGTCGCGAACGTAGAGCGCCCCCAGCTTTGCCTTGAACAGCATGGAGCTCGTCCGGAGTCTGGATTCCAGACTCATCTTCACGCCGGCAAACTCAAGCTCAATGATGGGCGCCATGCTGTCGGGCCCTCTCATGGAGGCGGAGTTTGCAGTCACGGGGGAGGGGGTGGTGCTGCAGAGTTTGAAGGAGCCGCCTTGCAGGTTGAGGTTGAGGAGAGCGAAGACGTGGTCTCGCTTGAGGAGGGTGCTGTCCGCCATGGGGTCACCAATCACGTCCATCAGCTCCTGCTCATCTGCATAACAAAGCAAGACATGTGCTTTAAGTACTGCCCTATTGTGTTTTGACCAATCACGGCAGCATCTGAGTGTGCAAATAATCGTGTCCATCCGTTCCTGCTCATTTGCATAACAAAGCAGTATATTTAATATAAATGTACTTAGAAGTTGCAGGGACATCCACAGTCTTCAAAAACCGATTTTCCAAGGCCCCGCCCACAATCACAGCTGCGACTGCACAACTAAACGTCGAACAAAAATCTCAGTTCAGTACACTTTTGCATGGCTACATGCTGTGTTGCGTTGGAGAGACAACATGTTGTTGCCCACATGCGAAGGCTGCAGGGCTTAAGGCCAAATGCGGAACGGTCTATCATGAAAACAGCCAAAATTGAGTTCATTCCAAAAACTGATATGCGTTTTCATTTTTTATCCATTCACTGAACTGTATCTGACTTCTTCAAGTGCACTGACACAGGTTGCTATTCTGTCCAGGATTTCACTTTTCCCCGTAGTCTGATTGGGTTAGTTCTAAAATGCGCCTACTTATCAGGAAAGTCTGTAAACGAGCCAATTTGGCCCCTCTGACCAGCATTTATATCCAGTCTCGGTGGCATGAAACGACTGAGAATAGTTTTATTTTCCCCTGGATGGGATGCCAGTCCATCGCAGGTTACTCCCCAGCTAATGCCAGTACCCATTTTTATACTTCTGGGTGGAGAGAGGCAAGAGGGGGTAAAGTGGCTTGCCCAAGGACACAGAAGTCAGAGGAAAAACAACATGTTGGCTGATAACCAACTCTTTATGCAAATGAGCCACTGAGGCACTCTTTGAACTATTTACCTATTGGAGGGGGTGATGTAGACCGGGTGGCTCTTCCTGATCCAGCGGGTCCGGCACTCCCACCAGAATCTGATTGGTCCGTTGAGGCTGTTCCACCTGAGTACCACCCTCCCCATCCCCAGACCCACCGCTGCATCAGACCCTGTTGCTGAGATGCATCCTGGTCTGAGGTCTTAAAAAACTCCTGTGGGAGTAACAATACATAATGTAACAGCTCCTATGCCTTCAGCAGCAGTCTTTGAGACATTTGGGGGTTATTTTAAAGGCATATAGGATCGTTTGCTTTTCTTATTTCCAATAACTACACCACTCAATGCTCCAAAAAAGAATATTCTAAACCTAACCAGTTAAGTTTCAGCTCAGTGGATATTACACTTTGGCCAAAAAAAGTCTCCGATTTCTGGTATGGAGCTTGCCCAAAAAGTGGTGTGGCGACGCGGTTTTTTTTTTTTTTTACCTGATTTTTTTGCTTCAAATATCGGCTGATGACTGCAAATGGTGCCCGACTAAACTTAGTGCAAATATATGGGAGTCTAGAGAGGCCACATAAAGCTTATTCTAGATCATAACCCCATCTAAAAACACGTTAAAATTGTGTAGCAGCAGGATTCCAGTCAAACCAGTGAGTTTGGCGGTTTTGAGACATCATCTTAGATTGAAAAAAAAAACCTTTTTCATTTTGCCGACGCGCATGGCTATGGCGACGCGCGCGCATAACAGAAACCGGAGACTTTTTTTTTTGGCCTTTTCTAGAAAACAGTGAAAACCATTCCAACCTTTTGTTCACCAAACAGGATTTCATCAATGGCACTCTATTATTCCAAAATTCATTCCATTGATTGAGCATTGGAAGTCCATTTCTTGATCTCTTGTAAATGACAGCAAGCCAGATGAACCAATTTCACCGATCTTTAATCTAAGTAAGCTTTTTGATAATAATTTGGTAGATCAAATTAGGTTTTGCCCTTCACCAACGTTTTTAACACTGTATACTCAGTGTGTTACCTCCTGAGTGAAAGTTGGAAAAATCACTCGGGTGGGACTCGAACCCACGACCTCCTGCTTTCTAGTGCAGATGTCTTACCACTCCAGCACTGAGCTAACGGGATCGGTTGGCTGGTTGAATCTGATGTACATAGCAGCGGGTACCGCATTAACTATTTATAAAATGGAATTTATGCGTCGGGGTGATATAAATCAAATTAGGTTTTGCCCTTCACCAACATTTAACCCCTTAAGGACGGGGTGTAATGGGGACATTCCTCCACACATAGAGCAAGTGGCCCTCTGACTGCACAGCCTTTGTGTGGTAGCAGGACTGCACAAAAGCAGCAGCTGTAGAACTACCCACTAGCAGTGAGCCACGGCATACCACAGCTGGCAACTGCATTCCAATGAGGATTAGCGGCCGCGGCCATGACCGCTTCCCGTACGCATGGGGTTAAACACTGTATACTCAGTGTGTTAGCTACCGAGTGAAAAGTTAATACATGTAGTATCAATAGTTTATGCGGTACCCGCTGCTATCAGATTCGAACCAGCCAACCGATCCCGTTAGCTCCGTGGTCGAGTGGTAAAACATCTGCACAAGAAAGCAGGAGGTCGTGGGTTTGAGTCCCACCCGAGTGATTTTTCCAACTTTCACTCGGGAGGTAACACACTGAGTATACAGTGTTTAAACGTCGGTGAAGGGCAAAACCTAATTTGATTTGAATTTTGTTCAAAATTGAATTCAAACCTCTCCAGCTGCGATGCGCTTCTCAAGTTGTCTAAAAGTCAACTCTCGGAGCAACCTCAGCTCGTCAAACTCCAACTTGTTCTCCATCTCATCCATACAATCCTAGAATACAAAACAACAATACAATCTTGAAGTTTTCTTTTCTCAGCTGGTTTCTATTTCAGGTCTGTAGTTAGGGATGGGGGATTTTGAAAGTCACGATAGGCCTCAATTCGGATTTACTTACGGTTTGGCTGGACTTTAAGACGGCTTAGGGGCTGGTTGTTTTGGGTTCTGACTTGGTTTATGACAAGTCAGAGTTGTTGACTCAAGTCCAGGGCTACGACTCAAGCATTGAGTTGCAACACGACTCGACTTGAGTCACATCAACACAAGACTCGGACTTGAACTAAGTGATTCGTTACTCAAAGTTAGACCCAAATTACGTAATTCAAGACTTGACTTTCAATCTAAGTGACTTGGAACTGGGGCTCAGACTCAAACTAACAAACTTGTTATAAATCACATGACATTTTGGCTAGGAAGCTGTTTTTGCTCAACAAATGTGATGCGATCAAGCTAAATGAGTCGTTTGTCGGCCCTTATTGATATTTTTTTTTTTTTTAATAGAGCTATCTTTCAGTTTACATTTGGTGAAATCCCCATGTGAATATCGACCTTCCGTTCAGAAGTTATGGGACTTAGAACACAGGCAGATCAGAAAGGAGAAAAACAGAGAAATCAAACAGAGAAATCAACGACTCAAAATTGAAGTGTTTACTAAGCAACCATGAACATGCTTTATGTCAGGTTATTGAATATTATCTCCTTAGCAAAAATGTCACGTTTTAACTACTTTATCGTGACTTTTTCGCAAAAAAAAAATAGTTGACATGAAAGAGGTCATATGAAGCCTTCCGATTTTACAAAAAAGTCAATTTTGAAATTTCCACCCCTACTGACCTATATTGGGCTGTATCTTAGAATCATAATTGTTGACAAACGACTCAATAAATATGTTTGTGCTTAACTCTTTCAGTGCCAAAGTCGTACATATACGAGGTATATTTGTTAGTTCGAAATTGCCAACCTCGTACATGTACAAGGTATTGTTTGTACTTAAAATCGCCAGACCTCGTACACGTACGATGTAGAGTAAGCATGTTATCACAAGGGGGCGCTCTCGCTCTTTCTAATAATATCATTTTTATTCAGGTACGACCTGTATTTATTTGTTTCATTCGAGTTCTTGCGAGAGGGCGCAGCACTGACACTCGTATTTTCTGCAAAAAGTGCAGAATTCCCGTGTGCAGGACAGTGTTTCAGGGTGTATCACTATGTACGTGACTACTATTGACTTTCCAATGTACCAAGGATATACCAGAGAGCAACAACAACAAATTTAGTGAGTAAAACTTATTTACTTTTTTTGTTACAGAATTTTGAACAATTACAAAAAATGCTCAAAGTTGGGCACTTTAGGGTTAAACTTTTCAAATTTCGCGGGCACTGAAAGAGTTAAAAGATTGTCACGCATATGGATCCTTGAAAGTGGCCATCACATGTTGCTTACCTTGGATTCCTTGTCTAGCGTCGCGCCTTCTAGTACCAGTGTGTATGCCTTGATGTAACGTGTGTTACTCTGTATCCTCTCTGATATGAATCCTGGCGATTTACGCTTGTTTCTCTCTCGGATGCCGTGTAGCGTTGACGTCACCGCAAAGTCCCACCATTCCCTGGCACTGAAACACAAACATAAGACACTGAAAGCCCTGTCGTTTCTATAATAATAATAATAATAATAATAATAATAACAGGTTCATTCCAAATACCTTTCAGCTCCCTGGGGAGAATACAGCTCGATGCAGCCTGTTAGGCGCAAGGAAGCTAATTTAATCACGATAACCATCTCTGCCCTCACAGGTACCCATTTACTCCTGGGTGGAGAGAAGCAATGAGTGACAAAGTGCCTTGCCCAAGGGCACACCCACCATGACCCCAGGCTGGACTTGAACCCACAACCTGCAGCTTTACCCACAGATCACGAATCCAGTGCCCTTAACCACGAGGCCACTAGTTCTATGACTAAAGGTTATTAGGTACACAGGATCATTTGCTTTTAGTGTCAGCAAGTTTTTAGTTTGAAGCAGCACAATCGCTCAAACTCTTTAGGTGCATAACAACTTGACTGTTGAAGTTCCAGCTCGGTGGATTCAATTCATATTTAAGAAAACAGGGAAAACCCATGCATAATTTGAGGGTATTACAATTGGATTTCATTGCTAACGTACATAGAAAAGCGTACCTGCGGGCAGCCTATTTTTGACACAACATTCAATGTTAGTTTTCTTCCAAACGAGACCATTTCAGGCAGAATAATTTCACAGGGTATTTGACACCAGTCCTATCTTCACTTTGAGCAAAATTTCTATTATTATCCCTAACCCCCTAGCATGATTTACTAGGAACCATACCCATCCTGGCAAATTTGAACACCATATGGGAAACTGCACACACATATTATGATTCTGGAGGTGTGCCAACCCAATGTAAAAGACTGTCAGTTTAGGGGTACTGTACCCATCCTGACAGATTCCAACAAAACATGCCGTTGGGGTTTGATGGGTTGAGTTCTGTTAGGGTTAGCGAAGGTTCTTATCGGGGATTTCAAATGAGCCAAGTGGTTTTTATCATAAACTCAACAAATTTCAACCATTTTTTTAATAGTCCAACTCACTGTGCTTGGATGGGAACCTTTGGCCGAAATTTTCTATACATTCTAGCCCTGCCACTGCGCTCGAACTCCCTAGCCAAGGCAATCACTCCGTGGTACTGCTCCTCGGATAACGACAGCGGGATCTTCTGAAGATTGACGTCGCAGATGAAGCGCGGCGTGCTGCGAGATCGTAACGGTAAGGGACTGCCGTTACGTCGAAGCTTTGCCTCGGCGCTGACGGGCTGGATGAGGTAATCGTGTTGCTGTAATGAACACAAAATCAAGCATCAATCACTCAGATGAAATATACCCAGCTGATTACCAGGGTTCGACCTTAACTTTTTTGTTCACTAGCCAGCTGGGCTACTGAAACAGACTCTTAACTAACCGCATTTTTTTTTTTAGCTCAAATACAAAATGGCGTATTTTCAGGCTCAATTCTGAGGCAATGTTTTCAGTGTTTTATCTAATAATTTAATCCTTTAAAACAGTTGATAAAATTAGACAAAAATTAATGAGGCTTGCTTTCTGAATTTAGGGATTTATTTCTTCCTGTCCTTTCATCTTTGCCATATCCCAAATGCTTGAAAAATATGATTTTTTTTTTACTCAACAGCCGGGCTACTTAAGAAATAGTTTGACTAGCCTGCCACTGTTTGACTACCATTTGGCTAGCGGGCTACCGCTAATTTCAAACCCTGTGATTACCAATTTAAAGTATGACATTCTGTAGAGTGTCGAGGTCCAGTGGTTACGGTGTTAGCCTCATGCGCCATAAAACATGGGTTCGAACCTTGACTTGGAAGCATGGCACTTGTGTTCTTAGGCAAGACACTCTACTACAATTGCCTCTATCTAACTAGAAGTATGAATGGGTACCTGTGATGGCAAAGACCAGATTGCGCTGATCTCAAGGTGCCACAGACAATAAATAGTCTCACAGCCTGCTGAACAGGGGTAACGATTGTGAAGCATTTTGAAATTTCAGTACTATGTTAGCACCTCATTATCAGTGAAATCTCGATTAGTCAAACCTCGAGGGAACAGGTTCAAAATTTGACTTAAGCAGAGTTTTGAGTTAAGCGGGGTTATACCGGTATGTCATTGTTTTACTACTGAAGGGAACAGATTCTTTGTTTGACTTAACAGTTGTTTTGAGTTATCAGAGTTTGACTTATCGAGATTCACTGTAATTATAATTTAAACTTAGCCCAAATAAGAGAAAAACTCAGTCAGTATAACAGCGGCTTTTTGAGGATGGGAATATAAAATTGGCGTCTTTATTCGTATCATCATTTTTGACTTGAGATGAAATCCTTTACTTTGGGTTGATTTAATTTTTACAATGGGCTTTACTCCTCGCTGACATATTGGTGAAAAGCACTTCTTTGAAAGTAACGATCAATACTTTCAAAGCGGTACTTCAGTGAAGGGCCATTTTGGGGACATTTTACCTGTGCTCTCGGTGCATCAGCTGAAACCTCTCTCTTCTGCAAAGCATCCTGCAAAAAACAAAGATTGAAAGATACTTGTACTGACCTAAAACAAACATTTCCAAGTTTCAATTTATTTTGTAAGTCATCTTTTGCAAGCTCGACATTAGTACAGTACTTCATAAGTTCTGAGCCTTTTGAGGAAGTACCGGAAGCTGATGTGCAATAATTTGTGTCCACAGGCAGGACATTTTACATCAATTGTCCCTTTCCATCAAGGAGCGAGCAGGTACTTTAGGGGAGTATTTTCCTACTCCGACCAAAGGTATGCATCTGATCCAAGCATACATTTTAACTGTCTAGTTTATGATGTAGTGGCTCATGTACAAATTCTTACGAAGTAATGAATAACTGTGTCCACAGGCAGGATATTTTACAACAATTGTCACTTTCCATCAAGGTGCGAACAGAACTTGGAAGGAGAACTTTAAAACTTCAAGGGGACATTTTTAAAACTTTGACCAAGTATATTCATCAGGGTCCAAGAATCAAACTTGTATTGGAGTCCTCAAGCTTCAAGTCCGAGTCCAAGACCCAAGTCAACTTTGGTGGAGACTGAGTCCAAGTCATGAGTCACAAATGAGTTCCAGTCGAGTCCAGGTCACCCAAAAATTCAAGTCACGAAAAAATTCAAGTCCCGCGTCATACATCTAAGCCAAGCATAACTGTCTAGCATGACACAGGCACTAAAGTGTTCCGTTGTTCCACAACAGACCATTATCATGTTGCGGCCATATTGATTCTTCCCATTCAAATCAACGCAACCAAAGCGAGGCTGAAAGGAAAAATAGTCTGGTTCCTTTTTGCACAAAAAACATTATCATTTAGTACTGTTATTGGATACAGGGAACATGACTGAAATGGTGACAGCACGATAAAGGTCTATTACATGTACTTACTCTCAAGTCGTTGATGTCTAGATCTCCATACAGCTGGATATTAGTGTCCCAGTAAATGGCAAAGTTCTCCAGTTGTAGCAGCTTGAAGCGCATAGCATCCTTCTCGCCTTGGACAATTCGGGCTTTCTGTCAAATTAATCGGCAAATGGATTCAAAGTAAAATTTAAAACAAAAATTAACCTTATAAAGATGTAAAGTCTCTTTTTACAAGTTGGTTTCAAAACACTTGTTTTTTTTTAACAATCACTTCATATCACAAGCATATTTTTGTACTTGAAATAACATTTGATTTTAACCTTATATCTTTGAGCACTTTCACTAGAAAGTATCTTGAATCTGCCAAAATCCACCAATTTTGTCACGACATTGTTTTTTGGTGTCCTGAGTCCATCAGAATCCACCAGTGAGTCCATCAGATTTCACCAGTGTAGTACATATACCTCGTACACACCAAACATACATGTACAGCCCACTGTGGAGATCCTGAATCCATCAAACTCCCCAAAATCCTCAATGTGGAGGTATCCTGAATCCATCAAAATCCTACAGAACCGCTAGGCTTACTGTCCTGAATCCATCAAAATCCCCAAACTTTTTCAATATGGAGGTATCCTGAATCCGCCGAAATCCTCCAAAACAGGGGTGTGGATTTTGATGGATTCAGGTACGTTAGGGTTAATACAAGAAAAGACATGCCTCGTAAAGCTAGTCCAAGAGTGCACAACATTCTATTCAATTGATTTAGAATGGCTATTCAATGGACGTCTTTTCATGCATCTTGTCTACACAATGGGTTGAATTTTTCCCATTGAGTGGTGTAAAAGGGTAATCCTATATGACAGCACTGCCCAGCACACAAGTGACAGTCAGCTAGTTAGTCAGTCAGTCAGGTGCAATGTGAACGACGCATAAAACAAATTTCAGGCCTCAGCATTCTGCTCTTGGGTATTTTTGGAAAGTGCTGCTCCTTGAGAAAAATATTCCATCAACTTCTTTATCAAAGTTAAAAAAGGGTATCCCGGCATGCCATTAAAAACTGAGAAAAACTACTCCGACTTTTTTTCATAAACAAAGCAAATTTTGTTCACAGAAGGGTAAATGATAACAAAATGGAATAGAAAACTGACCCAGTTTTCGTCCGTGCTCTGTGCGGAGAGGCTCTTGATGGTGATTCCAAATGCAAAACTCTCGTTGGGTATCGTGGTGGTGTCTTCATATCGGATGTGAACATCTCTCACTTTCAGCTACAATGAGAGAAAACTGAATGAATGACTATTGACCAGTTCACGCAGAGCACTGACTGTTTTTGTACCCAGGCACGGCTGACGGATTAAGACGTCAAGATTGCCTTGTTTCACCTCGGGTGATGTTTCTGATGCGCGTTCAAAAGACCGGTCCTATTTGATCGATAGAGGGCGCGCTATCGTGCAAGCTGCAGCTAGCCTGGCTGGGCCAACCACGGTAGCGATTAGGCCAAATCGAAAGCCAGGCGTGCTTTCCAGTGCGGTCACGTGGCCACCCAGAGGAGCCAGCGATTGGACAGCTGGTGTGTTAGCTGCATTTGGGCCAGCTTCAGCAATCAGGCTATAAACTCAAGAGCCAGGATTTGTTGCGGTTACGGGCTGGAGTCAAATCTTAATTGCATCATGTGCGTTGCATCCCCGCATGAAAAGACTTCTGCACCGAGTGGTCACGGTTCGCTTGGGATGCACTGTAGGCCTACCGCAGTAAATAGGCTGCTTCAAGGATACTATAGCCTCTTACTATACAAAATGTACCTGAGTTTGGCTTTGTTGATTGGGTCATGGGAGATTTCTTAATTAAAAGGATTCCAGATTCTTCTGTGTTCTAAGTATGCAAGTTTATTTCTGCACCTGGCAATTTTGAGTTCGACAAATAACCTAGTTTCCAGTGCACAATTTTGAGTAAGTACGGCATGTTTATACACGATTTGCTATTCTTTTGACGAGAATAAAGTATAACTTCGAGATAACAGGGTTTTCGAGTTAAACGGTTTTGACTTATCGAGATTTCACTGTGCATGAAACTTTCATCAAATACAATGTATGTCCAAAATACCAGCCTTTAACATATATCATTTGCACTTGTAAAACACTACATATTTTAAATGTTTTCTGTAATTTGGGTTCAGATCACTCTGAATAACCCTGAAAGATTTTTAAAAACGAATTATGCTTTATGATCAAAATTACACAAAATCGGTGACAAGTTTACCTGTATGTTTTCCAGGACATTGTAGAAGAGTGAAGTGGAGTAAGCGTACCACGAGGAACCAGCCTCTGTCTGAGCCTTCTCAAACTTAGCCTGGTGGGTTAAAGAATAACGACGGAATAACTGGACAGAGTACATGTATAACCCTAACTCCCTAGGCCTTTTTGCTAGGATGTAACCTGAATCCTGCAAAATCCTCCGATTGGCCTCATGGAAAAATAGCATATAGCCTCAATCCTGCGAAATTCTCCATTATTTCTTGAATGTGGTTCTTGGAGGGATGACCACTGCCTCAATCCTGCAAAATCCTTCGGCTATGACTGTCAATATGTTGAGGCTTGGCCCGTGACATCCTGGAGCAGTACGGAGGATTTCAAGCATTTAATCAAGGACTAAATTTATTTAAGCATTAACAACACAAGGTCCGGCCCAAGACCTTGACACAGTGCGTCCTCCGAAATCAGCAACGCACTTTTTCCATGTAACCTCAATCCTGAAAATTCCTCCAATTTGCAAAAAGGATTTTGGAGGATTTGGGATGGTTAGGGTTACTGTTCAGTACAGGGCATTTTTTGTATAAAAGTAGACACACCTGAAAAATGATAATGATTCTTTATTCTCCGCATCTTAGAAATATGGATAATCATAGTCCATTGGCAACACAATTACATTAAAACACTAATATTGGGACAAATAAAAAAAAGAGCATGTTTAGCGTCTACATATCAGAGTTGGTAAAACACTGGAGTAGAAATCCAGAGGTCTCTGGTTCAATTCCAGCCTTTGTCATATCTGCCTATTGCAATTCATAAAAAAAAAAGATCCTGTCATGACCCATGCCCAATTTCACGGCGCTGTTAACAGGTTAAGCCAAAAAATTCCCTTAGTATAAAAAATGTCTGGCTTTAAGCAGGTTACCAGCCAAAACTCTGTGTGATTTTCATGCTAAGCAAACAACAACTAAATACTAATCACCAGCATATAACATCACATGGAGTTTTGGCTGGTAACCTGCTTTTATAGGCCAGACTTTTGTTGTGCTAAGCAAATTTTGTGCTTAGCAGCACTGTGAAATTGGCCCCCGGCCTCACCTTCCATTGTGATTCCAATGCCTCCAGCTGCTTTTTATTCCTGTCCCTCTTAGCCTGGTTCTCCTTCTCCTCGTCGTAGGAGGCCTTGCCGGCCGGCCCGGCCACTAGGTACAGGCTATCGATTGAGATCACGGTGGGCTCACTCTTGATGTGGCGCACGGGGATCTGCAAGGAGATCTTGCCGATGAACCCTGAGCAAAACACGGAGAGGAGCAGACAAAAAGAGATTGTGTTAAATACATGTACAACGGCAAGATATTGAGCATGAAATTTAATAATTATAACGCTGAGCAAGGAGTGTCATGGCTTAGCGGTTAAGAAAACCGGACTCTTGCTCTGGTGTTTCAACAAAGGCAACAGTGGCGTGGGTTCGAGCCTGCCGGGTAGACACTTGTGCCCTTGAGCAAGGCACTTAACCATTATTGCTTCGTCCTTCGGATGGGACTTAAAGCCGTAGGTCCCGTGTGTTGTGTACTCCAATGCACATAAAGAACCCAGTGACACTTATCGCTAAGAGAAGGGGTTTCCCCTGGTGTTTCTGGTCTCCTGTATTAACTCCCACGCTGAGTATTTAGGAGATCCAAGAACCAAGAACCAAGGAAATTGCCATAATCTCTGCGTGATTCCCTTTTGAGGGTTCCCAGGTTTGCAGCATTACTCATTTTATAAGATTTGAGGCTTTGCATGGTGGGGTATCAGTATCGTTTCGGTTTGTGGTTGTTATCATCGTCAGTATGGCCGTGATCCCTGGCTACATGGCATATACAGGGTGACCCCAAAAGATACAACCCCAAAACATTTGCCTTTTTTTTTAAAGGGATTGGTGGATTTTTATGTTTTGAATGTCAGATTAAAGCTGAGATTTTTTTCTTTCAAATACTGAAAAAATCATGAAAATAGCACTTTGGGTTGCTGAGAAAATGCCAATTATGTAAAAGTAGTCATTTTTCATCCTGTACACAAGTACTTCAAACAGTGAACCATTTTACTGTAAGCCCACTGTGCAATTATCCTTCATTTGTGCAATTTCTTTACTATTTTGACATATTTATGATGCTGAAAAGGTTTAAAATAGGACTAAAAGGGATGAGATACCTGTTCAGGTGGAAATTAAAAGGTATTTCCATCAAATTAATTTGTACTCTCATCATATCAAGTGCCGTGTTGTTTGTAAGGATAAGGAAATGTTTGTGTACAGGATGAAAAATGACTACTTTTACATACATGTAATTGGCATTTTCTATAAGCAATAGATTCAGGATACCTCCATATTGAGATGTTGGGGAGTTTGATGGATTCAGGATCAAAACAGGTTTACTCCCAGCTAACTGGTGGATTCTGTTGGACTCACTGGCCACCAACATTTGTTTGCATGGCAAAATTTGATGGATATTGGATTTGGATGGATTGGGGGATTCAGGATACTTTCTAGCAAATAAAAATACCTAAGGGGTTAGGGTTAAAAGATTAAAAAACTGATGGGTTTTCGTTAACGGGGGATGAAGCTGAGGCAACTGTTGCATGGAATTTCAAACAAATAAATATACAGGGCGAGTCACAAAAAAAAAGTGGAACCCAAACCCAACAAAATATATTTCATATTTTAAAAAAATATGTAGCACCAAAAATAATTATGACTGGTAAATGTAAAGTCAATTTAATAAACCACTTTTAGATGAAAAAAATACTTCAATTACTCAATCCATTAAAATTATATCACCATTTAAAAGAAACATGAAGAAATTGTCCTACCCCGACCCCTAAACTTACAAAAAATGATGCCCTACTATGGAAAAATCATGTACCACTTGGAAAACAATCGTTTTATATAACCTCCCCACCCTTGTAGAAAAAGATTCCCACCAATAATATTGTCTCAAAAACCATTTCAAAATTCCCGTCCTCCCCCCCCCCCCCTCCCCCCACTTTCAAGTGGCGTGGCCTCATGGTCTGAAGCAATGAATCCCTGGTCTGCAGGTAATTCTGCAGGTTGTGGGTTCGAGTCCAGCCTGGGGTTGTGGTGCGTGTGCCCTTGGGAAAGGCACTTTGTCACTCATTGCTTCTCTCCACCCAGGAGTAAATTGGGTACCTGTAAGAGCAGAGACGTTACATATTGTGAGTGCGCCAAAATGGCAGATCCAGCTGTAAACTCCCCAGGGAGCTGAGATGGGGCCAATTTCAAGGCACTGCTCAGCACAAAAATTTGCTTAGCACAAAAAAAGACTGGCTTATAATAGCAGGTTACCAGCCAAAACTCCACGTGATGTACATGTATATTGCTCGTGATTAGTATTCAGCTATTGTTTGCTTAGCATGAAAATCACATGGCTGGTAACCTGCTTTTATATGCCAGACTTGTTTTGTGCTAAGCAAATTTTTGTGCTTAGCAGCACTGTGAAATTGGGCCATGGTCTTTGGAATGTTTCACTGGCCCAGTGAGCAGGGTAATATAATGATACAGTGCCTTGAGCACCAATACTGGTGGATACGTGCGCTTTACTATTACACATTATTAGTATGGTCTGGATGGAATTATAACACCTCACCCACAGATTCTGTGTCTTGATTGGCCGAGAGCGAGTCACATGTTACTTTCTAATTTTGCTATCGTTCTGTGCACGGCCAAAAGTACTATGCGCATAGCAACCAAAGTACTATACCATTAGCAACCAAAGTACTATTTCCACGGCGCGGTATTTGTGTGCAAATGAATGCTGGTGTGCGCGTTGCGCGTATTATTCCAAAGAGAGCGCGCCGCAGACTTGGGTTCAAACATTTCGTGAAGGGGTAGTTTTTAAGAGAGAAATACATTTTCCACCAATTTTGTATTGAAATTGAAGTTTATTTCAGCTGTGTTCAGATTTAAATAATTTAAAATATTAAAATCAAGCAGAATCTGTGGGTAAAGTGTTATAAAACAAATATTGAATGCTTTATCTCGTGGTGAAGTAAAACTAGCCTCCCTCGGTGATCCATGGATCATTCTATTTTCCCTCGGCTTCGCCTCGGGAAAATAGAATGTCCATGGATCACCTCGGGAGGCTAGTTTTACTACACCACTCGAAGCATTCAATATTTGTATACTATTTAATTACTGGTAGTTAGGCAGCAGTTACTACTGCTGCCAAAAATTGAGAGCCAGGAATTATTTTCCATTTGAGTGGTTCTCGGTCACTCCCGCTTCACCTATCAATGGCAATGATTGGAAGTCAATGAAGTGTGCCATCCACTTTCTTGCTCATTATTGATCCAGAGTGTGTTCTTGTCATTAACCTTTGTTTTCACTTTTTTTTGTGGAGGTCAAGGTAACGTCAGACCAACTCGTGACCCACAACCAAGCCCGTCGCTCAATTCAATACATTTCATGGCTCACTTGAAAATATTGATTTGTAGAACGTTGATTGAAAAGGATGCTTTCTTCACTTCATTACTGCCAAATTGAGGATGAAAGCAAAGGTCACGAAGACTGCACAATGCAGATTTTGCAGAAGGAAAGAACGGTCAAGACGAAGCGTGCAACTATTGGCTATCATCAGCCAACTTCATCTAGGGCTAGGCAATCATTTGTAGGAGCAAGAACTGCCCAACAGTCTTAAGATAAGAAAGTCACTTGCTGAAGCCATTTACCAGTTAGGAAAGAACGGTCAAGATGAAGTGTGCAACTATTGGCTACCATCAGCCAACTTCATCTACTGTAGGGCTAGGCAAACATTTGTACATGTAGGAGCAAGACGTGCCCAACAGTCTTAAGATAAGACAGTCACTTGCTGAAGCCATTTCCCGGTACTTGTACTAGAGATTTTGTGAAACGGCACATGTGCACAGGACAACTGTTTTTTTTTGGAATTGAGGCTTTTTGCGATTGGATGCATCAATATGGGAGCTTTGAGTCTTTGTGCCATTGTAGCTCTGGCTCTGACTGTAACTGTACACATTGGCGAGCCTAGGAAATTCGGGAGTTTCCCTGTGACTTGGTACAAGGCTGATAATCAAGCCTTAGAGAATCACGTAATTCAGTCGGTAACCGTCCGTTCTCCTATCATCTGTGGCCGAGATTGCTCCATGAACACCAAGTGCACATCCTTCAACTACAACACAAACACCAAAACCTGCCAGTTGAACAACAGCACACGCGTCAACGGACAGGGTGGTTTGGTCACAACCGAGATGAGTCTGTACTACGACGAGAGCGCCGACACCCCCTCCTACTCAGTGCCGTACGAAAAAAGTTGCCTGATGTTGCTCCGAGCTGGTTATAAGACCAGCGGCATCTACGCCATTCACCCAACTGGACTGAATCAGAGTTTAGAAGTCTACTGCGATATGACCACAAGTGGAGGAGGCTGGATCCTCTTTCAACGACGGCAAGACGGCACTGTCGACTTCTACCGTACCTGGGCCGAGTACCAATCCGGCTTTGGCAATATGTCTGGTGAGTTCTGGCAGGGGAATGAGTACCTGCGTGTCCTGACTACATCCGGGCAGTGGACTCTGCGAATAGACATGGCGGACTGGCATGGCAACACTTCTTGGGTCGAATACGGACAGTTTCAGATTTCAGGAGAGCAGTACGTCTTCAGTTTCGGCGCGTACGATTCTGCCAGCCCAGCCGGCGATTCACTGCTATTCCACAACGGAATGGCCTTCACAACAAAGGACCAGAATAATTCCCCACTACGTCATCTCGACGGTATGAACTGTGCGGCAACTTATAAGGGGGCTTGGTGGTTCAGTGTGTGCCATGGTTCTCACCTAAATAGCGAGTACTATTATCAAGAAAACGTTGGCGCTGGATTTGGTTTGCAGTGGACCAGCTGGCTAGGGGAGTTTGGATCCCTCAAAGCGTGCGAAATGAAAATGAGGGAAATCCTGTGAGCTAAAAAGAAAGACTTGGATCGGGACCGGGAATTTTGTTAGAAAATGAAACGTTGGCAATACAAATTTTACCAAACACAACCGTGGTGGCACAACAAATGTCTGACAGAAATCTGACATAGGAACATGTACATAATTAATGCGTATGGTGGGTGCAGTTGGAACATTTAGAGTGGCGCTGGAATTTGGAAAGGTGCATACAATGTATCTTGTTGCCTTCATGCACAGTGGGTTTGGCTTTAAACCCGAACCGCCTTCAGCTTTTTGGCTGGGATCAATCCTAATTCCTTCAAAATCCTCCAACTACAGGGTGAGTCCAAAAAGCGGAACCCAAACCCCATAACATATATTTCATATTTAAAAAAATATGTAGCACCAAAAATAATGATGACTGGAAAGCTAATTTCATAAGCTACGGTACTTTTATATGAAAAAAATTACTGATATCATTGCTAAATCTGTTTAAAGAATATCACCATTAAAACACAATGACTCTAAAACCTGTCTCGTCCAACAACAAAAAAGGCAATTCATTGTGTGTTGTGACTGTTTGGAACAAACAAAGAAAATGACAGAGAATACTTGTTTCAATAACTGTCACCAACTGTAGTACACAATATCTGGTTAGGCAAACAATATGATTTATAAAATCTACTTTTTTTTAAGGACGGGCTTTCAACATCATGAACATGTTGAAAGGGTTTCTGTTGAATATTTTTAACGTTTAAACCGCGATTTTATCGCTGGTGATGTTTGAAGACAATTGCAACGACGATTCTTGAAATCGCATTTTTTTTGGACGAGACAGGTTTTAGGGTCATTGTGTTTAAATGGTGATATGTTCTGAAGGGATTGAACAATTCCAGTAATTTTTTTCATCTAAAAGTACCTTTAAATATGAAATGGGCTTTCCAGTCATTAACATTTTTGGTGCTACATATTTTTTTTAAATATGACATAATTTTTTGGGTTTGGGTTCCGCTTATTTTTTACTCATCCTGTACCACCATGTAAAAACTGTATGTACAGCTTCAATCCTCCAAAATCATCTGTTATTTCTCGCATTTCAGGGGTGACCGCTGCCTCAATCCTTCAAAACCCTCCAGCAATCATTGTACTAAAAGGAAGAACTGCCGGTGATATCTAGGAGCAGTGCGGATGAACCTAGGCATAATTTGGACATGGGCCGGTCCTTGTGCTGTTTTGTTCAGCCATGCATAAATATAAGCCTGGATTATGCTTCAAATCCTCCGAACTGCTCAAGGATATCATTTTGCAGGATTCAGGCAGTGGTCACCCCTCTTTGGACCATATTCAAGAAATAATGGAGGAATTTGCAGTATTTAGGCTATGTAATATGCTATTTTTCCATGAGGCCAATTCAAGGATTTTGCAGGATTCAGGCTACATCCTATCAAAAAGCCTAGGAATTTAGGGTTAAAGAGACTTTAAATGTACATATACTTTAAAAAAAAAATTAATGAGTGTTGTGTTCCTCTGTTTTCACTTGTGAATTCACCATGCACATTGAATCTTTGAATTATTTCAGGTTAAATTCACCTTTTTAATAAGCACGTAGCATTATTTCAAGTTTATACCTCTGGTTCTTTTCAGAACCATTCTCTTAGTTGAGAAATTGTTCGCACATGGTGTTTCAGCAAACCTTTCATTCATTAGTATCTCCACCATAGCACACAAAGCCTCAAATCTTACTTAGCATTATTTGTTTCATTTAAATAAGCCAAATTAGTAGTCCAACTACGCATACTTGTGCATGACAAGATTTGACGATTTGTACTTCCGGATAAACACAGCAGTAATGCAGCACACAAGTCTATGGAGGACTTGGTGCATGAATCCGCCTCCGGCAATTTTTTTCATGCAATCAAAAAGACGACGTAAAGTTATGGGGCATACAAAAACACTTTGCTGTCCAAAACCTTTAAAATACTTTGTGCTTACTATAAAAAACAAACAAATTCTTTAATTTTGTTCATATCCTCTATGAATTTGTACGCATACGGTGAACTGTTTCTCACAAAAAGGAAAATCATTAAATCTTGATGTGCACACCCAATTGGAATACAGAATGTACATTTGTATATATTGAGTGCGTATTTCAGCATTTTAGCCTTAAGTAGCTGTACATTGTACCTTAAATGCATACATGTTTGTAAGGTCTTATTTGTTTTTGTTGATTTGTGCATTTAGGCATATTTAGGCATATTTAGGCCCGATGATTTAGTAACAAAATAGCTGCTACCTGTAGCATCTACCCTTTAAATTGTCCTTGCGCGTTTTCTGATAATAACTAAATTGGTCGTTTTCTTGCCAATGATACCATTTCAATTTAAGGCAGAATAGTTTCACAGTGTACATGTATTTGGTACAGGCGCGTAGCCAGGGTTTCTTATGCCCACTGCAATAATAGAAATTTTGTCTAGTTCCCGATTCTGCATTTATAGTCCCTTTTGCCATCCCAAATTTACTTCTATCAGTGTCACGATTTTGCTTTTAAAATCTCTAGCCAATTGTTGCCACTCTGCACCCCCCTTTTTTTGCTGTCCTAGTTGTGCTTCTATCAACATCCTTATTTTGCTTTTTTAAAACCTCTACCCTCATTCTGCCACTGCACCGCCCCCCTTTTTATGCCGTCCTATGAGCTCCGTGCACTAACGAAAGAGGGCGCCCTTTTACCTAGCAACGACGTCCCATGGGCGGGACATTTTGCTGGTTGACGCGCACCGTTCCTTGTGTGTGAAGCACGTACACCAGGGGATTTGTACTATGTACACGCAGTGGTGCGGCCGCGCGTCGCGGCGAAATTGCAGTCATGCAAGATGGCGTCGGTCAGTCACCCCCAACTGTACTTCCTTTGCCGTTGAGGGGGTACTTGTGAACGGAGCGGATAAGCATCCTGATTTTGTTTTTAAAAATTTCTAGCCCCATTGCATCCTGCCACTCTGCAACACCCCCCCCCCCCCCCCCCCCCCCCCCCGGCTACGCCTTTGATTTGGTACATGTAGGTCTAGCTATCGTTAACTTGACAAAGGTTTTGTTCCAAGGTAATTTCAAAGGCTCCTACATATGTCCATGCCTTTTATTACCATTTGATTTGTTCCATTTCCCTTTTGCTTTGCCTTTCATAGCAAATGAAACGAAGTCTGATAAATATGCCAACCGTGTATAATTTGAAAATTTTCTCTCTCTCGTCAAGAAACCAGTTGTTGATCCGTTGTCATGGTTGCGGTCACTTTGGACCATCTTTTAACATTGCAAGGTACTCGATTCAGCAATATACATGTAGGTCTCGTTCAAATGACGTCATTTCCTACAGACCATCCACGTGCATCGGCATTTTCAGCGTCAACTTGCATAACGCGCATAAACTGCGTCATATTTCGAACACATTTCGAGCAACAAGCGCACGTACTTGGAACATTTTCAACACTGCGCAATGAGTGCTCGATTGCGTAAAATACGCAGTTGCACTTCTCCTACTGAATTTGGCCGTCATTAGCTACGTCGTATTTCGAACACATTTCGAGCAACAAGTGCGCGTACTTGGAACATTTTCAACACTGTGCAATGAGTACTCGATTGCGTAAAATACGCAGTTGCACTTCTCCTACTGAATTTGGCCGTCATTAGCTGCGTCGTATTTCGAACACATTTCGAGCAACAAGTGCGCGTACTTGGAACATTTTCTACACTGCGCAATGCGTGCTAGATTGCATAAAATACGCAGTTAATGCACTTCTCCTACTGAAATGGCTGTCAATTTACGAGCCCTATAGGACTCCTTCACAGACGCATGCGTGCACCCGGCAAACCGCTACATCCGGGCACCTGAAAGTCAGCATCGCTACTGTAGTAGGCAATGATTGTTTAAGAAATATTGCTACAGATGTACAGGGCGTCCTGAAAAAATTGGCGCATGTGAACTCCTCCATTTTTGCTAATTTACAACCAAAATTTTCTTCGGATGTTTACACCATCTCCAAGGTAATAGATTTAGCTTGAGAATACCATTTGATTCATTGAGATTGCTTTTGTAAATCCAAAGATATGTTTGAATAACGGCAGAGCCAAGAAACCCATTTTGCGCCACTTTTGAGTTAAAACAAAGATGTTGGGATGATGAAAAGATGGTTGCACACGTAATTGATAATTAGTGTTTTCCAGAGCTCAATGATGTCAAATTGGAGAATATTGTAGACAATAAAGATGATAGTATACTAAAAAAAAAATTGTCCGCAATGAATTGTATTTACAACCTTAGTTGAAGTGCCTAGTAGGGTTAGGGTCGTTACGCCCAATTAACGCGGCAGCCCAAATATAGTTGGGACTGTCCCAACTTTATTTGGGGTAGTCCAAACTATACTTAGCATTGTCCTGTCGTTGGGACAATGCTAAAGTCGAGCATAACAGGGTTAAGGAATCAAAATATTCTCCTTACCTGCTTTAACTTCAATGGGAAGGTCAAGGTTCTTCAAGGCATCCTTTCTCAGAGGAAGATTTTCCAGCTCAACAGCACCTGTTGTCAAAAAACAAAACCAGATTTTAGTTAACTTTCATCAATTCCAAGAAAAAGGAAAGTTGCCGCTTTGCGTTCAACATATCGAGCTTGTATGATAACAATGTGCCCCATGCTCCACAACAAATCACAATGTTGCGTTGCCAATGACAGTGTCTAGTTCACAGCGCTCAGAACTGTTTACAATGTAACAATATTATTCCACATGCGTATGAACATGTACGTCGGATATTAAGGGGAGTTCAGATCGGGTTCAGTTTGGATTCGGTTTATATCTTTAAAGGGAATATACATCATTTGCTTTTGCTGTAATTTTCAGAAATGGATGGAATTGGGGGGTTGGAAATATGTAGAAAATATAGTTACACTGACTTTTTTGAGGTTTTGTGTTCGAAAATGCTATAAAAACCAAGAAAAACAATCATTTTCCTGTAGTCTGGTTCCCTGACTCCATTTAAGAAGAAACAGAGCAGTTTACATATATTGGGGAATTGTAAGGTCAGGGAACCAGTCTAGCTTGTTTGTACCCGTTCATAGGTGTGTAATCGATTGCAAACAAGTGCGATGGTCAACTGGGGCCAGTATTTGAAAAAAAGCCAGTTTTTTTTTCAAGGCTGATCGGCCGATCAGCGTTGGAAATTGATACAAAAATACCACTTTTCTTGAAAATGACAGTATACCAGGTGCCATGATTTTACAGGATGCTTTACACTGTCATTCACTAACAGTCCAGCAAGGTATTTCAAAATGATTTGGTAGTTTTATTTTTTGATGTTTGCAAATGTTGTATTTTCCCTTTAATGTTTTGGGTCAGTTTGACCTGGTCAACCCGACCCAATGCACAACATTACCATGGAGCCTACATACTGCACAAATCAAATGCACTTACCACTGAGTAGTCCGATGGACAGTTGGTCAGTGTTCAGATTTTCCACATACTCCCCGACGTAGGTGTTCAACACCCAGGCAGCAAGGCCTTCTAACATGTTGCCTGTGTGGAGCAGCTCACTCAGTTCATTTCTGTCTGGGATACACTTCCAGACTTCGCAGACTCAAATAATCTAGCCAGAAACCTGGTAACAGAAAAAGAAAATACCATAGAACCAGGATTCGACTTTAGGCAAAAAAAACCCAAAATATTCGGTCCCTGGTCAGACCAAAGTTCCGGAATTGATGCGGCGACGCGGCCTTTTTTTTTTTTTTTGCTTTTTTTTTTCTTCAAGCTTGGATTGTACAGACAAGGTGGGGTACTATTTTGCTTTTTTGGTGTCCTCATGTACATTGGTGTCCTCCATAATTATCCTTGGTGCTCTCGATCATTTGCCTTGGCGCAATTTTCCATTCCTTGGTGCTCTTTAGTAAAAAAAAAATGAGGAGGTGCGGCAATAGAGGGCGCTGTTGGAGCTACCACGGAACATTTTGGGGAAAAAAAGATTGACGCGCATGATTAAAATCGACGCGCGCGCTGACCAGAGACCGACTTATTTTTTTTTTTGGCCTAAGTGGTAGCCTGCTAGCCAAATGCAAGTCAAAACAGCGGCGGGCTAGTCAAACTATTCCTCAAGTAGCCCAGCTGGCGAGTCAGAAATTATTGGGCAAAGAAATAAATCATTAAAATCAGAGAGCAAACCTGTATCAATTTGTGTCTTATATGATGAAGTGCTTAGGGCTAATATTTATCATTATTTTAGATTTGTTTTTAAAAACACTGGCAAGATTGCCTCAGGATACACGTTTTACATGTAGGCACATTGTTATTTATGAGACACTCTATAAAAGAAAAACATGCAGGCTAGTGAAAATGCCCGCGGGCTAGTTAAGAGTCTGTTTCAGTAGCCCGGCTGGCTAGTGAAAAAAAAGTTGAGGTTGAACCCTGACGGCACTGACAGTCAACATGGTTCATCCAGGGTAAATGGCCGAGAGCGAGAGTGCACGGTCACTCACCATTGAACTGCGTATCAATCAATACCAGTCCTTCTGATTTGAAAATCACAGGCATGTGGAAAAAGGCACACCTGAATTTTCTAGGCGTGTGATTTTCTAGACGTGTGATTTTTCTAGGCGTGTGATTTTTCTAGGCGTGTGATTCTGTAGTCCAAGCTAGGACTGAACAATCTGGCATTTGTTTAACACAATATACATCTCGGTTTACAGTAAAGCCACTTTCGTGCCCATAATTCGCCCATGAATGGAAAACATCATCCTATGGAGTCTCCATTCTGTCCTACTTCTGAAAACAATGTGGATCGATGTTTGTTGAATTAAGGATAAGTTTATGTGCACAAATTTGGTCTCTAGTTTGATAAAGTAACTTTTGTTTGCCATCTGACATTGTTACTACATACACGTTTGTTTAAATATGAAATAAAGGAATTTCTTTCGATTTTGGTAAAAACAACTGCATGCAAAATATTTAAAATCAAATCATAATTGAAAATTTTACGTAAATAAATTAAATCCACAAATCTTACAATATGTTTTTTTTGTTGAAAATCTAAGTACATGTAGCTTACATTGTAAATCCTATGCATGGAAAGAGTTCCAAGATTTTTTTGTTTTGCTGAAAATCAACCATGTGCTAATTACATAACATTTGACAAATTTATACAGATTCTCCAAAAATTGAAACATTTGCAATATAACTTCAGAATGCCGTGGCTATTTTTATAAGTACATATAAACAAATATATTTGAAATGACCCCTACATCAGAACCATAACAAAGTCACCCTTCTGAAACAATGTTTTACGGCATTTATTGATCATTCTATACACCTGCGATCAACCAATCAATTATTACACAGGTGCGTGCGCTGCACCCGGTTGACCATACCGTGGCCCATGGCACTGCCTCGACACATGGTTGCATGAGTCACATCATTTCAATAAAAAAAAAAAAAAAGAATTGGCTTACTTTTTGGGTACTTTAAACTTGATGATTAGGTCTTATTCCGACAGAAATATATTTTAAAGCGTATTCCTTCCAACAAACAACTCGGTACCAAAATCTGCATCTCGGTGAAACAGATCGTAAAATAATAACGCGATATAAGGCCCACGTCGTTTTTCGTGCTCCTTAATTCTGATTATGCCCTCTGTTGTTTAGTGAAAGTCGACCGAAGTTGTCTTTCACGTTTCGGGGTTGGACAGCGACACTGATTGGAAATTTGTAGTGATGTTTTTATTAGTTTTCTGGGCCATTCAATAATGTTATGTTTTGTATCTAGTCTGTATGGCAATATTTTACTCTCTCTTTGATTTGTTTCAAATTGATAGTGGATATTTTGCCGGAGGTAATGCTGGCAAACTAACATTTACTAAAGGTTTGCCGGTAGCAATCCATATCAACAGAGGGCACTGTACTCTTTAAGATAGGGCTGAAATATAAGATGTATTAAATTCCCACCAAAATTGGTGTAGTGCTTAAGCAACAGCTCTTGTGAGCGAGATGACCCGGGTTCGATCCTGAACCCAGCCACAATTCTAAGGCGTTTTCCCATCCCCAAATAAATAAGAATATTCTTCTTTTATTATTTCAACATGTCTCAAACATTTTATTGCAGAGTACAAGGAGGAAAAGGGAAATAAAGTCCGAATTATAAAATGGTCTGATTTCCATCTTGTGAATACGAAGTTACAACGATAATATTGGCATGGAGCCGGACTAAAATTTGCCACCGGAAAATATTTAAGTAAAAAAAAAAACAGTAACTGCGCATGTTCAGTGCATATCCGGCAAACTGACGTTTACTAAAGGTCTGCCGTCTCCGGCAAAATATCCACTGCCTTTCAAATTACATGTACTTCTCGGAAAAGCTTTCAATTTACTGCACAGACATGATAGAGAAGAAAGGCGATGTGACGATGGATCATCAACGGTGATTTGACGTCGTTCCGTGTTGTGTAAAAAAAAGATACGAGCCGGAAAAGTTGGTTGCGCGAATATTGGGCAGCGCGAATTTGGGGCACCGCACGATAGCCCCCCCCCCCCCCCCCCCCCAGGCTAGCGTTATGAAATATGAAGAATGTTGCAACATTTTTTCCAGACTGGGACCGTGAGTGCATGAAAACGTGCAAAATTACTACTGACGTTTTTTTACTCACCATTCGGCTAATTAATGCCCACACAACACATACATGTACATCAAAATGCTATAGTTGCAAGCATGTCACCTGCGAAATTTGAGACCTTAAATCAAATTTTAAGGCAGGTTTTTGGCAGTTCAAAAACCATCCATGTCATTCTCCACGATCTGGAGACGTGCATGTGATTTACAAGGTATTCTGGGTAGATGCACTTAGTGCCTTGCAGCTTACTGGTTTTTTAATCGATGGCCAAAAGAACATAGCGCCCTCTGTTAAAAAATGAAACATTCTGAATTCACTCTGATCAACAAGAGGGCGCTGTTTTATCTACACGATGAAAATGTTGTAGCCGAGGAGTCTTTTTGCACAATGCATTGCAGCACACATCAACATGATGTCTCACGTTTGGATTTTGATAACTCTCTGTAAAATTAGAATTAAAAGCTGAATTTTTGGTGAGGCAATGCTCACAACAGCAACTTTGCGAGGCAAAAGTTTCAGGGATTATTGAAGAAACTGTAGCGAGTAAGAAGCTTGCACATTTGATTCACACTGGTTTTATTATGCAGCACAAACTTTTGCACAATATGGATACCTTAAGTTTTGGGACTCTCATAGTCATACACAGTATTGAGAGTCCCAAATTTTCGGTATTTTCGGACTACATTTTTTCCTGATTAGATCCTATAGGCCTACTGCTTAACTGCATCCCCTAAAATTTATACAATATTAAACAAACATGACAAAGATTATAACTCACATTCACAAGAAATGTTCCTCTTGTCAATTGTCTATAACTAATTTTGATTAAATAATAACTATGGATCGGACTCGGAGTGTCATCATTTAACCGAAGGTGGGCGCCATGTTTAAGCTCGTACAAGATAATTAACTTCTTGGGATGCAATACAATTCTATTTTAAACTAAATTCCTTTTTTTTTCAATAATAAAATCACACAAATCCATTCAAATTTTATAATATGAATTCTATAAATTTTAAATGTTTACAATAACTACATGCGACCCACTACATGAGTCCAACAGAGAAATTAACTTTTATCTTCGCATCTACAGTTTCACGGCTGTTTTATGTCTGATTGCCTGTTTCGCTATTCCCGGTCCCCTCAGGGGGTCGGCACCGGTCGTGCACGAAATCAATTAATTTAAATCACCGTCCTTTTGGCCCGGCCGGGCCAAAAGGACGGTGATTTAAATTAATTGAATCTTCAAGTTCAACACATTTTAAAACTCTGTGGTTATGAAATGTGTTCTACAGGTGGAGGTGGAACCTTCGAAAATCAGGAAATCAGAAACAAAATTGAGTGATACGTGATACCCATTTTGTTGATGTACCCTAACGTGGCCGGGCGCGGCCCCTAACGTGGCGCACTTTTATTTTAGATAGTGGATATTATACACTGCCTTTATTTTTCGCCTGTAGCGCCTAGCTAGGGCAAAAGTTTTAACTGAAATTTCGCAGAAAGTGCAATTTCATCAAGTTCTAAACACTCCCGTTCATAAATCGCGAGTTTATTTACCCGTTAAAAGTAAAAAGAAAAAAAATATTTTGGCGTGATTTTCCGATTTTATTTTCAAGTGCAAAGTGAACCCTTTGAAAATGCCCCGAAAAATAAGAAAATAATTTTCTGACAAACATCTGGCTGGGTTTGTAAGTAAAGACATTTTTCCCGTGCTCCCCAAGTTCAACTCAGGTTGTCTCTGCCTTCGTTCAGTGGAAATGGATGCTTAATTCGTTCTCAAAAATATTTTCCTCCACTAAAAATAAAGTCCACCCCGTATCCCCGTATCCACTTCCTGGCACCTATTGTTCATAACCTTAACACATTTGCCCATTAGGTTGCTAATGCGCATAAGGAACACATTCTCGTCAGCGCGCACC